TACTTCAAAAAATCGCAATGCATTGAAACGCATATGCGATTGCATAAACATTGCTCGCATAATCTCAGACAGGCTGGAGTAATTCTCAGCCACCATCCTCGTCACCAGCACAGCCCCTGTATGCTCTGTACCTGTAGCGAACTAATTTTATCTTAAGTTAGCTTATTCGGCTTTTCTTATTCCCTGTATATATTTATCTTATTGAACTGTAAACCTTGAATTATGAACCTTGAACTATGTATTTTGCCTTATTTTATGTATTGTTTCCACTGTTTTGCCTTTTTTTTTATTTTATGCATTGTTTTACTTTCTAGTTTTTTTACTTCTTATTACTTTTAGTATTTGTAACCACCTATCCATTACTCTGTAAATATGTAACTGGAATTGTTCTTCACGCCCGCAATGCACCCTTCTTCCATCATGCACTATCGTCTTCGTCCAGCATTTGTTTGCACTGCCCCCAGCAGTCGTCTTGAGCACAATATGTATTTATAAGTGTGTCTTTTGTTCAAGTTATTTCCGTCAGCGGGGCTACCTGGCCGATATGCTAACTACCCAGTGGACCGGCTGCCTCGCTGTCGGTGGAAAGAAAGGAAAGAAAGTATGGCTATGTACAGCATTTATTTCTGAATTTCAACAAACGCTGGGTCCGGGCACTTTGGATGAGACTACACCCCGGTGGCATTTGGTCAGTATGACTGCCAACCGGGTGAATCAGGCGCTGGGTCTGCGAGCCTTCTGCGAGGCTCCCATGCGCTCCCTCGACCAGATTCTAGATAATGGTGGACGCGGCGCTAAACCAATTAACCATAATGGTAAAGGGATGGTGCCCACGCCCCGTCGCTTATCGCTTATCCTAGCCAGTATCTTCGCAGAGTTCTCTACGTCAACACCCCCGGGAGGAACGTAGCAGTTCTAATTCAACAGAGGCACCCGAGTGCGAAGTTTGTTGCACTCGGGGTTTGTTGCAGTCCCATATCCAACTATGTATTCGGAAACGCTAGCCGCTTGGACCTGCATTGTACTGAGTTGTCAGCTGAGCCACTGTCTGGCGCTGTACCAAACGGGACCGTCTATGTCGTTCTTTATCTTTGATGAGGCGTGCACGTCCAATACTTTTGCGTCTACCGCTGGTTTCACTATCATTTATCTCCGTTTCTTAGATACTAACAACGGGGAATCGTGACTAACATGGTACGAGTGTTCGGGCTATTACAATCTGCCTCACTTCAAATTCACTTAAATCGGAAGCCTCTCCAATAACTCGCAAAAAATGTAAGTGCAAGAATGATTCCTTACTTTCTCCACAACAGTTAAACATCATTTCCACTTAATCACTTGTCCTGCCCATTATCCACACGAGTTCACTGAAAAATGTGGGGATGGCTATAATGTTTTGACTCCTCAGAGTGTTTGAAAAGGAACTTGATTCGCGAGCTATAGAATAACATTTGTGACTGCGTCTGTTTATTTACTGTTGGTGGAGAAAATTAGCATCTGTTGAATGGGCAAAAGTATTCATGGATATGACTAAGAAAACAGTAAGAGATGGAATAATTACCAAAGGAAAGAACTCTAAGTAGAGCTTCTGGTAAAATTAGAAGGCGTAACAAAATAATAGCAACAAAGCCCTTTTATATAAAGCTTACAAATGAAGTGGGTTAAATACTGTGGCTATTTAATAAATTGTTCTGAGAGATTGGCGAATGTTTGATTGTAAAAGATGAAGCTAGAAATTCAGTTTGGAATTGCGCAGGAAAGATTGGCGCTGCTTTGGCAGCATCTCCGCCAACTTTCACGGTCGATGGGTAATACGTGAGTACCAATGTTTAAATTACTTTCAAAATAATTACAAAATATCGTCCTTAGTCATTACGATATAATTATTTATAAAAGAGATCTGTAACAGCTTTCTTATTTACCTGATTTTAAATACCATATTTGCTCGTATATTTCAACCCTCTTGCAGGAATTCCTTCCTAGTTGTTTTCAGCACATGATTTAGAAACTTCTGATTTATAGTACCAATGTAATACAGTTTAAAAATGTAATCTCTATCTCTACATATAATAAAAGAAAGAGTCTGTCTCTGCGTGTCTTTTGTTCTTGCTGAGTGTAAGCTAATAGACCCAGGGCTACGAAATTTGGTACATAGGTGCATCTAGGCAAGAGTCAATGCACTTCCAAACGAGATTTTTCAAAATTCGACTCAGATTCGTTTATTTTAGCTTTTTGGATGAAATCGCATCATTTTGATTAGTTTCATTCTTTTAGAAGTTTTGGCAACAGTTTTTCATTCAATACTTTGTATACTGGACTGCTGACTGTTGAAAATATGAGATAAAAGTTATTAATTATACTTTCCTTTGCAGAGGTTTTTGTTTTTATTCATGTTATCAATTGCTTGGAAAGTTTTGCATGGTTTTTTTTTAGGAAATAAAACCATTTGGAATAAAACCTTTATACCATTTGAATTCTTAAGATTTTGCAACAGGAAGTTGATTAATTTATTTATTAGGATAATTAATATTTGTTTTAAGGAATATTGCTTATTTCTTTGTAATTTTTTTATATTATGTCTTAATTATATAAAAAGTGTTGCATGATTTGTTTTAGGAACAATTTCTTAACTTCTTTTGTACCATTTGAATTCTTAAGATTTTGCTGCTCGGAACCTTATAAACGGCGTATCACTTTTCAAATCGTTGCCACCAAATACTGTCGCCCTGTATTATATTTGAAGAAATTAAATAATGAAGAATCTGCATCAATGTATGGATGTTTCTCGCATTGGGATAAAACAACGGTACCCAGAGCCATCCAATTTTGAATGACGTAATCCTACTACGAAGATGGGCATCTGAAAAATCCAAATTTCTGTTTTATTATCGATTTCATATTTTGTAAAATTTAACAAATTTTTGATTAACAAACTCACCGATTTAAATCCGAACTATGGCAACACTCTACGGGACCAAAAAAAAAAAAAAAAAAAAATCTTTTTATGTGCTGCGCGCGGAAGTGTGTATCGGAAATCCTAAAGATATGCTCATTTTAAAATTATTTTGCGACATTGCTGTTGAAGGTTCAGGTGCGTAAGCACGTGAAAACAGGCCGCTGGGCTTAAGCCTCATCTTGCGTGTGACGCGTGGAGAAAAACATGACTTTCCTACTATGACATAGATGGATGTTGGCAGAGAATTCCAGAAGAGAATTCTCGATGATGCGATGATGAGCCTTATGTATAAACAGATTCGGAGCCACTCCGACTAAGTAAAAAGACGGTGACTTCACTGCTGCATAGATGAAGCATAGGCAGAAATGGAAATGTGGGATCGAGAATTTAGCTGCGTGAATTTCCTGCAATCTTATTGGTCCGTCGTCGGAGGTGTGCTTGTACTTTTCTTATTTTCCGATTCGGCGAAATTTATGAGGACCATTATTTAGCTGCCTGAAAACCTGTCTGTAATTTCTCTGCTGGACTTTTTGCAGCTCTGATTTGTCCTATGCACGAAATGATTGAGGTTAGGAATGCATTGATCTTATCATCTTGGATCCATGCCATAGCGTCGCTTATGTCCTTAGGTGGGGGCGTAATTTTACTTTTTAATTTCTCGCTGTATGTAGCTTGGGGTGGATTTTTCAGCGCTGGAAACTTAGTTGTCTTTGGTTTAGGCGTCTTTGGTTAGGTCTCGTGGCGTCTCTACGAACGTATGTACGTACGTACGTATCTCGCATAGCTCAAAAACAAGTACCCTCAGATCGTTGAAATTTTGTATATAGGACTGCTATAACATGTAGATGTGTACCTCGTATTTTGGTTGCAATCTGCTCAGTGATCTCAGTTTCTTTACTCTTATATATTTGTAAATTGTACATTTTTTGCTTTAAAAATGGTTGAATTATGTTGTTCTTATCTTCCGGTTAAGGTTTTTATGCCTTTAGTAAATCTGTATGCAATATTTTTAGAATTATCGACAATTTTAAAGTTGTTTAAGTGCCGCTAAGGCTAATAATTTTTTGATGGCGGCCATTGCTTGTTTACATTTGAAACATCAGAGTAGTAGATTTGTTGCCAATCTAGAGAAACGTAGCTTCGCAACAACAAAAATAAAGCCTTCATTTATTATTGCGAATCAAATCGTGCTTCATCCTTTCTGGAATTTTTTCGAGTGTTTAAAATTTACTTCGTAATTTTTAATACAGATATTTTGAGTTTTTATGTATTTTCGCCTTGTCGCGAAGTGAGAACTGAATTAATTGAATGAGAAATACTCAATCGTCTGTGAAAAACTGTTTCTTTTTTGTTTTATTTGCTTAAATTCTTTTATACATCGGTCTAGCTTTATTATAGTATTTGAATAGAACACGTGGCAACGATTAGATGATTCTTTAAATGATATAAATTTTGTGCATTCTGAGTTATAATATGAACGAAGTATAATACTGTTAAGTGACTCTAGCGCCAGAGTGTCGCTATGGTAAACAAATAGAGTGAATTTTAAAGAATGCATTTATTCTATTGTGGTTTATGCGCTGTCGGCGAAGTAGATTTAATTCGATCCAATAAGTTTAAACGAAATTCAAGAAAAATGCGTATAATTTAATATTCCGTACAAGGATGTCATGTGGTGTACACATCAGATTTTTTAAATTTAATGTTTGGTGTTCCCTTTAGGGATTTTTCCGGTACTGTTAAAAGTTAGACAGCGGTCAGTATGTGTAATATATATTAGTACGCTTGTATGTGTGCTTTATAATATGCTATGCTTAAAGCGATTAAATTAATAGTTAGAAAAAAGGTGGAAATATGCGAGTAAATACGTTAAGCGCAATTAATATTTATATTTTGCAGTATATAATAAATAAAACGTTGGCTCATACATTCTCAGACTAGCCTGTTTCTTTCAATCTGAAAATTTCTGTTGGTATAATGTAATATATTACAAATTTTTATGTAATAATAATAATTTTTTAATTTCATTTACTTTATCGCTCAGATTGTGAACCAGGATGGTATGGAGCTGATTGCAAGCAGCCTTGTCACTGTGCTTTCGGAGTTAGTTCTTGCAACCGAATAACAGGTGCTTGTGACGGCGGTTGTGCAAGAGGATGGAGAGGAAATTCTTGTCAAATAGAAGGTTTGTAAGGAACTAATATACTTCGATGTTAAATTCTGACTCCGCATAGAAAAACACGCGACTTATCGCCCCGTCGTTATCTTCCAAGGAAAATAACGACGAACTAAGATAAACCTTTTAAATAAACTCTTTTATTATTATAACTTCTACCAACTACATAGCTCATATAGTATAGAACAAATCACCGCTACCTGAAGTTGACGGAACACAAGTTTTGATGTAAATTTAATTAAAGTACTCTATTCATAACGCAAAGTCCTATTGTAAGTTTGGTTTAAGTCCACTGACGAAGAAAGCACGGCTAGCAAAGGCTAAAGCCGATTCACATAAATCTAACAGCTGGGTGAAAATTTAGAGTCGCTGCCAAACGCTCGCTCTCTCTTAGCTTCAAGAACTCTCTTCTTTAACACGTTAACTGATTTGCATCCTGGCGAGAGCTAACGAAAGTAGAAGTGTGACAGCTAAGCAGCGATGGGCAAAAACCGCGCTTTTATGGGATAGGATTAGAACCCTTTCCTCACTGAACTGAAGTAGTTCTTTTTTTATGACTCACCGCTTACTGACAACAATCGTGGTGAAAAGCACAGAATGAGGAAAGAATCAAGAGCAGTTAGTGAGGATGGAACAAAAAGCGATCGAACAAGCAGTGGGATCGAGAATGGTTAGCGAGATTAGAGTGAACAGCGAGAAGAATCGAAAGAGCAATGAGATCGGTAGAATCCACTCGATCAAATGTTAACACACAAAGTTGATTTCTTTTGCTTGTAGTTTTGAGATTCCTTAAAACCTCCTTTCTACGTAAAACTAACAATAAAACCCTAGTACAAAAAAATCAAAATGTTGGAAAGTGATGAAAATTAAACTCAGTTTTAACATGGGAGAAAAAGCATTCAAAGGCGAAAAGTAAACAACTTGTAGAGTCTCATTCTTGTAGGTAGCGTACACTAAATCCAGATGTTACTCTATTAATCAAACAGAAACTAAGAAGAGTGTAAAAGGTCCTTTTATTAAGAACGCAAAGCTGAACTTAAGGCAGTCCTTGTGCTTACAAAGCCAGAATTTTGAGCCTAAACTCAAAAGTAAGGAATTCAAATTTAAACTAAAGCTAAGTCTTAAGAGGACTCATACAACTTAAAACCCATAAGATGTTCGAATAGGTGACTGTTGCAAGAATTGAGATAACTTATTTATTTTGCAAGCAATTACTACCAACTTTATACAGCTGACTACATAATATAGCTGCTTTCTGAAATAGTCATCAGAAAATTTGTGTTGCCACAAATATTTGTATAATTCAATCCGCTTTGTGACAACATTTTTCGTCATGTTTCCAACCTGCGCGCACAGTTTAAAACATTCTGTTTCATAATTTAATTCCAAATTTAATATATAGCTTTTATAACATTTGGAAACTACTGTGAACCTAAAATTCTAAAAATTTCATGTTAAATTTTTATTTGATTTTGAGTTGAGTTTATAAAATGTATCTTATTAAAAAAAATTTTAATGTTTTCGCCCATAAAATTTTTCAATATTAAAATATTCATCAGATTGTTGATTCAGTTAGAAAATAGTGCCCATATAAAAAATTTCATCCAATTTCAAGTATGTACCATTAGCCATTTTTAAAATATCATGCGCGCAAGGTGGAAACACGGCGAAATATTTTGTCACAAAGAAGATTACATTACAAAAATATTTGTGGCAACACAAACTTTCTGGTTACTAGTTTCCAAAACAGTTATATTATGTAGGCAGCTGTAAAAAGTTGGAAGTAATTGCTTTTAAAATAAATAAAATATCCCAATTCTTGCAACAGTCACATATTCGAAGATCATAAGCGGTTTAAGGTGTATGAGTCCCCTTAAGTTAGCCAAAGTCTACACAGAAATAATTAACTCGCAAGTTGGCTGAAACCTACACCTGCGCGACAGCATTATTTTCAAGGTTAAAGCAACGTCGTAGACAGTTATGCCTTCGTAGAATATTAACTAGTAACGTATTATTGTAGAAGTTAAACAACAAGAATGAGCATAATGTTTGTAAATTTTGCAGGACTAGTTTCGATGGTTTAAATACAGAAGCAGCCTCTTCAGCTGCCTAAGTGCAAATGTCATTTGCACTTAGGCAGCTGAAGGTGGTTACGTTATATAGCATAGGTACACATATGTAGCATATCTAATTGCACATACTACATAAGAACATTCGCCCGTTACATATGCAACATGTACTGCTATACATACGCAACATGTACATTAGCGGTAGCTGAAGATGGTTTTGTTATGCAGCATATGCTATTACATATGTAGCAAATGTTATTACATATCTAGCACGAGCCGCTGTGCGCCTATACAGTACTCTAGACAGCTTGTACAGTATCCGAAAAAGCGGTTTCAGAATTATCAGATATTTTGCCTGGCTACATCCAACATTGTACAGCATGGGATCTTTCAGGACAGATCACAAGAATTCGGAAAAGAACCACGTGGACACAAGTAGAAGAGATGGTGCTTCGTTATGCAAAAAGGAATTCACATGGCAACACACGAGCGATTGCTACAAACCTTGTTGTTTCCAAATCACCATCTGGAGAATCCTGCACTCGAACCACTTATCCACGAACCATGAACACTTAGTATGAGCAGATCGTATAAACAACTATTTCCCTCCTTCTGATTACGCACCGCGAGTTGCATTTATTATGGTATATGGAGGAGTGTGCGACGGAGTCCCATTTTCCGGCTGTTATTCTGTTCATCGACGAGGCATACTTTAGCAGAGAAGGCTGCTACAACGAACGTAAGGCACATGTTTGGGCAGTGGACAACCCCAGGAGTACCAACCAGTTGCAGAGCAACATCGGTTATCCATCAAGGTTGAGGCGGGAATTGTTGGCGACCATTTACTGGGCCCACATCTCATGTCTGATAAGACAATATTATAAGATTTTCTTGGAGGAAGTCTTGCCCAGATTGTTAGATGAGCAAAGCATCCAGCAGCCACGCGCAACGATATGTGGTTCCAACATGCTGGCGCTCCAGCCCATTTTATTCTTTTCGTTTGGTAACAAATTCAAAGTAAGGTCAAAAAGGGATTGGTCGTTGTGTCATGTTCATTAGCCTGCACACTTGCCTGTCTTTTGCTTGGATTTCTTTTCCTGGGATTACCTGAAAAGACTGTTGAAGGAAATACCTGTGGCCAGTGAGGACGATCTTGTCCCAAGCATTTGAGTAGCTGACGCGATCATCCGTAAAACTCCAGTACTTTCGGAAAAGCCCGTGATTCTCTGCAAAGCGGATGTCACGCTTGTGTCCGTAGCTGACACAGCTTAGCTGCTAATACTTACTGTAACCTCTGAATATCACAAATGTAGCGATTTGCTGATTAAAATATTATTGTTGTATGCACATCACTCTCGTTTTCATTTCTTGTGTTTCCTTATTTGCACATTAGTACACGAGGATTGCGTTTCTATTCTGGCATTGCTATGTAATTCCTTACCGTCTTTGAGTAACTTAATGCTTAAACTAACCACTCTATCTATAAGAAATAGTATAATCTTAATCTCAGATTTTTCTTATTGTAGTAATATGAATATTTGTTTCCAACAGATCCAAACGCAAATAATACTGTCGAAACTACGACGATGGTCTTCTGCTCTCCGGGCACATACGGTCCCAGCTGTGAGAAAGAATGTCATTGTGCTGGTAACGAACACTGCCATATTATTACTGGACAATGCCCATACGGTTGCGAAGACGGATGGGGAGGTCCATCATGTGGAAGTAAGACATAAATGTTAAGTTTTCTATAAAAATTCTACAAAACATCATACTTATATTATTGAAGTCGTGGAAGGCATTTAATTAAAATTTAAATATCTGATAATAAGGAATATTTTCAGAAATACATTTTTGATATAGGACAACACTGGAAACATTTTTAACGTAATATCTTTTTTCAGAAAACAAGCATGTTACCATGTTTACTCATCCACGTTTATGCTATATTTTTGTTCTAAAATTTGAAAAGGTCTTGCAGACGGCTGTTTTAATAAATGCAATTGCAGAATGAGAGGAAGAAGTTTAATTATTGTACTCTTGTGATGTTCCTCACCTTTTGTCTAAGATAAAACGTTGAAGAATCTAGTGAACTACGTAGCGACTTTCCGCTGAGTTCAGACAACTAAGACGTAGACGCGAGAAGGGTTAAATTACTTATATGTTTGTAAATTGTGCATTTTTTGCTTTAAAAATGATTGAATTGTGTTGTTATTATCTTCCGGTTAAGGTTTTTATGCCTTTAGTAAATCTGAAAGCAATATTTGTACAATTATCAACAATTTAAAAGCGTGGCTAAGACTAATTTTTAAGTAAAATGGCGGACATATTTGTTTACAATTGAAACAGCAGAATAGTAGATTTATTGCCAATCTAGAGAGACTAAGCTTCGCATCAACAAAGATAACGCCTTCATTTATTATTGCCAATTAAATCATGCTTAATCCTTTCTGCAATTTTTTCGAGGAAATAAGTGTTTAAGATTTACTTCGTAATTTTTAATATAGATATTTTGAGTTTTTATGTATTTTTGCTTTGTTTCGAAATGAGAACTGAATTAATTGAATGAGAAGTACTCCATCGTCTGTGAAAAACTGTTTCTTTTTTGTTTTGTTTGCTTAATTTCTTTTATACATCGTTCTAACTTTATTACAGTATTTGAACAGAACATGTGGCAACGATTAGATAATTCTTTAAATGATATAAATTTTGTGCATTCTGAGTTATAATATGAACGAAGTATAATACTGTTAAGTGACTCTAGCGCCAGAGTGTCGCTATGGTAAACAAATAGAGTGAATTTTAAAGAATGCATTTATTCTATTGTGGTTTATGCTCTGTCGACGAAGTAGATTCATTTCAGTCCAATAAGTTTAAACGAAATGCAAGAAAAAATGTGTATAATTTAATATTCCTTACAAGGAAGTCATATGGTATACACATCGGATTTTTATTATTCATTGTCATCTTACGTATCATCGCTTTCCAAGCGCACAAGAAGTCAAGATAGCGACAGCTATTGATTTGTTTGATGCATCCCATTGAGAATACCCACAGCAATGACATCGCAGCTTGTCGAATAATAAAAGGAGCAGTTATTGACGATATTTGACTACGCTTGTATTTGCTATCTAGCCTTACACTTCTTTTTAATCTTTTTGAGCTCTAAGAATCAACTCTACAGTTTGCTAGAATTAAAATTTCCAGTGGGTGTAGCAGCCTGTTGAATTTAACCAGCTTCCGATATTCCTAGCACATGCCAATCTACAGAAACTAAAAATCCTTTTGGAGAGAAAATGTAGAGTATTCCATGTTTTTTTCTGCATTGCAGTCTTAATAAACCAATTGTCGCTAAATTTGATTAAGGCAACGTTTATTAGCTGCTAATAATGATTGCAGTTTGCGTCATACTATCATATAGCTTACAGAAAAAGTCAATTCGTTTGCTGATAGAAACTTTATGTGCCAGTAATAAAACGTTTTGCATCTGCTAATCTAAAGCTATTAGATTTACTATTTTCTATTCACATATTATTCTTTAATTATGATGAACAGTGTATTTATCAGTGAAAGAGCGAATATCAGTTTTCTGATTGTAACTCAAAAGATATCATGCATATGCATGCATGTGTACATGGCAAAGATCAAAAGATCAGTAAAAACTATTCTTTGCACCTGTTATATGCAGCAGATTTAACTCATTGCACTCAAGGCCTTTTTCACTTGGACAAACCAGCAACTCGTGACATTTTCCTCATATTTGGTGAATTTCGTAGAGCTAATTTTAGATGATAGTGGTTTTTTTTCATGTTTGAAGATAATTCAGAGTCCTGCAGGTCTTTTTCCGGATACAAATAGTATTCTTTGCGGTATTTCTTCGGATTCTGTGCACGTTATCAGTTCTTAATTTTCTGTCACTTCTTAGGAATCACTGGGGCTTTCACATTCACTATTACCTTGATTTTTCTTCTTCTTCCACCTCTTACTTCATCTCTATCTTCATGACTGATTTCTTCCTGTCCACCATCAAGCAGTCTATGCCTAAACGCAAATTCTTTCTTCATCGCTATTTTCCTTTCTGTTGTCAAGTAGTCTATACATAGACGTTAATTCTTCTATCATACACCTCTTACTTCATCGCTATCTTCATCACTGCTTTCCTCCTTTCTGTTGTCAAGTAGACTATGCATAGACGTTAGTTCTTCCTTCATATTCCTCTTACTTCATCGCTATCTTCATCACTGCTTTCTTCCTTTCTGTTGTCAATTAGTCTATGCCTAGACGTTAGTTCTTCCTTCATACACCTCCTACTTCATCACTGCTTTCTTCCTTTCTGTTGTCAAGTAGTCTATGTATAGACGTTAGTTCTTCCTTCATACACCTCTTACTTCATCGCTGCATTTTTCCTTTCTGTCGCAAGTAGTCTATGCATAGACGTTAGTTCTTCTTTCATACAGCTCTAACTTCATCGCTATCTTCATTACTGCTTTCTTCATTTCTGTTGTCAAGTAGTCTATGCATAGATGTTAGTTCTTCCCTCATACACTTCTTACTTCATTGCTGCTTTCTTCCTTTCTGTCGTCAAGTAGTCTATGCATAGACGTTAATTCTTCTTTCATACACCTCTTACTTCCTCGCTATCTTCATCACTGTTTTCTTCCTTTCTGTCGTCAAGTAGCCTATGCATAGACGTTAATTCTTTCATACACCTCTTACTTCATCGCTATCTTCATCTCTGCTTTCTTCCTTTCTGTTGTCAAGTTGTCTATGCATAGACGTTAGTTCTTCCTTCATACACCTCTTATTTCATCGCTATCTTCATCACTGCTTTCTTTCTTTCTTTCTGTTGTCAAGTAGTCTATGCATAGACGTTAATTCTTCTTTCATACACCTCTTACTTCATCGCTATCTTCATCACTGCTTTCTTCCTTTCTGTTGTCAATACACCTCTTACTCCATCGTAGTCTTTCTCCTTTCTGTTGTCATGCATAGTTCTTCTTCACACCTCCTACTTCACGTTTTCTTCTTTCGTCGTCAGTTCTTCCTTCATACACCTCTTACTCTTATTTCATCTTTCTTTCTTCTTTGCTTCATCACTTCCTTCATAAACTCTTATTTATCGCTTTCTCCTTTTCTGTCGTCAGTAGTCTATGCATAGACGTGAGTTCTTTCCTTATACAGCTCTTACGTCATCGATATCTTCATTACTGCTTTTTTTCCTTTCTGTCGTCAAGTAGTCATTTATGCATAGACTTAAATTCTATCTTCATCAACGAAATGTCGAACTTACTTTCACTTGAACTAATTCCTTCATCGTATTTCATGATTATTGGGTTCCGTAACTTTGAAAATAATATTCCTATTATCGCGAATGTTGAGTTTGCACTAACGTCGAAGACGCATATGTAACAATACATCTAAAAAAACGCATTTAAGATAAACGATCGGTAGTTGCTTTATACGCATGTATGGTTGAATACACTCATGAATCGATACTGCCCAAGCCAATCATCGTTACTGCTCGAATGATCGCGTCAAACCGAGTGGTGATTGAGAGTCAACTCTCGAGTGCAAAGGGTTAAGAAATTTTCATCGTAATATTTCTGAATTCCTAAATCCTGCTTTCTTGACTATTATACAGCTTGCCGAGAAAATCGTTTCGGAGAAAACTGTGAAATGACCTGCCACTGTGAAGGGGGCTATCGGAACTGTGACAAGGATGGCTTCTGTTACTCCGGTTGCGAAGCAGGATGGGCAGGATTCACTTGTCAAGCAGGTAATGATAATTCTGTATTCTATTACTTAATATGTTCATTTTTTTAATTTCTTCATTTTCTATACTTGTTTTATAGTCTATACTTGTCTTCGATGAATATTAAAATTAGCTTCGATTTTAAAATGTAATTATTAAATAATAAATTTATAATTTTCTATAATGAAATACATCTTTGCATTTCCATCTCACTAACATAAGATTTAAAAAATAATTTACTTATATTTGAATGTGATATCATTTGTATTTTGCAACAATAAGATTAATATTTTATTTCTTATCAAATTTATTATCGATATTCACTCATTTCTGTCGTTTCTCGTGCCCAAATCAGTAAAATAACCTTTGTCGTAAAAAATACGACGCGCGCGTGCTGGAATGTTAAGCGTGATTTTACTTTTGTTTTCTTTATCTTCGGTTATTAATTTTGTATTGCGTCTTGAAGTAGTTGAAAACTTTACGCAATCCCTTTATCGGATACAGGTTTTCTCATATTACGCGATGTATTTCTGTTCTGATTATTCAAAATATGACTTACAGAGTGCACTCCAGGTCGTTTTGGACCCAACTGCGCTTCAACGTGTCATTGTCATGAAAACTCAACGACGCCTTGCGACAAGGTGACTGGTATCTGTGAAAGTGACTGCGAAGCCGGCTACATGGGATCCGACTGCCAGACATGTAAGTGTTATACGTACTATCTTGGTGTTACAAAACTTGCGGACTGCATAAAGATATGCGATCCGTATGAAATGTTTACATGTAAAAATGCTTGAATTTCTTTTCGATAAAGAGGATTAAGGAAAGAAATAAGTATCTCTTCTTTAAATACGGAAAAAGCAAATAATTGTTCCGAAACTTAACTATCTTAGTTTATATGAATTTTTTTTTTTTTTTTTTTTTCTTCTTCTTCTTCAAGATTTCTGATTCTTTTAACCCTCTGAGCGGCTAGGGTTTTCGCTAAGAAAGCATAAATTTCCCCAAACTTCTATGAGAACAAATTATTTTTTCCATTTTAATGTAAAAATTCTTCTGGTATTTCATACCTGGATTTGGTCTTTGAATATGCCTATTTTTTGACATATTTTAAATGCACCTAAAATCGTTATTACCTATTCACAAAATATTCTAGGCCGTATATATACGTCCTTGCCGCTTAGAGGGTTTTAATGGTTGAAAATTTTAACAACGGATTCATATGCGATGCTCAGAGCTTCAAAATTCAGAGTGCTTAATGTTTTTATTATTTATATCCGTTTTAGTACCTCAATACAATTTTTTTTCCAGCTCGTGGATTGGGTGTCATGATAAAATAAAACTGATGCCACTTCAGGAACATTCTTGCTGGAAATTTCGTATATAAGTAATCCTTAGAATGAAATGCATGGCTATGTCTTGAAGAGCTGTTTTCTTTGTTAAAGAAAGGAACGAGACCTTATCTCCTTATAAGGTATTTCTCCAGCCTTCCTAGCGTGCTTTCGTGGTGTAGTGGTCAGCACATAGAGCCGGTATTTCAAAGGTCCGTGGTTCGATTCCCCGCTAAGTCGTTTGCTTATTTTTCATTTCCTTTGCTTTCAAAAAAAAAAAAAAATACTTAATGTCTCTACAGTGCAGTCCGAACTAAAAGGGTGTCGGATGATGAATCTCCTTCCCCAGGATTTGGCGATTGTGTCCCCTAAAAACCCCAGTCTCCCTTTAGAAGGGGGATATATAAGGTATTTCTTCCGCTTTCCTAGCGTGCCTTCGTGGTGTAGTGGTCAGCACACTGAGCCGGTATTTCAGAGGCCCTGCTTTCAAAAAATACCTTATGTCTCTACATCCTTCTTTTATTAGCAAAGAAAACAGGCGTTAATTTAAGATAAAATAATATCCTAGGAAAATGATTTCTACCAGTCGGCTTTCCCATTTTAAATATATGTAAGATCTTATGCTGTGGTACGCTAAACTAGCAGATTCTCTTACTGCTTTTAAATTTTTCAGATATATTTGAAGTCTTATGCTAGTATAGAGTGAGCATTTTTCCTTTAAACTCTTTTTCTGAATTTCTGAAGTAATTTTTTGACATTTTGAAACTTTAATGTCAAACTCTTCGAGCAGATACACTGTATCGAAAATTATCAGTCGGAATTATTAACGGAAAATGGAAGAAAGAAGAGATACTATTCTCGAAACAGCATTTTGCGGCGAATCATTTTAAATGCCCGAATCATTTTTCATATTGTTGGTACCAAATATTATCGTCCTATAACTCATTTAAAAAACTAAATTATGAGGAATTTACATGTTAGTTTCTCGCATTGGGGAAAACAACTGTAATTAGGGTAATCACATTTTGAATAACATAGTCCTCCGCCCGAACATGGGCACTTGGAATCCCGAATTTCGAATCTGTTTTATTGTCCCTTTTTCATATTTTGTAAACCTTTAACGAATTTTGATTAAAAAGCTATCGAGTTGCAAAGTGACGGTGACAAAACTGTAGAGGGAAAAAAATATTTTTATATTCAGCGCACGGACTACACAGACAGTCTAAAGAGATGCCTATTTTTAAATTTTTAGCCCCATGTGGCGATTACGAGCACAATGCACTAAACTTTAATCTATGTACAAAAAAAAAAAAAACGCACGTTTTAATGTAATATAAATCTGAGAGCTTATATTTTTAATGTATTTTATAAAAGGCATTTATACATTTTTAAAAATATTTTGCCTCAATTGTGCTCCCTCTTAAAAGGATATAAATATGAAAGATCCTTAATTAAAATAATATTAATCCCGTCTATCTATTCCCATCAAAAGCACAAATTCTGCAACTCAGTTTTTAGGGGAATATTTCATTGCAGAATATAAAGTTTGAAAAATTCCTTTTTTAAATTATATATATGTATGTACCAGCTTTAGTCCTTCGTTAAATTATCAGACGATAGTTTAAAAAAAAACAGGATCCATTTATTATTATCAGGAGAAAAAGCAGTTACAAAATCAGATATCCGGAGTAAATAAAAGAATTCTAAATATTTGTATGAATTTCGTGATCGTGACATTTAAGAAAAAGCCCCCGATATTCCTTTGCGATCCTTTTATAGCCTCTGGAAAGGCGAGCTTCCAAGAAATGATATCAGCCTCGTCAGCCAATCCAATTCGTTTAATATTTCCAGAACATTCTATAATTTACGTGCAGAAAGGCGGGAAAAAAACTTGACAACGGGTATGTTTATTAATTTCAATAAGAGACCATCGACATTAAAACTGAAAACATCATACAATTAGAATTTTAAGTGTATTCTTGATTATGGAATTTTATTATTACATATATTTATTTACTTTTAGCACATGTATAAAGAAAACAAGAAATAATTTTCGATTTTATAAAAACTATTAATTGATGATCTGATGTTGCAAAACATATTCTTTTTATAGTGTGTCCGCCTAATTCTTACGGTGTGAACTGCGTGGAGACATGCGTATGCTCTAATGGTGGACACTGCAACCGTGTCGATGGATCATGTGCTTGTGATGGAAGATGGAGAGGACTCATCTGCAATGAGAGTAAGCATGAAAAATTCGAAGAGCTTAGTTACGTTAGATTGAGAGTAATGTATTCAAGCACAGAGCGAACGATACCCCTGTAATCCGTCTCTAATAGCGATGCAAAAAATAAGATTCATAGTCATACATTTTTCAGTCTGATGCGATATGGAACCCACATAAAAAATTCTTAGAGAAATAAGATATTCTCTCTATTAATCGGCAGCAATGGCTGGCAGTTCTTAATATTTTGCTTTTAATTAAAGGTTAAAAGCTCACGTTCCATCCAATATGCACTATATTCAATTTTATTCGATTAAATGTGGCAAAAATAGAGTCTGATTAACAGAAATCAATACGCGAACAACACGCCAACATCTACCTTATATATAGATTTTGTAAAACTTAAAATTTTTGTTTAACAGACTCTACTATTTAAAACCGAGCAAATAGCTACACTCTTCGAAATAAATAATTTTTATCTCTAACGCTTGAGACTGTTGCCAATCGGAAAAATGGCATGAGTGCGAAAATTAATGTTTACGGAGTTTTTAATAATATCTTCGCTGATTAAAGTCGTGCGAAGATGGGAAGAGTCGAAATGGTTTCCTACAAATTTTTGGAATCGGAAAAAAAATGGATTTAATCTTTTGGCATGCTATTTATTTCATCGTAAAACTTAGAAAAGTTATTAACAAACCTAGGATTGCAAGAGATCAGTGGCACCAACTTCCAATAAGCTGATTTCATCTCCACTTGCAAACTGTTGCCACTGAGGAAAATGAGGGCGAAAATTAATGTGTCCGGAGTTTTTAATTAATATCTCGGCTGATTAAAGTCGTGCGAAGATGGGAATAGTCGAAATGGCTTCCTACAAATTTTTGGAATCTGGAAGAATGTATTTAATCTTTTGTCAATGCTATTTTTATTTAATCGTAAAACTTAGAAGAAATTTTTTATTATAAACCCTGGGATTTGAAAGCGTTCAGTGGCAACAACGTTCGAAATAAAGCAGATTTTCATCTCCAGTTTGCAAAACTGTTGCCACTGGGGAAAATGAGGGCGAAAATGATCGTTTTTTCAAGTTTTTAATTAATATCTGTCATTTTAGCTACTTTTTTTTTTGGGAAAAAAATGGACGTTTAATAGAAGGGAAAGTGAGAAACTACCCAGATGTACTAACCGCATTTTTTAGACAAAAACCTCGTTTTCGTTTACTACAACGAGAAACTCCGTTCGATTATTTTTCGCTCAAGCTAGCCGGTAGAAGCTAGGGATTTTCCATTAGAAAAAGAAACTGGCTAATTGTGCCCACATGTTAGCCACAATATCATGTTTTAGAGTGTGTGTACTGTCATGTACTGATCATGTTGAAATTTTTTAACTTTGAAAATTTTGTTATATTTTTTAAATCCACCATGGATAATTGTTTCCATTTAAAATGAAATTTTGTATTAATACGAGTATTTGTTATTTCAGTACAGAATATTATTTTGTAGAAGCATTAAATGATGCTCGATAGACTAAGTAAACAAATGATGAGAAATAAAATTGTATTTTTCAAATATTTTTCTGATAGGTGTTTTTTTCACTAATTAGTACGTGCTCAGAGTGTTTTTTTTTTTTTTTTTTTTTTTGTGCTAGGGAGCCCCGATAATAGCTGCCAGCGATGAGGAAGTAAATATCGGTCAACAGGTGTTTATTTCTTGTACAGCGGATGCAGTTCCTGAACCTCTCATGAACATATCCTGCAGGTTTGACTTATTGTTTTATTTATCTTTTTCTTTACATATTTGTTTTTTTCTTTTAACTGCTTTGGAAAGAAAAATTCTCCCCCCTTCGTTTTTTGCTAAATTATCAATAATTATTAAAAAACTTCTCTGATGAATCAGTACGAATTGTGAAGACACATTAAAATTGAAGTTAACACATGCTAAGAAAAAATTCTGATAAAATTCTAAAAAAACGTTTCTGAAAACTTAATGAATACATAAAGTGTACAAAGATCATTAATTTTTTTTTTTTTTCCAAATTTTCAATACAAAGGTTATTTGTTAGGTAAACTGCGGGGAAGAAAGGGGAGACAGTTTAATCTCCTTTCTACGGCCCGATTGACGAATTACTTCAGTTTTCAGCTCGAAACGCGAATTAGATATAGATTAGACTGATAGATAGCATTGTTCTAATACATGGATTCTGAGAAAACTGTCTTTATGTATAACTACCATTTGTTTCCATATTTATCTAGACTGAAATTCTACCAAACAGCAAGTTTTTTTGAAAAATCGTACAATAGTTTTTAAAAAAATTAGCTGTGAAAAGCTCTCATGTTAGATTGGTATATATTTATTAATATCTCTTTTTAATAAACTTATTTTATTCTTCCTTTCAATTTCGAAATTTGTTTTCATTCCAAATAAATCTCCTATTTGTTCTGATTATTTTAAAATTTATATTTTAAAATTTTTTATAATTCTAAAATTTTTTTAAACATCATCTTAAAATAGATGAACTCGAGGCACACCTGCAAAAAAATTAGAGGATTTTTTTTCAAATTTTCTAAATATAGATGAATTTACATATTGGCGCGATTTGAAATTTAGCATATATGTTATAAGCGATAATAACGCCAAATATGGTTTACGCACTTTTTTAAATTTATTTGAAAGTATGAAGGATGACTTTTTTTCCTTTCGTGTACAATGAAAAAAAAGGGGGGGGGAAAGGAAAATAGGTTGCTTTAAATTAAGAAGTTCGCCAAGTGAATTATTCATGCTGCAAAAAGAAAAACAAACGCGCCAAGATAAATCTTTGAGTTTCTCCGTAAATTTCGCAACAAATTTTACAAAATTTAACATTTAGACATAATTTGAGTCGTAGAATCTAAATATGGAAAAAAATGGCATATCATTTCAGATAAAGTCCGATTTTGTTGTCAAAATACCTGCATTAGAACAATGCTATATGTAAATCGAATATGTATTCGAAGTCGGGCTTTCGAGACATGGGAAACCCAAATTGAATGTTGTCAATCGGCCTAGTAGAACGGGAGAATAGAACTGTCCCATTTTTTAATTATCTTTTTCTTCTTTTTCGCAGGGTACTTCCTTGTCAAAGCGACCACCACGGTCAGTTGTGACAATCGAAAGACTAGTCCAACGTGTTTCAGTTTTAGACTTTTTTTTTTTTTTTTTTTTTCGAAATTCCCTACTTAATTTATAATTAAAGTAGTCAACCCTTATGCTGTAATGAATCGAATAAGCGAACAAGGGAAACTCCCTATGGTATGAATTGCATAGGACTGACGAATTGTGAAGACACATTAAAATTTTGCAAGGTTAACACATGCTAAGAAAAAAATTCCGAATAAAATTCTAAAAAAACGTTTCTGAAATACTTAATGAATACATAAAAGTGTACAAAGTATGCATAAAATATTTTTTTATGAATAGAGAATAGAACAATCAAAAACAATAGAACAATCAAAAAGTAGCGAATCAGAATAGAACAATCAAAAAGTAGCGAATCAGAATAGAACAATCAAAAAGTAGCGAATAAATCAAACTTTAAAGTTGTATGTATAAACATTTTGAGATTTGACAATAAGATAAAATTTCGTTTTTATAATCAAATTTATCCATTATATCTAAAGTATAAAATTGGTAAGAAAATAACTTATATATAAAAGACGTAATGACTTTTAGAAACAAATTCATTCCTCTGATTATTTTCTCGGTTACTTTTTTATTCATATTATTAACATTTAATTATTATTGTTTCGAATAAAAATGTAGCTCTTCTTTCTCACTAAGTATTTTTAAGTACTTTCAGAATCATAAATAAATATAATAAGTTACCAGACGAGTTTAAAAAAAAGAAATAATCTTTAATAACATAAGAAAATAAACGCATTTAAATAAGTACATTAAACAGTTATAAGAATTATCGATTTAAATTTCATTATTTTCGTAAATGGGTGGATATTCGAACAAATTGCATCTACTTAATTTAAAGTTGTCGACTGATTTTATAAGAATGTTTGTTGGTAATTTATACAAATGTGTATTACTTTTCAAATGAAAATGGCATATTTTTAATCGTAGCATTTTTCAATTTTAGCGAATTTCCTGGTTTGAATGTAAACATTAGATCTCTGGAGCAAGACCAGTACCAAGCCGTAGTTAAAGTAAAGCCGCAGAAAGCTGGCACTTTCGACTTTCTCTGCACGGCTCGTAACCAACATGGATTTGATATGAAAAAAATGGTTATAGTTGTAATAGGTTAGTAACATCATCATTGTTGTTTTGACAAAAGAATTGAATGTTTTTGAAATAGTTAAAAGCCACCTGAGGTCAGCGGTGTCCGCCGAAAACATCGCGGATGAAAACGTCACGAAGAAAACAACGCAAGGCGAAAATGTCGTGATACAAAACATCGTGGGAGATAATAAAGCGAAGAGAAAACATCAGTTCTAAAAAACATCGTGGTACAAAATATCGTCATCGAAAATGAAGCGGTTCAAAAACTTCGCAGTTCAAACACATCGTCGTAACGTTACTCGCATAATGATTTGTAAGCGCAAGATGGAAAGAAGGATAATTTTGACTTTCATATTTTTATAAACTAACAAATATTTGCTGAAAATGTAATATGAAAACTTAAGCACAGAAAATTAACACACATTATAGTACTTAATAGAATTTTAAACTGACAAAGTTAACTAAAAAAGGTCATTAATAAATTTTTTTATAAAGTTTTACTGGTAATTTTTCATGAAATGTATGATCTGAAAAAGGATAGAAAAGAAAGATAAGTAATTTCATGATCTTATCTATAAAAAAATTGCTAAGTTAATTATGAGATTATTTTCTTCCCTTTTGTTAATCTGATACTCTTATAGTGAAAATTATTTCTTGCTATGTTTAAATTTCTTATTCTGTTTTTTTAATTTATTAATTAATAAAATATATGAAAAAATTAATCCTTCTTTCCATCTTGCGCTCAAAAATCATTATGCGAATATGTATTTATAATTATTAAAGCGTTAAAAATGCATGTTTGCGATGTTATCGTCATGCGATGGTACTTTATTTTTCACCACGATATTTTCGACGACGATGTTTTTAAACTGCGAGGTTTTTGAACCGCTTCATTTTCGACGACGATATTTTATGCCATGATGTTTTAGAACTGCGATGTTTTCTCTTCGCTTTATTTTCTCCCACGATGTTTTGTACCACGACGTTTTCTCCTTGCGTTGTTTTCTCCGCGTTTTCGTCCGCGATGTTTTCAGCTGTAACCAGAGTCAGCAAACGAAGGAATAAAACGTAATAAACTTAGATATTTTTAAAATACGGTTTCATGAAACATTTCACTTAGTTTCATGAAAGCAGTTTTGATAAAAATCCAGGAAAATAATGTAAAATAACAAAAGTACTCATTGAATTTTTTAATTTATGGTTAGACAATATTTAGCATCTGTCGCACCTCACATCTCTGGTTTGGTTTGGTTTATGTGATCGTGGCAAAGCCTCGAGGGCTATCTGCCTAAGGAGAGGGATGCCTTCGTGGAGAACTTTCTAAGGGAAACTGGCTCGTATACACATTACACATGGGTAAACTACGAAAACGACCATGCAGCGGACCCGTTCGCGGGATTCGAACCTCGTACTGAACTATCAGTATTCAGGGACTTTCCGCACATCTCTGAAATTGAGCAAACATTGACTGCCAATCTTCAGTACAAATCTTCTTATCGTTTCAATGTATTTATAATGCATCTTTGTGTAAGTGAATATTGTGACAGCATTAGTCTCTTACGGAGCTAGTTTTTGGTTGAGCCATTCACAAACTTGCGAAATGCTAACTCCGAATAATAAGACCCACCCCCTTTTTCAGACCTATTTTTAAAGAAAAAAAAAGTGCGTCTTATACGCCGGGCAGCATATTTCACAAGTGCACATCTGTGTGGCCACTAAGGAAGTGGCTTCTAAGATGGACCAATGAGCATCCAATAATATTTGTCATGTCACATGACCTTTCGCTTGCTATAAGGAAGGTGGTTGAAAATATTCTGCCACACAATTTCTGTACAAAATAATTAAAGCTTCGTCGATTGCTTCTGAAATTTTTCATTGCGAAGTTAGGTCAAATATAGGAAATTATGAAGATTTCTCTACCTGGTTGAAATAAATACAAACATATGTTGGATACTTCGCAAAAATATCGATGTGAAATTTTACTTAATAAGTGGTAAATAAGATGAGAAAGAAATATGTGATAAACATCTGAGCCCAAACGCAATCTTTACATAAAACTATGCATATGAGAAAAATATTTACACCAATTACGTATGTAAACAGAAGTCAGCACTTTTTATTGCAGTCTATATGAAAAAATGTTCTATAATAATAACCAATGCAGAATTTTATTCAAAGTGAACTTTACTAATTTGCACTCGTATACATTTAGTGTATTAAATTTCACATTTAATAGCTGCTCACTCTTAAATTTACTGTCTACACAAGAAATACTGATCAAACAGATTGAATTTATTGTATTTACAACGAGTATATTCAATTTATTCACATATTAATTCACATTTTAATGTTAACAATGGATATAATCAGATCATATGTATTCTGAACACTTTAAAATCAAAAGAATGCAAGCACTGGGATAAGAAAACACTAGATTCATTGTAACACTTTCAGTCATTCTCAGCTGAATTAAAAAAATATACACTTGAATTCTCTTAATTCACATAATATGCCGAGAACATCAATGTTAATAATTAATGCGTGATAAAAATGGCGAAAGTGAAATGTCAGCGATTAATCAAACTCAAAAAACAAAAACACTACGAAATTTTCTACTATTACGCCATATATTTATAACTGCGAAACAAATGCAAATTAAAAGGTAAACAACATACGCTCCTATGCACGAAGATTTAGCGTCACAAGAGCAATAGCAGCTCATAGTTTCATTTTCGAATCCCCTCCCTCAGTGGCTATGCTGGTGTGCACTTGTGAAATATGCCGCCGGGCAAATACGGTAATTATCACTATTGGTAAAATTACTTTTGCGAATTGGTACTTTTCTTGAAACGAAGTTAAGTCTGTGAAGTACAATAAATTGAATATGTTAATGCATTTGCTATATTTTGCTAATTATTTCTTATCTTTGGATTATTATCTTCCCGTTATCTTCTTATGGAAGATAAAATACAGTCATTTTATTGCAGAGCCTCTTATTTATGGTGATTTTGTTGCAGATCCTCCCGTGCTGACAGCAAAACCTGTCTTAGTGTCAAAGACTAATCTTTCGATATCCATCAAATGGAGAGAATGGCAATATTCCAAGGATATAGGAGGAAGTCCTTCGGATAAAATTGAATACATGGTAAATAAGTTCTTATAAGTCATTATTTCCGGTTTCTGTTTGAACTTTCTGTTCCGGAAGTGAAGGACACGTGTGTACGTTCCGTATTAAAAGATTAAAAAAAAAATCTTTGCGAAAGAACATTTTTAGAATACCAACATAATGCGATTGTTTAATACGAACGTAGCTTTACGATCTCTTTCAAATGAATTGGTTTCTTCAAATTAGTATTTAAAATTAGGAGGTCGAAATTTTTTGCTCTTTTACTTTCGGAAGTGGGTAAAAAAAGAAACTTTAAATATTACGTATAATATAAAATCTCTTAAGGTGGGAAATTTTCAAAGAATATTTACAGTTTAAAAATTTATTAGCATTATATTACCAAGCGCCTGGAATCAAAAATTTTCAGAATTATTACTGTTTAAAAAGTATTGGCTCTAGAAATTTTCACCTTGGCCGTCAAGTAGAAAGGAAATAGGTACTAAACGTTGCTTAAATATACATATAACTGCTTACAAATATAGGATATAAAGAAATTATGTATAGTTAATTCGAAATTTAAGTCAGAATCAAATAGAAAATGATCAGAAAACATTCAAGAAAAAAAAAAAAAAAATTCGAAAGCTTTCAGATTTCATATCAAGCCCATAGGGGTGTTTTTTTAAGGATTTGTGTGTTTTCTTTACTTATTAAATATCATGTTCTTCGCACTTAAGGGGACTCATACACCTTAAAACCCATAAGATGTTCGAATAGGTGACTGTTGCAAGAATTGAGATAACTTATTTATTTTGCAAGCAATTACTACCAACTTTTTTCAACTGACTACGTAATATAGCTGCTTTCTGAAATAGTCATCAGAAAGTTTGTGTTGCCACAAATATTTGTATAATTTAATCCGCTTTGTGACAACATTTTTCGTCATGTTTCCAACCTGCGCGCACAGTTTAAAACATTGTTTCATAATTTAATTCCATATTTAATATATAGCTTTTATAACATTTGGAAACTACTGTGAACCTAAAATTCTAAAAATTTCATGTTAAATTTTTATTTGATTTTGAGTTGAGAGTTTATAAAATGCATCTTATTAAAAAAAATTTTAATGTTTTCGCTCATAAAATTTTTCAATATTAAAATATTCATCAGATTGTTGATTCAGTTAGAAAGAAATGCCCATATAAAGAATTTCATCCAATTTCAAGTATGTACCATTAGCCATTTTTAAAATATCATGCGAAATATTTTGTCACAAAGAAGATTACATTAAAAAAATATTTGTGGCAACACAAACTTTTTGGTTACTAGTTTCCAAAGCAGCTATTTTATGTAGTCAGCTGTAAAAAGTTTGAAGTAATTGATATTAAAATAAATAAAATATTCCAATTCTTGAAACAGCCACATATTCGAAGATCATGAGGGCTTTAAGGTGTATGAGCCCCTTAAGCCATGAAATTCAGTTCAACAGCAAATATCACGAAATATTTTAAAGAGCATATCTTTAGAATTTCCAATACACAGTCTGTCGTGCTGGAGTTTTTTTTTTTTTTTTTTTTTTTTTTTTTTTTTTTTTTGTTGTGTGTGTGTGTGTGTTTTATTGTTCGCTTCGAAATCCTGGAGTTTCTTAATCAAAAACTCATAAATGCTTTACAAAATATGAAATACATAATAAAACAAATTTCGAATTCCAAATTTGGGCTTCAGTACGTTATTTAAAATTAGATGGCTCTAGGTACCGTCGTTTTATCACAATTCCAGAAACATGCATACTCGTTAGCAGTTTGTTCCTTATTTAATTTCTTTAAATATAGTACAGGGCTCTAATATTTAGTGGCAACAGTTTGAAAATATGAAACAACGCTTACAGTGAACCAACGGAAAATGTCAAAACGAAATTAAGAGTCCTCCTGGGCAAATTGCCCCTTTGAATTATTAAACTATTACATTTCATAATTATTGACTAAACCTATGATATAACAGATATTGTATGATCGTTTCTAAAACTTTGCAGATGCAATGTTTATACGATTCGTCAAAATTTCTTGCAATTTTAATCAGGTAGTTCAGAAAAATTCCTCAGGCTGTGGGATCTAGCCCTCTTTGTTATCATAAACTAGATCTCACAAAGAAACCTGGTTATTTCTTGCACAGGCTTAAAAGAATACCAGTAAAGAAGAAGGGTAAAATGAAACCTTTATTATCCGTCAAACTCTTTAACACAAATGCACGTACTTCGTGTTTACAATAACACCAAAGACTTGTGGTGGAACTTAAGAGTAATTTCACAATAAATTCAAAGATAAGGAGTTAGGTTGAACTAAGCATTTCATTTAAGTCTAACGAGGCTGACTCCGAAACCTACCCGGCAATATACGCATTCACTGGCGAAAAAGGGATATCAGTAACTCCGCGTAACAGCAGAGACAAAATAGTAATTTCGCTGGGTAGCGAAATCACGGTCTAAATAAACTATAAGATTCGTCTGTTTAAATACTCACTTCACTTAACTTTAAATTTGCATCCTGGCGAGGAAACGCGAAGGGAAAATGAGAGGTTCAGGAAAGGTACCAAACTTAAAATAATTCGTTATTGTTGTACAGACATTAGGTATTTTAAAGCAATGCATTTGCCGGGAATCAAAACCACGGACATCTCAATTACGCTCTGAGCGGGGCACACCACGAAGGCACGCTAAGAAGGCAGAAGAAATACATTATATACTCCCCCTTTTAAAGGGCGACTGTGGATTAGACGACCCAGTCGCCAAATCCGGGTGGTGAAGAATCATCATTCATCACCTTTTAGTTCAGGCGCCACTCTAGAGCATTAGGTATTTTGAAGCAAGAGAGATGAAAAATGAGCATCGCCTTCGCCGGGAATCGAACCACGGACCTCTCAATTACGCGCTGAGCGTGCAGACCGCTACTCCACGAAAGCACACTAATAAGGCGGGGGAGAAATACCTTATAATGTAAAATAAGGGAAATCATACAATGCAAGCAAAAAATTAACATTTTTATGGAATCTTAATCGAAAATGAAATTTTATACTTTGAAATCTCCTTAGCACATTATTCTTAAAATTTGACAGTCAGATGTATACAAAAGGTAAACAAAGTTGGCAAATTAAGTAAGCTTAATTATACATACATATATAAAAGAAATATATCTCAACTATAAGATAGATAATCAAAATTGTTTAACTAAATAAACTTAATATTATATGGAAAGATATAATACACTGACTACCAATAAGTATTTGGACACCTATGCAAATGACGATCGATATCTGCGGTCCTAAGGTACGTCACGGACTCCGCCGTTTATATCGTGTAGGAAACAGCATCGGCTTTAGTCGCATGCAAGATGCCTCGCAGTTCGGAGCTCTCTGATTTCGAGAAAGGTATAATTATCGGGTATCACAAATGTGGCCGATCCTTAAGGGACATATCTAGCGATCTGAAGTACCCAAAATCGACAGTGGCCTATGTGATTAAGAAATGGAAGGTGAGCGGTAATTGTCGGAATGTTCCCAGAGTCGGCAGACCAACGAAACTGGGAGATAGAGACCGACGAGTGCTGTCCAGAGAAATTCGGAAGAACCGCGCCCAACCGATGGCCCTCATCCGCGAGGAGTTACAACAGGCATCCGGGAGTATTGTTTCAATGAATACCATCCGTAAGGAAGCACATCTGCTTGGTTTTCATGGTCGTGCTGCAGCCCATAAGCCTTTGATCACAAAAGTCCAACCGCACTGCTCTGTTAATGTGGTGTAAAGCACATCGAAATTGGACCGTAGATCAGTTGAAACGGGTTCTTTGGGAGTGAAGAATGAAGGTTCACCCTTTACCGTTCGGATGACAGGGTCTGGGTCTGGCGTCTACCTGGAGAACGTCTCCTCCTGCCAGAATGCATTGTGCCAACAGTCAAGTTCGGCGGAGGTGGAATTAGGGTCTGGGGGTGTTTCTCTGGTACCGGCTGGGTCCCTTGGTTCCCATTCCTGGTAAGATCAACTCCGATGCCTACTGCACTATTTTGGATGACAATGTGCTTCCTACGTTGTGGCAGTTTTACGGGTTGGACCCCTGTTTTTTTTCAGGACGACAATGCCAGTTGTCATGTTTCGACGTTAACCAAGGCTTGGTATAGTGCCTATGGAAATCATCGAATGGACTGGCCTACCCAGAGTCCATACCTGAACCCTATCGAGAACGTCTGGGACGAGTTGCATCGCCGAATTCAGGGGTGCACTACTCGGGCAAAATCGGTGAAGGAACTTCTATGTCTTCTCCAAGCCTAGTGGAAGAAAATACCACTAGCTGTCATACAAAGACTTGTGGAAAGTATGCCCTGGAGGGTCCACGCTGTAATTACCTCTCGTGGAGGCTCTACCAACTATTGATTTTGCATAAAGTTAGTTTTTCTTTTCTATCACAGGTGTCCAAATACTTATTGGTAGTCAGTGTATAAGCATTTAAAGAAAAGTATGTGTTGCCCGCGAATCGGTTCGAGATTAATAGATATTTATACTATTAATAGGAAATAGCAGAACGGCGGCGGCGAATACTCCGATTTCGAATCTATCGACATTACAATCTTGAGAGATCAAATGTTTTAAAAGAGCATTTACCGTTTAAAAGTTATTGGTGTTATAAAAATGGTGATAATTTTTTAACAGTTTGCAATTTTTCGTTTCATTAAATAAAGAAATAAATCAATTACAAACAAAACTAACTCAAGCAAACTGATTTTACCTCCAGGAGATAAATTAGGTTATTTGAATATGGCAAAGGCCATAGAGAATCTTATATTAATGCGGCTTAAGTGTCTGTTTGTCGCCGTTAGTTTATTGGTTGCTTGCGTAACTGTATTACCCAGTGGGGTGAAGTTGCCACGGCATTCAAATAGTCCATATACACAGTTACCATACATGCAGTTATCATTGTTTTAATTAAATTATTGTGGTATTTAAAAACATTTAAATATGTTTAATTCATACAATTGTTGCTCATTGTGCATTTAACTATATTTACATATGAATTACCTAGCAACTGGTAATTCATATGTAACAATTGGTGACATTTTGTTTCAGGCTGTCTACCGAGAAGTTGGGGCAATGGTCTGGGATAAGGTAGACGGCTGGGCAACGGAGCTGTCGATCACCATAACTGATCTCGTGCCTTACACATTGTACGAAGTTGCCGTCAAATGTAGGAGACTCGGGAAAGGAGGAGAAGGAGAGGCTGGACCCAGTTTGAAAATAAAAACAGACTGTGGAGGTGAGTGCACATATTTGGTTCTTACATTTGTGCTGAAAAAATTCAGGGAAAAATTTCATAAGGAGGAGAAAGTGTAATTGTTAAAATTCAGTTGCTTTATGATTTGGTGTTTATAGTTTTAATCTGTCTTTCAGTACCAGTAAGTGATAAGTGATAAGTCACGGGGGAGAACAGCATTAACATATAACTAGCATTACAGATAAAGCATAGTACGATGCACATAGAAGGAGTAATTACATCTACAAGAAAAGGATATAAACTATATAACATATGTAATATTTACAGATTGTTGTGCGTCCACACTACCTTCACAAGTGATGCTATGCACCAGAGGTACGTATACATACGCATATTAAAAATGCGTGCACATATTATATGACATATAAGATAAAATTAGTACACTAGTTCAATATAGAAATGCGGATGTATAATACATAGAGCAAAGCGAAGTAATGGAATGTACAGTCATACGTATAAGACATGCGATACAGTCAACTGCTAACAAATAACTTGCAAATTACTATATGGTGCAACTACTATATGAGAAGAGACTGCAATGTTACAGTTGAAAAATTAATACAACATGTACATATTTATATAGTGTTACTATTGTGGCATGAAACGATGTATATAGCAGGAGTAATTACATCTTGGGGGGGGGAGGCAGATATAAACAATATAACATATACAGATTGTTATGCAACCAGATGTCATTCGCAATAATGATGTTATACCAGAGGTACGGATATATGTTGGACGATTTGTACGACCTGCATGAAATGTGAGAACTACGAGCTAAATGATACAATACTTACCATACAAAGTACAGGTTACAATATTACGTACAGACCGATTATAACAACGCTGCTCATGTGAACTATAACATAACATACAATAAATACATATCTGGATTAACATGTTACTGATATTCTGGAGTAAATACATTCAAGGATATAGTTAATGGCATTCAAAATACTATATACAAGTTATATAACACAATATAATTACCATACAAAATACGAGCTAGAAGATTACTGAAAAATTAATTATTACATTTCAATAGTATAAACAGTACGTTTCAGTAGTAAGTGTACTTCAGTAGTAAATCCACTTCCGCGAAATATCTTCTGGAGTGCGCGAAATATCTTCTGGAGTGAGTACAAATCAATGCTAAAGAGTGCAAAACCCCTTTATACAGACTGTCATATGAGCTCCTCAGTACTAGTAACAGTAATGTATGATTATTGACACACTCCTTTAGTTCTTAGTTCACACAGTATACGGGAATTTAAAAGCATTTGGAAGGAGTGCGGGCCTTGCACAAATAAGCAAGAAAGAAAAACTTTTAATTCTAAATAACATTATATTAACATTCTAATTAACATTATATTATCATTCTAAATAACATTAATAATATATTATCTGAGTCCAACAAAATAGGTAACCTGCTTTGAAAGACAAGACTGAAAGCTTTAACCCTATTTGCACTTCTGCAGGTGAAGAAGATTTTACATTTAAAATCTTCGAAATTAATCCTACACATTTAGGAATACCACGTTTAATTCTTGTTGTCTTAAACGCCTCCAATAATTTATAACAGTATTTACACTTAACGACCGAGACCAGCGAAGTCTGCATAGAGTTGTCAATGTTCACAGATAAGCAACACTGCGTCAAATAACCGCAGAAGTCAATGTGGGACGTACGAGGGACGTGTCCGATAGGACAGTGCGCGAAATTTGTTTTTTTTCGAAATTTGTTTTGGGCTATGCCAGCAGAAGACCGACTCCAGTGCCTTTACTGACAGCACGACATCGCCTGCAGCGACTCTCGTGGGCTCGTGAGCATATCGGTTGGTCCCTAAACGAATGAAAAACCGTGGCTTGGTCAGATGAGTCATGATTTCAGTTGGTAAGAGCTGATGGTAGGGTTCGAGTGTGGCGCAGACCCCACGAAGCCATGGACCCGAGTTGTCAACAAGGCACTGTTTAAGCTGGTGGTGGTTCCATAATGGTCTGGGCTGTTTTACATGGCATGGACTCGGTCCTCTGGTGCAACGGAACCGATCATTGACTGGAAATGGATACCTTCAGCTACTTCGAGATCACTTACAGCCATTCATGGAGTTCACGTACTCAAACAACGAAGGGATTTTTATGGATGACAATGCGCCATGTCACCGGGCCACAATTTGTTCGCGATGGGTTAGAAGAACATTCTGGACAATTCCAGCGAATGATCTGGCCACCTAGATAGCCCGACATAAATCCCATCGAACATTTATGGGAGATCATCGAGAGGTCAGTTCGTGCCCAAAACCATGCACCGTCAACACTTTCACAATTATGAACGTCTATGGAGGCAGCATGGCTCAATACTCCTGCAGGGGACTTCCAACGACTTGTTGAGTCCATGCCACGTCGAGTTGCTGCACTTCGCCAGGCAAAAGGAGGACCGACAAAATATTAGGAGGTATCCCATGACTTTTGTCACTTCAGTGTATGTTAAAAACAATAGTGAGATGATCTTGATACGACATAATAAATTTGTATTTTCAATCTGGCTGCGACTGGGAATCGGTAAGATGGACCTAACAACAGGAATTACATTCAGAAAAATTCATAAGTTTCAGAATTTACAGATTCTTTAAAATACCGTTTTGGTTTTCCTGGCAGAGCTCACAAAGGTGGATGTACAGTTCAATATCATTACGTGCAACGTTTTTGTATTTGGTTTGAAAGTTCTTTAAATATTCTGTCGCGTCGTCCGTGTGCAGTACTCAAATGAGTTTTCGTGAAATACAGGAAATAACTCGGGGTCAGTAATGTAATACTGAATAGTACTGACGCTTTCCTTAAACAGGATAAATGAATGTAATACGGGGACCGGAAAGTAATGTCGTTTCTGCGCATGTCGACAACAGCATGCTAAGGGCAGAAATGGAAGCAAATCCAAGTCAAACACTCTTAACCAACCTTGGTCGACCCTCCAAGAACATTTAAAGCAGAATGGTGTTGGTGTTGGTGTTGGTGTATTTAATTATGGCAAAGCACACGAGGGCTATCTGCCTAAGGGGAGGGACGCCTTTCGTGGAGGACTTTCTAAGGGAAACTGGCTCGTATACACGTTACACATGGAGAAAACCACGAAAACGCCCGTGCAGCCAGCCCGTTCGCGGGATTCGAACCTCGGACCAAACTACCAGTGTTCAGCAACTTTACCGCTCGGGCCGCTTAAAGCAGAATGGAAAAATAAGCAAAGCAAGTGTTTCAGTCCCTATAATCTGTCCCAAGAGAACAAAGCCAACCGATCCATCCCATGCAACGTATTGCTTCAACGGCACCCTACAGAACCGTCTTTTGATCATTTGATTACTGGAGATGAAAAATGTGTTCTATATGATAATCCAAAACGCAAAAGGCAGTTTTAATAGGTGTTACAAAGGGTTTACATCTCCAAGGGGCGCTTTTATGTCTTTGGGAGTATTCGCGGGATTGTTCATTTTGAATAGCTGAAACCTGGAAAAACTGTTAATGTAGAACTTTACTGTGAACAATTGGATCTAGTGAACCAATCTTTAATCGAAAAATATCTGGCGATTGTCAACGGAAAAGACGTCATTCTGCAACACGACAATGCAAGTTCGAACTGTGCAAGACGAACGCTGGAAAAATATAATGAATTGGGGTGGGAGGCACTGCCTCACCCACCCTATTCCCCCGATATCGCACCCTCGAAATTCCATTTATTCCGATCCCTACAACATTTTCTTAGTGACAAAAAAATGTGAAAATTTCGATGATGTCCAAAATGCCATCTCGAGATATTTGACTCAAAAACCAATTGATTTTTATCGGTCTGGGATTGACATCTGCATACTAGATGGCAAAAGGTTGCTGATAACGAGGGTGATTATATTATTGATTAAAAATAAAAACTTTTTTAAAATGTATTCGTTTGAATTTAATGTAAGAAAGCGACAATTACTTTCCAGTTCCCCTATTACTTTTATTTCCCACAAACATTAACATCGCAGAAATGCCGCGGCCAGTAGTCTCGTGGTTCCAATCGTTTTGGCCTTTTTACGTCATTTATTGACTTCTGATAAATAGTTTGTTTCTTCGAAACGAAATCGGAAATGTATTTCGTACTTTCGTGGTTTGTCAGTTAGCATTCTATAGAATGTCTAGGAAGTGTATGAAATATGAATAGTTTCATACATTGCGGGCTAGGTTTAAGCATTCTATAGAATGCCGGGTTTTAAACTTTATCAAAACAAAAGTATTCTATATGAGTTTTTAACAAAACTTATATACAATACTTTTGTTTAGTACTACGTTACTATTAAGTATTGTATATGAGTTTTTAAAAAACTCATATACAATACTTAATTTATCCAATATATCGCGGCGAAATAATTTATGTTATGAACGCTTTTAGGATGTGTATTATTCGAGTAATAATATTTAAATTTTTAAATAAAAAAAGCAATATAAATTTATTTTTCTTGGTGTTTAAATTATAGCAGGTTTCGTTTTCTTTCTTTCCAAGTACACTTTGTTTTGCAAAACTGGAAAAAAAAAATTACCATATACAGAGGCTGTTCACACATTTTTTAGACGATGTATATTGTATTCACAAAACTAAGTTACATAAAATTCTTGTGTTTTAAATGTTCTATTTCACATCCCTTATTCTGCGTTATCTTTCGAAACCGCAATTTCCAGGATAATAATGCCTTTTGAAGTGGCAGAAGAGGTATTCTATCCCATTCCTCCTGAACAGCTTTCCAGAGTCCTGTTAGGGTTTTGGGACAACGTTCGGATAATGCAGTTTTTAAAAGTCCGAAAGCACAAAATTCCATCGGTGACACATCGGGAGATTTAGTAGGGATATCAGTGAAGGTTATGGCTTCGATACCAGTTTTTTGTGTTCCATTTCTTTTAGCAAATTTACGGTGGATTTTGATGTGTCACTGCTAGATTTGTCCTGATGGAGTCTCACAAATGGGTGGCACTGTGGGTAAAGCAATGGTATTTCATTCAGAAACATTGGCGATAAAATATGTTCCTGATAGTATTTGGAGTTAATCTTGACATTTTTTTTTTGCACTCTCTTTATTTTTAAATTGTCATTATAAGAAAAACCAGCAACAATCATGAATCCCTTAGAAAAACTTTCTTTCGATTCTTTGAACCATGTACTTAAATTTTTTCTCCCCCTTTCATGATAATAAACGGCTCTTTTTTTGTTACAGTCATTTAAATACACCCATGCTTCATCTATTGTGACAATTGTTTTCCATTTTTCTTTGGATAAGTGTTTCTCATATAGAATTCTGAAGCCTGTCCTGCGATGAGCGATATGCTTTGGAAGAAGACGATGCACATTGCGTTTTTTTCGCTTTCTTAAGATTTAAGTCAACGTTTATCATTTTGTTTACAGTGGACACCGAGCATTTTAATGCTTTTGCAACTGTCCTTTGACTACGGGGATTTTCTTTTAACATTAAACAACGTACCTTTGCAATAGTCGAAGATGTCCGTTTTTTCCTTGGATACTTGTTTGGAATTTTTGTCCCCTTTGAGGCTCGAATTTGACGTTTTTTCACTTTCTTGTTGATAATATTACCTATCGACGCTTTAGATATCACAAAACCATGACTCTCACATCGTTTTTGGATAACGGAGTAGGCATATTTCTCTTCTGAAAGAGTGTCAATGTAGCCTTCGAACCACTCCTTTGTTGAATTCGCCATTTTGAATAAAAACAAAACTTTCAAGCCACAGACGTTAATTTTAACTTTTAAAAACATAGTACAATTTCAATTACTTCTTTTGCAGCAAACGATGGTTTATTACCGCTTACCGAAATCGTCTAAACAATGTGCGAACAGCCTCTGTAAACCAGCTAAATTATCCATAACTCGGTGCTTACTGATTTATCACAAGTGCTTGTTGATGCTTAATTATAATTTGCCGTCAAAATGGCACTTCGTTTCGCTTTATTAACAATAAAATATCGGTTTATTAACTAGCAGAAATTTAATTATTGTCTCTTTTTCTTTCTTAAGTTTCGACTGCAGATGGCATTCCCCAGGAATTTCTGCCAGAAAAGATATCTGAAAGTACCGTGACGCTTACTTGGACGGTAAGTTCTACATTGTTCCATTAGATCTTTTTATTGATGCAACTTGTCTTTGCGAATTATTAACCTCAAATTAAAATACGAAAAAACACTTTTGTGCTCTTAGCAACCAACAGAAGCTTTCTTACACTGTCCGTTGACCGGATATCGCTTGATTTATCATCCAGAATCTGCAGAAACAGTGTTAGGAATAAGAGACATCGGAAGCGATAAGACCAATGCAGAGGTGGAAGATCTATCTCCTAACACTGTGTATGTCGTTCACCTATACCCAATCACATCCATAGACATGTCTAAGTACTTCGCCGAACTCATATTCCGGACTTCAGAAACAGGTAAATTATTTTTAATCAGCTGCTTATGATTTACAAACCAGACTTTTTTAATGTCCATCTTAGCAATATCATTTTATTTCCCTGTGCTGGAATCCGTAATAGATTTTTCTTGCTCATTCTATGAATGATATTAATTTTAAAATAAAATTTTGAATTTCCACTTTTAATGGCAACGGCTTTGTAGATTATGTGAATATTTATATAATCATGTAGATATCGCTATAGTAACGATGCAATTTCTCAGGAATATATATATACATATATATATGTAATAATAAAATTCCATAGTCAAGAATTCACTTAAAATTCTAACTGTATGTTCTTTTCATTTTTAATGGCAAAGTTCTCTTATTTGAAAGTACGTGGAATTAAATCCACAGCCCCGTAGTCAAGTTGTTTTTCCCGCCTTTTCTACACGTACAGTTATAGAATGTTCTGGAAATATTTAAAAGGAGCTGGATTGGCTGACGTCATTTCTTGGAAGCTCCGCCTTTCCAGAGGCTATAAAAGGACTCGCAAAGGAATATCGGAGGCTTTTTCTTAAATGTCACGATGCAGTAAACTTCATACAAAAAGTTATTAGTAATTGTTTTTATTTACTCCGGATATCTGATTTTGTAACTGCTATTTCTCCTGAATAATAATAAATGGATCCTGCTTTTTAAACTTATCGTCTGATAATTTAAGCTACGACTACATCTATGATTCTTCACCAATCTATTTATTCGGGACAAAAGCTGGTACATCACAAATATATATATATATATATGTAAGATAAAATTATATGAATCAGAATTATAATATAATTATAAACATTAATTCTTCCTCTCTATTCTAAAATCGTAATAACTTCTCTGCATTACGTCATTTCTAGATCACTCTATGGCCCGCGCAACTCTGATGACGTAATAATTAAGAACTGAAACTGCCTTTGTAAACCAAAACTTTCCTCTTCGCCGTGCTTCCGTCCTTCATAACTACGCACTTCAGCTTTTGCTCTCTACTGTGCTAAGATGTAATTTCGCTGGCTTGCTTTCTATCTCAACAATATCAAAAATGTAAATCTTCTGTGGAAAGGCACGACTAGAAGCCAAGTGATTGTGGCCACAAATATCAGTTGCCAATAAAAATGGAATTAAAACTGCCTCGACTGCCAAGTTCTTTAGATATTACCATGTTAGCATTACTAGCATACTACGCAATCAAATTCTTCTTCAATATGGGTCTAATCACGCATCTACAGTGTTCCGTCTTTCCTTGTGCTATATATATATATGCATATATATATATATTGATGGTGCTGATTATAATAAAAAAAGACATACAGAAGTGACCCTGATAACAGATAGATAACAGACAAAAATATCTTTAATTCAAACAGAGCATCAATATACAGGGTGAGCCGAAAGTAAGTTAACATTTGAAAATTCAGGTAGAGTTGACTGTAAAGTACCCCTTGTATTATCATGAAGTTGTTGTTTAGTTTTTCGCCAAGTTGTTGTATCATTTATGGTAACCTGAGTAGTTGAACGTTATGGAAACCCTATTATGACGTAATCTTTTGCATTATTCTGGGAAATTTTGAATCATGGGATGTTTTGCAAAGGCTTTTGTGGTGTGTGTTGCTTAGGAAATACATTGCTTGTTTCATTGTTTAGATGGTACAAATAGGCTGAATGTAGTAGGATTAATCTTGAAGTTTCTGTACATTTTGTGTTTTGGAACGAAAGGGGAAAAGTGCATTAATCGAGTTAATTAATTGTGTAAATGAAGGTGTACTTAGTAGCCATGGTCCGAAACTACGTAGTATATTTTCGATTCGTTATTTTTGTGAATTTCTGTGACGACGCGGATATACGGATTGTAGTTCAGATAATTTTAGGGAGTTTTTGGATGCTGTTAAGGAATTTTGTGTGCCACAGACTGAAGACGAACGAATTTCTAAGTAAGGTAAGGGGATTTTTGCTTTGTGTATAACAGGTTTTTCCTTTTTTGTGTTATTTTATTGTTTGGTTTAAAATGTAGCTTACTGAGATTATGTATTTTTTATTTGCATCTACTGTAGAATTGGGTGCTCCCTTGACTTTTTAAGTGAGAATATATCGATGTGTACACAGACAAACTCAAGGGAGTGGGTAAAGCATAGTTTGTGCAATTCGGGGATTTTTTTCTAAGTGAAAATACGTCGATGTGTACAAAGATAAAGTCAAAGGAGTGCACAATGTCCTTTTTGTGCAATTCGAGGATTTTTTTTAATGAAAATAGGTCGATGTGTACATGGATACCGAGTTTGCGCAGTTCTTTGACTTGTTATTTTGGCATGCGTAGCGGCAATTCTTTCGCCAAAAATCGCCGCTACACAGGCTAAAATAGCAAGTCAAAGCATTGCACAAACTCGGTATCCATGTACCGCCAAAAATCGCCAAGGGGTACCCTATAATATACTTTTACCGAAAATTCAATAATTCATTGAATAATGTGGATACAGAGGTAAAAACTGACATACGTGCTTGGAATGTCATGGGGTTATATTGAAAGCAAAATAAATTGCTTAAAACGGCCAACAGATGGCGCTTCATGGAACAAAAGCAGTAATTAGCATAACAACTGATTTTTAGCAAAGACTATGTTCTTTATAACAAATGTTCAACATGTTGGCCGTCATTCATGAACAATACGTATAGTCGAGGGACAGTATTATGAACAGCATAGTACGGCATATCTATAGGAAGGTGAGAAATTGCTGTCGGGTGCTATCTTTTACCATCCCTAATGAGGTCAGATGATCTCGGTAGACTTGCGATTCCAGGTAACCCCACAATTAATAATCACATGGATTGAGATCTGGGGACCTGAGAGGCCAAGCATGACGAAAGTGGCGACTGAGCACACGATTCTCACTATACGATGTGTTCAAGAGATCTTTCACACGTGTAGGTGTATGGAGTGGAGCGCCATCTTGCATAAAAGTCAGATTCCAACAGGTGTTTATCAGCCAGACTAGGGATGATGCGATTCTGTAACATGTCAGCGTACCTCGCACCCGTTACACTGACAGTTTGAATAATAGAACACGCATTTCTTCAAAGAAAAAAGGTGTGATCAGGACTAATGTGATAAAACCACTTCACACCGTGATCAACACCCAGAGGCGAGGATAGAAAATTGACAAAGTCATGTAGGGACTGATTTCCTCTCTCACTGCAGCTCATTTCATACATGATTCTCATACTGACATTTTACTGCCCACCGCCATATGTTGGCCTTTTTTTTTTTCAATTTTTGTTTCTTTCAATAAAAGCCCCATGTCATTTCAAGCATGTGTGTCAATTTTTATTTCTCTATCTATACTATTCCGTGAATTATTGGATTTTCAAATCTTAACGGACTTTTGAGTCATCCTGTATACAACTAAATGCTGCAGCAATACCATACACAAAATTTCAAATTTATAGAGCTAATCGGTTTTCCGTTATGCGAGATACGAGATACATACATACTTACTTGCGGACTTTACAAAAATCCCCTTGAATTCATTTTAAACTCATTTTACAATACGTTTTGGAAAAAAAGAGTGTGCCCGTACGTCACGCAAAAAAAAAAAAAAAAGTCCATTTGGATTTGGGAACGGTGAAAAGGGATATTTCCGTTAAAATATGACACCCAAAATGTTTCGAAATTACAATACTTCTTTTGCTTGGTACTAGGAATTAAAAATAGAAAATTCTTGCTTATTCATCATAAGAAGAAATTAAGTTTAAAAAAAAATACAAAAAAAACTTTATAAAAAAATATGAACGTAGTTTGCTAATTATAAAAAATATGAACGTAACGTAGAATGTACTTTTGAAGTTACAGCTTTTAATGCAATAAGTCTTGTTGTCTTCTTAACAAAATAAATGTCACAAATCACATGAAAAACAAACACCCTTTAGCTGAAGAAACTTACAGTTAAAAGCAAAAAAATAGTTTAAGAATAATAACTTATTCAGTTTTTTAGTAAGTGGGAAACTTAATTATCTAATCTCATCTCTGTTTACATGTCTTAGTTACTTAATTATTAAGTGCTTTACCTCCTTAATTTTCATTCTTTACTTTTATTCAGACTTATTTCTGGTTTTGTGCTTTAAGATAATTAAAAGGTATTTTCTCCCTCCTTTCTGCATGCCTTCGTAGTGTAACGATTAGCACACTCGGCGCGTATGCGAGAGTTCCAGGTTCGAGTCCTGGCGACGGCATTACTCAATTTTCACGTCTCCAGCATAAAAAATCCTAATAATTCTACAGTGGCGCCCGAACTAAAAGGTGGTGGATGATGATTCTTCACCACCAGGATTTGGCGACTGAGTTCCCTAAATCCTGATCGCTCTTTACAGAAAAAAGGAGTATATAAAGTATTTTCTCCCTCCTTTCTGCATGCCTTCGTGGTGTAACAGTAGTGCACTCGGCGCGTATTCAAGAGGTCCAGGTTCGAGTCCCGGCCAGGGTATTGCAGATTTTTAATGTACTCCTGCTGCAAAATAGCATAATGACTCTACAGCGGCACCCGAAATAAAAGGTGGTGGATGATGATGCTTCACCACCAGAACTGGACGACTGGGTCCCCTAATCCCCAGTCGCCCTTTAAAAGGCGGAGTATATAAGGCATTTTCCCCCTCCTTTCAGCATGCCTTCATGGTATAATGGTTAGCACACTGGGCGAGTATTCAAGAGGTCCAGGTTCCAGTACCGGCGAAGGCATAGCTCATTTTTCGTGTTTCCTGCTTCAAAAAAAAAAAAAAAAAAAGAAATCTTATGGTGACTATACACAATACGAAACGAATACCTAGCTTTCTTAGGTACTATATATGTATTACAACTCATGTATATGTTACTAAAACTCAATATAAAAATAATGTTCTCAGTTACCGTGCTTTATATTTCTAGTCCCTGGACCAGTATCTGATTTGGAATGTCAAGCAATTGACGGTCAACCTAACCTACTTCTCGTTTCATGGGAGGCCCCTTCGGAAGTGAATGGCGCAATTAAGGGCTATATCATCACCTACACTCTGATGGACAGAGGTCAGTGCGGTGTGTCAGGAGATTCTGATGATTCAGGGATGAGACAGATGCAGTCGGATGATACAGAGGTAAAGTATTCAAAGAATTACTTGCTTGTCTAAAGAATAATTTCGGGCAGAAAGTATATATAAGACACTTTGGTACTTTTTCGTTTCGCCGATGCAAATCTCGCCAAGCAGACTTTATTGGCGACAACACAGGGTATACACATAAAACACGTTAACAATTGTTAGTTCAAAGGATTTTTTAATTTTGAAGACATAAACATTTTAATATCGTTAGAAATTTTGTAAAAAGACAATAAATTTGTAAAACGAAATTAATTTAAGAATTTACAATGCTTTCATAGTACAGCATCCTGGAGTTGGCTACTTTCAAGTCTTGAAGAGCCAGTTTCCCTTAGAAAGTCCTCCACGAAGGCATCCCTCCCTTTGGGCAGATAGCCCTAGTGTGCTTTGCCATAATTAAATAAACCAAACCAAACCAAGTCTTGCAGATTTCTTTGCTCGTGATGAAGAGGACCTGTACCCTCCTACCCTCGAAATAGGTTGACTTATTGACTAAATCTACGGCAAACAGAAGGTTTTGCTAATTTTATGTTATGCCAGTTTTTTTTTTCTGTGACCCTTGCTTCGTTACATGCTCATTCCAACTAGAGGTTTACGTAAATGTTATGGCAAGCGGCTAATTTAGTGTTAGGAATGTAAAATCCATTGAAAGCACGGTGAAATTCATCTCGAGTGCTCATGTCCAGGTAGAGAAGCCGTTTGCCGGGTAGGAATTTAGAACTACCGAGGCTTTGACAGAGTTCGATAAATGTTTAAAGGTTAGCTTGTACCCTCCCGGCTCAAGGTGTCTGGCAATTTGCTTTTTAATCATGTCTTAACGTTAGCGTGTCAGTAAACAGCTATTGTTAGCTGTCTCTAAGTAATAGTATGCAGGGTTATCCAAATTAAACTTCCCCAATTCAGAGGCCTGTGCAGAGTGTTGTATGGGTCATAATGTGATGAAATTTTAAAAACAGACACTTCAGATCATGGGCTCGAGATTTATTAAACAAACAAAAAAAAAAAGTAACAAGACGTTGCCGATAGGTGGCGCTGCAGATCAACAAGACATTCTACAGATGTTCTGTACATGTGTCGTGGTTCTCCACAACTCTTTCCATTCGTAAAGCAGTGTGTTCCACAGCGGAACGCAGTAAGTCCACATTAATTCCACAAACATGTCGAATAATTGCGTCTTTCAGATGTGTCAAGGTTGCTGGGTGATCTCGGTAGACCCGATCCTTTAAGAATCCCCATAGCCAAAAGTCGCACGGCGTGAGATCAGGCGAGCGGGGAGGCCAAGCTGTAGGGAAACAGCGGCTGATCACACGTGCATCGCTAAAAGTTGCCCGTAACACCTGTTGAACGCCACGAAGAATATAGAGAGGTGCACCATCCTGCATAAATATCGTGTCCTGGAGGCGGCCACGTTGTTGCAGTTCAGGGATCAAAAACGTTGTCAACATGTCCTGATACCGTTTTCCTGTGACTGAGTAGGTTTTGACTATTGGAGTCACTTCTTCAAAAAATAATGCCCAATGACGAATGTTGCAGTGAAACCGCACCATACAGTAACCTTTGGAGGGTTCAAGGGCACTTGATGGATTGCACGCGGGTTTTCACTTGCCCAAATGCGGCAGTTGTGCGTATTCACTTGACCATTCGGGTGAAAATGGGCCTCATCCGTCCAAAGGATGTTCCACGGCCAAGCAGCATCGACTTCCATTCTGGCAAAGAACTGCAACGCGTTCCTGAACGAGTAATGTGCATATTGCGCAATCACGTTGCTGCAATATGCACATTACTAGTGTTACAGCGCCACCTATTGGCAACTTGCACTATTTTTTGTGTGTAATAAATCTCGAGCGCACGATCTGAAGTGTCTGTTTTTTAAATTTCATCACATTATGACCCATACAACACTCTGCACAGGCCTCTGAGTTGGGGAAGTTTAAATTTGGATAACCCTGTACTTTATTTATACCTAGTTTTAGTCACATTACTAGTCGTAAGTCAGAGATAGTAAATTTTTTTGTGTGTGTTTGTTTTTACTTTGAATCTTGTCTTGTGTAATAACAGTTAAACACTAACAGAATCTTCTTTAATTAAAATGGTTTGTTTGCTATACTATATCCACTTTCTCACTTTTTCTGAAATTTTGCTCAGGTTACGCTTCAAAATTTATACCCGTACTCAACTTACAACATAACCGTTCAAGCCCGGACGTCGGCTGGAGAAGGTGAAGGCATGTCTGGGACAGCAACCACTTCAGAAGCTGGTAAGTAAGAATTAAAATCTCCTAAATTTGTACATGTTTTTAAGGTCTAAATTTAAAAAAAAAAGTTTAATATTTTTTCTGTGAATGTTAAATTTTAACTAATTTAATTAATAATATAAATAAATAAAATTCATTTAAGAATATAATTAAATAAACTAATTTAATTGCTGATTTTAGTGCCAGAGATTTAATATTGTCCGTTATACTGAAATGGTTCTTCTCATGTTTTGACCCATGCACCCCTTTAACCCTTTCCGGCACGCTACCTTTTAAAGTCGGAGTTTTGATTAAAAAAAAAAGGTAAGCAATCTAATTAGACCTAGAGGTGTACACAAGTAAAATTTTGTGAATATAGCACTTATCGTTTTAATTCTGGGGGTGTGCGCAAAGTGGGCACACTGATTGAATAGAGCTTCGAAAAGAGCATTGTTGCCAATAAACCGACCGACGAGATACGGAGAAACAAAGAATACAGACTCTCAGTTGTCCTAGATGATCGGTGAGCCCGGTCTGGGCGCACCTAGGGTTCGCCGTTAGATTTTAGGCAAGATTTCGAGGTAAAAATTTAAAACTAATATAGAATAAGGAGATTAGCATACAGCCAAAAAAGTAACATACAAATTTCTTTTAAAACAATTCTATTTATACCCTAAAACAAATCTGGTAGATTTCTTTGAAAAATGAGGGTCTTAAAAGACTAAACATGGGTCAAATATATGGGCTGGTTTGTGTTGAGCTGCCATCTACTATAAATAAATAAAGAAGGTTCAGAGTAACCTATAAATCCTTTTTTATTCAATTTTTCTGTACGTACGGAAGGAAATTTTTAGGTATGTCCAGACCGGACACACTGTGCCGCAAATGGTTAACTTTACCATTTATTTCTCACAGCATACAGGTGTTCCCGCACTTCGGGACAGAGAGACCAATACGTTTGGTCTAAAACGTAGAAAATAAAAATTAGTCACTTAATAACTAACTTAATAAGAATTAAATGTTTCACAGAGGCTAATAATGCGAAGATTAGCCTTTAGAACCTGCGTATGTAGTGAGCTAGATGCGAATACTACAATACGCCTATTATATCAGCAAGAACAAAGTTCTAGCCTAAAAGGCAGACACGAACTGATTGAAAAGCACGCGCGTAGCAGGGCAGCAGGAAGGCTCTCTCCCTCTTGGCTAGAAGCCACCTTTTTAAATACCTTTTACAGTTTGCAACTCATTAGCATAAAAATCCTACTCGCGTTTATTCTGGCCGCAAAATGCAAAATAAGAGAGCCTAGCAAAGTTTAAAATAAAATAAACGTTAGTAAAACTTAAAATCCTTATAATCAGTAATCACAAAAAATTTCGAATTCAAGAACTCTCACTCTGTAATCACAAAAAATCCCTCTGTAATCACAAAAAATCTCTCTGTGATCACAAAAAATCACAAAAAATTTCGAATTGAAGAACTGTATGAGAAACCCTTCTGTTTTTCTCACAAGTATAAATCTGTTTACGATATAATGTTGCGAGGCCCCAACTTGTCAGCAACAGTGGTAGTGACTGCTTTGAACTGTAAATTACACAAACTCGTAAGAAGGGTTTAAATCCCTTTTTATTCCACTTTAGAAATCACAGATGCGTTCACTTGACGCTCACAAACTACGCCGACCCGACGGTTTAACAAAATAGAAAAGTACAACTAAAAATAAATGACAGGATGAATAAATAATGAGATCACTACCTACGAGGCTCTATAATCGTAACTAACTTAACCGCGTTCTAAGATTCAGCGGAGATTCAGCAAACTTACTGGTTAAGAAGTTGAAAGATTCAATGAACTGCCGAGATAGGCATACAGGCCGAAACGCGCGGTTCTTAAATTTCTACCTAGCAACCTTCATGCTCGCGATTCAAGAAGCGCACTTACAATCTCGTTTCCCTTCTATTTAACTCAATTTACTTCTGCTAAAATTTGAATACTGCGCGTTCTACTACAATTTACATACTCTGGCATTGGCAATTCTAGGGGAAAGTAAAGGCTTGACAGGAAAGATAGCTTAAACTTAAAATAAATGTTAGTTAAAATAAATATAAACCCTACAACGAAAATGGAGTCTCATAATTTTATCGTGTTCCTTTTGCATCAATATGACAATATGTTTTGGGACTTATTTTTTTTTTCAGATGTTATCTTATGTTTATTTCTTTTAAATTTAATTTTTATTTATTTATTTATTTATTTTTTTCTGCTAAGCTCCGAACGAACCACCACAGAACATTCATGTCATCTCTGTTACAAGCAGCAGCCTCGAATTTGGTTGGGATCCAGTTCCCTGCGAATCTGCCAATGGCATCGTTATCCATTACGAATACATGGTTGTGAGCGGATATGATATATATCCGACTATTCTGCAACGAGTGAAAAGATCTAGCGAAGAAACGGATAGTCATTTGCTTATAGTAGAAGGTAAAAACAACTTCCTTTTGGTAAACTAATCATTGTGCGTAACTGATTAATGTTTAGCAATTTTTGTTGCATTAATTAATTAGGATATTAATAAACAGAAAAGTAACACAACTCTTATTTTAATGCAAGTATTTAACAGGTAATAGAAACAAGATAATTATGTTCCCACTAGAATTGAAGGGCTTGCAGCGAGAAGTAACCAGCTCCACTTCGGTAAATGTTTTGTTCATGGGTCTTTTTTGTTAGAAAAAAATCGTTCTTTACGTTGGAAAGTAGTAAAAAGCCATTGGAGTAGCCGTAAAAATAATTTTTAAAGAAGACAAACGTTTCAAATATAAGTTAAAAAATTAATTTTTAGTCCAAAGGAGCAATTTGCACAGACGAACTATTAATTTCGTTTTGGCATTTTGCATCGTTACACGTTAAGTGTTGTTTCACTTTTCACATGGTTGCCATCCAATATTATCGCCCTATATTATATTTAAAGAAATTAAATAATGAAGAATCTGCATAAATGTATGCATGTTTCTATCATTGTGATAAAACAACGGTACCTAAAGCCATCAAAATTTGAATAACGTAATCTTCCGTATGGGCATGTGGGAGCCCTGATTTGAATTTGAAGTGTGTTTATTACAGATTTCATATTTTGTAACACTTCAACGATTTTTTGATTAAAAAACTAGACTATTCCAAAGCGAGCCATGGCAACACTGTACGGGGAAAAAAATCTGATGTGTACACCACATGACTTCCTTGTACGGAATGTTAAATTATACGCATTTTTTCTTGCATTTCGTTTAAATGTAATGGATTGAATTAAATCTACTTCGCCGACAGCGCATAAACCACAATAGAATAAATGTATTCTTTAAAATTCACTCTATTTGTTTACCATAGCGGCATTCTGGCGCTACGTTCATTTAACAGTATTATATTCCGTTCATACTATAACTCAGAAAGCACAAAATTTATATCATTTAAAGAATTATCTAATCGTTGCCCCATGTCCTGTTCAAATACTATAATAAAGCTAGAATGATGTATAAAAGAAATTAAGCAAACAAAACACAAAGAAACAGTTTTTCACAGACGATTGAGTATTTATCATTCAATTAATTCAGTTCTCACTTCGCAACAAGGCCAAAATACATAAAAACTTAAAATATCTGTATTCAAAATTATGAAGTAAATCTTAAACACTTATTTCCTGGAAAGAATTCCAGAAAGGATTAAGCATGATTTAATTCGCAATATTAAATGAAGGCGTTATCTTTGTTGTTGCGAAGCTACGTTTCTCTCGATTGGCAACAAATCCACTATTCTGCTGTTTCAAATGTAAACAAGCAATGGCCGCCATCAAAACATTATTAGGCTTAGCTGTACTTAAACGACTTTAAAATTGTTGACAATTCTAAAAATATTCCATACAGATTTACTAAAGGCATAAAAACCTTAACCGGAAGATAAGAACAACATAGTTTAATCATTTTTAAAGCAAAAAATGTACGATTTACAAACATATAAGAGTAAAGAAGAAACTGTGATCACTGAGCCGGGAAACAGAGTGGATATATATATAAATATATTTATATACGTTTGGTGCGGCCGACTGGTACCAAATACGAAGTACACATCTACATGTTATAGTAGTCCTATATACAAAATTTTAACTTTCTGAGGCTATTCGTTTATGCGAGATACGTGTGTACATACGTTCGTACAGACGTCCTTCAGAATTCATTTTAAAGCAGTTTTATAATTGTTTTGGAGGAAAAGAGTCTTTTATTCTGTCCTTACGTACAGATATCACGCAAAAACATCGTTAAATTGCATTGGATAGCGGTCAAATGGATATTTTCGTTGAAATATGCTGCCTCAAACTTTTCACGATTACAATACTTTCTTTTTACCTCGTACAAGGAAGTACAAAAAATTTTATTTCGGGCGCTCGAGACTGTATGTCGGAAATTCTAAAAATATGTGCATTTTAAAATTTATTTGAGATATTGCTGTTGAGCTGAATTTTATGGTTTGACTACGTTGAAAATGATATTTAATAATAAATAAAGGTAACACGCAAAACGTTAAAAAACGCCCCTTTGCACGTAATTTAAAATCTGAAACTTTTCAGGTTTTTTTTTTATAATTTTATTTAATTTTCCTAAAATTTAAAAATGTGAGCTGAGCCCTTCTTGCTGCAAGTCCTTCAATTTTCATTTTAGTCTACAGGTGAGGGCGCTATGAACGTTAAAGTCAAGACAGATTACCTGATACATGACATCCTGATACTGCCTTTTTGTGTAGATGGTGCAGAATGTGTGTGTATAAATTTAGAGCTATTTCCGAGCCGTCTAATTAATGTTTAAAGTATAAGGAGTGTTTTTTAATTGTTCCATTTGGTAGTCTTTTTTCTAGAATATTGGTCTACATAGGAATTTTAATGATAAAAAGAGTTTTCGTAAAATTTCTGGGGTTATTAATTTCCATTCCCCTACTTTCCATAGTACATTATTCGTGGTAGTTATGTGCTTAGAGAGAGCTTTTTTTTCGAGACAGAAGTAGTCCACAGGCGAAACGGCGGGAGACTTTGCAGATATATGTTAAAAAGGTATACATGGAATACCTGTGTCAGTTTTCTTTTTTCCAAGGAATACAGTGGTACCTTTTGAAGTATGACTTGTTGCTTTGTTTTTATCAAGTTTTCCTCTTTACCTTCTACCTTTTCTCCTTCTACAAACTGTAAAATTCGGCATAAAACATTCTCTTGTTAGTAAGTTTAGTTGATTTTAGCATTTTTTCCCTCTCTTCTTATTTTTAATTTCCCATTGTAAGAGAATCCTGCGACAATCATAAATCCTTTACCAAGACTTTCTTTGCATTAGCTGAACCAGGTTTGTACATTTCTATTCATTTCAGATAAGAAGTAGACCTTTTTTAGGAGGGTAGTCAATCCATGCTTCATCACGTGCCATAATAAATTGTCATTTATCTCCTGATAAATAGTTGTCATTTCGGGGTTCTACAAACTGTTCTGCGTTGAGCCATATGCCTCGGCCTAAGCAGGTGAAACGCTATGGTTTTTAGCTTTCTGAGGTGTAAATCTTGGTATATTATTTTATTTATTGTAATTAATTACAAAAAATCGAACATAATTGTAATGTTCCTGTTTCTTACTTTACATGTAATTGTTGATGACTACCACATGCATTCATTTCTGATAAATAAAAGGCATTTAATTTTTTTTCTTTAATTAAAGAGTTAACAGTTGTAACGCTTACTCGAAATATTCTTGAATTTGTAATGATTGTACAAACTATTGTATTTTTCAAATTCTAAAAAATCATGTTATTATAATGTGTATGTTCTCCCAAAATAAAGGTCATCAAGTCAAGATTGGGAATTTGAAACCGCACACGTTCTACGGATTCATGGTCCGAGGAGTAACTGCAGCTGGTAGCGGACCTTTATCGGACATTATTTTCCATAAAACGGAGGAATCGGGTAAGTATCATATTAAAGCAAGCAATGGTTGTTGGTTTTAAACGTTTCTTCTGAAATTCTAATGATAGGGATTTTCGGTACTATTCGGTTTTGAGGGCTGTAAAAAATCGCCAAACTATTGTTGATGCCAGTGCTGCCAAATATAATTGCGGCAACCCTAATGCATGAAGGGAAGTATAATAGTAAATAACTATCTAAGATTGATGTTTTTAATTTGATGAAAGGTGATTTCATATAATACTTTATTATTATTAAAATTATAAAAATTACTAAACATAACTGAATGGATCCTGCATCGCTATTGCTACCGATTATCGCTAAAGCCTAATTTCATCTCGTTGGTTGTTCAAACATAATTTTTATAATGAATGAAACTTTTTCTTTAAAAAAATTTTCAGTAAGTGCAGAATCGCCCACTTGTTTGTTTGGCCGCTTTTACAGGGTAAAAACATTGAATTTTGTCAGTTTTCTTTTCTTTACTGGGAGAATAGGTCGATGTTACATAGATAAAGTCCAGGGTGGGCGCAGTGCCCTTTTTGTGCAATTCTAGGATTTTTTTTTTTAAGTGAAAATAGGTCGATGTGTACATGGATACCGAGTATGTGCAATTCTTAAAAACGCGTCAAGGGGTGGGTGATTCTGCACTTTACCCAAATTCTATTGCAGACTTTTCTCGCGTATCTCGTGGAGAAAAGAGGTAGAAATGAAAGAAGTAAATTAAATAACTTTTGTTAGCAAATCGCAAACATAAACGTCATAGCTTAACGAAAATTGGAATTTCTTTCCTTTTCGTGTATGGGGTTTTTATAGAAAATAAAAATGTTTTGTATAGGAAAAACTAGTTTATTTTTTATCACATTAAAATTTTTAATTTAGCATTAATTTTTTTAAGCTATCAGTAAAATGGGTTCACGCGAGACTTTCACTTAGGAGTGTAGGTCTTAGCACTTTGGCCTCTCATATTATTTAGGCCCACCAGCGGCCGAGCGGTAAAGTCGCTGAACACTGGTAGTTCGGTCTGAGGTTCGAATCCCGCGAACGGGCTGGCTGCATGGGTGTTTTTCGTGGTTTTCCCATGTGTAAACGTGTATACGAGCCAGTTTCCCTTAGAAAGTCCTCCACGAAGGCATCCCTCCCTTTAGGCAGATAGCCCTAATGTGCTTTGCCATAATTAAATACACCACACCACACCTTATATTAGTTACTACAGATTCAAATTCAAGGTGGTCAATGAAATTAAGATACGAATTTTGCCGTGATTTACAATCCTCCTAAATTCCAAAGTCTAAGTTTAAAGCCCTTGTCCTTGAGGATATGATCACTGCGTGAAGTATGAATGAAAATTAGTCACTTAATTTATTTACTAATTTTGCTGCTGCTGATGGCAATGTCACTTTGTTAAAAATGTTAACGTTTTTAAAACGGCGCGGTAAATGATGTTTCGACATTAATTATTTTTATTGAAAGCGTAGCCTTTATATTTTCAAATTTATAATATATTACGTTTCAGATATGATTGAATCAATTTATTTTTAGTTTCAAGCCAACCCCTTTTCCTGGATATAGTATCAGTAGCTTCGGAGAAACTAGGTGTGGCATGGCGCCAGCCAGAATCGCCCAACGGAGAAATTATTCAATACAGAGCTCAAGTCTGGGATCATGAACTTTCACATCTGACAGCAGACATAACTTTCAACGTTACGGAAGACGAAAATGATGAAGGAAAATTTGCAAAGATTATTGAAAATCTGAAACCCGCTAGTGATTACTTTATTAAGGTAAGAGAATCCCAATTTAATGTCATGTTTCTTGTGACTGATCATGTCTCCTGTGCAATTATGGCAGAAAGGAGGGCAAATAGGGATCATAGAGATATTCAAAACCGCATTTTTACGGGATCGGATCAGAACCGTTCGCCCACTGAACCAAATCAGTTCTTTTTAGGACTTATCGCTTACTAACGATAACCTTGATGGAAAACATTGGGAACGAGGAGTAAATCATGAACAGGCAGCTAGGATAGAGCGAAGAGCTCAAAGAATCAAACGAACAGAGTAATCGTTAAACGGTCAGACAGGTTGGAGAGAAGAGCGAAAAGAATCGAACGAGCAGTAGGATCGGAACAAGCGACACCTAACTCCCAGAAGTGATTTTCTTCGGAGTGTAGTTTCAAGATTCCCTAAAACCTCCTTTTTATACAGAATTAACAATAAAATTCTAAAGACTTCTTTTTTTCACAGAGTTGGGAAATGATAAAAAATAAACTCACTTTTAACATTTGAGAATAAACATTTTCTTTTCCTTCTAAGCTGGGAATCAAATAGCACATCTCTGCAGGGTTCACTGTCTCCTTCTTTTCCCTAATGTTCAGGAAACCGATGAGACATTACACGCACCTGAAACAGTTTATAAAGGATGGTGTATTGAGAATACGGCAAAGCACACTAGGGCTATCTTCCTAAGGGAAGAAATGCCTTCGTGGAGGACTTTCTAAAGAAAACTGGCTCGTATACACGTCACACATGGGGAAAACCACGAAAACGCCCATGCAGCCAGCCCGTTCGCGGGATTCGAACCTCGTACCGAACTACCAGTTTTCAGCGATTTTACCTCTCGGTCGCTGGTGGGCCAGCTTATATAGGAAATTAAGCACAACATTTCCCGTGTGCATGTGCATCTTCTGATTGTACTGTTGTAGAGTCATTAGGTTAATTGGAAGCAGAAAAGATGACAAATTTGCAACCGCCTTCACCGGGAATCGAACCACGGACCTCTGGAATACCGGCCCAGCGTGCTACTGTTACACCACGAAGGCACGCTAGGGAAGTGGGAGAAATACCTTATATACTCTCCTTTTTAAAGGGCGGCTAGGGTTTTAGGGGACCTAGTCGTTAAATCCTGGGTGCGGAGAATCATCATCCACAACGCTTTTAGTTCAGGCGCCACTTGTACAGTCATTTGATTAATTGGAAGCAGAAAAGATGAAAAATTGCAAACCCATCGCCGGGAACGAACCACACGGCCTCTGGAATAACCGTCCCAAATGTTACCGTCATCTAAACTGGCACGCACGCTAGGGAAGTGGGAGAAATACCTTATACTGTAAGCACAAAGAGCTATGTACAGATTATTTTGGAATATTATATTTACTTTCTGCAATTGATTACACATGTAATTATTATGTGTTACACAGTAATTATCTACCACTAATGCGTATAACCATTTACTGATTGTAACTGTATGCATGAAAAGCTATGTACGGATTGTTTCGAATATTGTATATACTCTCTGCACAGGATTACACACGGCACTTTTCTGTATGTTACTACTCACCATTAATATACTACTATCTATGGATTGTACTGTAAGCACAAATAGCAATATACAGTTTGTATCAAATATTGTATCTACATTTGTTTGCACACGGTACTGTACTATATGTAATTCTCTCTACAATTGTTTGCCGCGTACTTTACTTATGTAATTATGTATACTTACCACTAATATTTATCACTACTTTCTGATTATAATTTATGGACAAATAGCTTTTACAATTGCTTTGAATATTATATCTAATCACTGCACTTGATTATACACGGTTTGTACTAATGTCAGCTTTACTTATCCACTACTATTATACCTAATCAAGTACTTATGTATAATGATCCACCATTACATTATGCAAACATGTTCTGTAACTTCTGAATGCACATTGTAGCACGGAAGTGCAAAGACGTTTATGTATACAAAAATTGTGACTCTTGTAACATTTTAAAGATTTTTTATTCATTCCCGGGTTGAGTAATGGAGTTCTGTTTCCACTGTATGAGCATTATTCTGATAGGTATAACCTTAGGTTGGAAGCCCTTACAGCGTTGATCGGTGATCGGTATCATTTCCATTTGCATAAACCAGTGTGTGTATAAAAAAGGAGCCCTGTTGTCATATTCACATATAAGCATATTAAAGGGCGCCATCGATTCTTCTTAAACAGAGCCATCGAGTTTCAGCTACTGATACACTCTGTGAATTATTGTTAGCAAGCAATCCATGTGATACCAAGGTGGGTACGAAAGCTTCTTTCTGTACATCCAAATGTTTCTTAAAAAAAAAATGAAAGATTTCAGATTTTAAATTACGCTTCAAGTAGCATTTTTTAAAACTTATCTTAACCTTTAGTTATTAAATATCATATTCTTCGCACTTAAACCACACAAAATTCATTTTAACAGCAATATTAAAAAGAGCACATCTTTAAAATTTCGGATACACAGTCTCGCGTGGTGGAGATAAAAATGGTTCTAGTACAGTGTTGCTATTGCTCACTTTGAAATCGTTGAGTTTCTTAATTAAAAATCCGTTGAAGTTTTACAAAATATGAAATTGATAATAAAACAAACTCCAAATTCCAAATTCGGGCTTCCAAATGCCCACATTCGGGTGGAGGATGACGGTACTCAAAATTGGATGTCTCTAAGCACCATTGTTTTATCACAATGCGAGAAGCATGCATACATTCATGCAGATTCTTCATTATTTAATTTCTTTAAATACAGGGCGGTTATAATTAAAGTGACCCTATTCAGACCCCTGTAGAACCCATTCTGCCTTCCTAATTTTGATGAACTTTGTATATACATTATAGGACTATGGGGAAAGATTTCTGCAATAAAAGAGTTCACATTTGACCACCAGAGGCATTTCAAATCCTTAAGCAAATTAGTCAAACCTATAAAGAAACTGCAGCAAGCCAGAAATCATTCGCATGCCTTTTCATCGCTAACCAATGCCTAACAGCAGAAATCACACTTTACTGGTAAGCTTTTTTTATTAGCCCCACATTTGAAATGTGCAAATAATTCAAAATTTTAGAAATTTCCCGTCGCTTTTTTCATAAAAAACCTTTTTTTTCCTCTTATCTTGATTAAAAACATTTATGACATGCATCTATTATTGGATAAATGTTCTGAAATGACAAGTTTCAAAAATTTTCCTTTATCTATGTAATTTGTGTTCCACTGAGCTTCAGTTAGTTTCTGAAAATCCTACATTAATTTATTTTTATATTCGAAGTACTACCGATACATGTATCAGGATTCGTAACATCACCTCATTCTCTATCTTTGGCATACCTACATAATGTGAACAGCTTTCTTGTAAAATGAAATCCTAAAATCAAAAATAAGAACACGGCTGACAGACAGACATTTGGACGAAACTTTACGAATTGCAACAATGCAGATTAAACCGGATATTGAAGCTTTAATCAAGCTAAAAAAAAAAAAAAATGTCAAATTTCCCACTAAGACTGAAGTAACTACCATCTCCCGCCAGTAATGTAAGTTTTTTTTTCCCTTTTTTTTATTGCAAATGCATTTTGTAACACCGTTCTGTAAAATCATTTTTATACGTTTTTTTTTTCATAGTTAAAAAAAGTTGCAAAACTTTTTTAATTCACTTTCTTTTTGACTTTTTGGAACCAATGTACATATATGCAAATCTGTAACACTATCTCTTCGCTTAGAATCAGCTGCAGTCTTGCAAAACAAACCTCCCTTTTTGACAGACATGTGGCCGACTATTTCTTTTACAGACATATGGCCCACTATTTTTTTGACAGACATGTGCCCCACTATTGTTTTGACAGACATGTGGCCCACTATTGTTTTCACAGACATGTGGCCCACTATTTTTTTCACAGACATGTGGCCCACTATTTTTTGACAGATATGTGGCCCACTTTTGTTTTGACAGACATGTGGCCCACTATTTTTTTTTGACAGATATGTGGCCCACTATTTTTTTGACAGATATGTAGCCCACTATTGTTTTGACAGACATGTGGCCCACTATTTTTTTCACAGACATGTGGCCCATTATTTGTTTCACAAACATGTGGCCCATTAATTTTTGACAAACATGTGGCCTACTATTTTTTCACAGACATGTGGCCCTACTATTTTTTTTTCAACAGACATTTGCCACTATTTTTTTCAGCAGACCTTGTGGCACAAACTTTTTTTTTCACAGACAGTGGCCCATCTATTTTTTTTTCACAACATGTGGAACACGTTTTTTTTTTTTTTCACAGACAGTGGCCCCCTTTTGTTTTGTACATACAATCTGGCCCACTTTTTTTGACAGACTGTGGCCCCTTTTGGTTTTTGAACGAACCCTTGTGGCCCCACTTAAATTTTTTCTTTTTGTTTTTACAGATATGTGCCCACATTGTTTTTGACCAGACTGTGGCCCACTATTATTTTCAACAGACATGTGGCCCATTATTTGTGTTGTTTCCCAAACATTGGCCAGCTAATTTTTTGAACAAAACATTTGCCCACTACTTTTGACAAACATGTGGCCGAACTAATTTTTTTGCACAACATGTGCCCCTCATTTTTTTTTTTTAAAACATACTGTGTAACACCTATTTTTTTTTTTTTCACAGACAAAAAAAAAAACAAAAAAAAAAAAAAAAAAAAATTTTTTTGGTTTTTTTTTTTGGGGGGGGGGGAGGGGTGTGGGTTTGTTGGGTGTGGGGTTGGGGGGGGGGGGGGGGGGGGGGGTTGGGGGGGGGGTGGGGGGGTGGGGTGGGATGGGGGTGGTGGGGGTTTGGGTGTTGTGGGGGGGGGTTGGGGGGGGTGGGTTGGGGGGTGGGGGTTGGGGTGGTTTTTGTTTTTTTTTTGTTTGTTGGGTTTGGTGTGGGGGGGGGGTTGGGGGGTTGTTTGTGGGGGGTGGGGTTGGGGGGGGGTTTTGTGGGGTGGGTTTGTGGGGTGGTGGGTGGGTGTGGTTGTGGTGTGTGGGTTGTTTGGGGTGTGGGGGGGGGTGGTTGGGGGTGGTGTTTTGGTTGGGGGGGTGGTGGGTGGGGGGGGGTGGTGGGGGGGGGTGGTTGGGTGGTGGGGGTGGGGGGGGGGGGGGGGGGGGGGTGGGGGGGGTGGGGGGGGGGTGTTGGGGGGTGGCCCACTATTTTTTTTGACAGATATGTGGCCCACTTTTGTTTTGAGAGACATGTGGCCCACTATTTTTTGACAGACATGTGACCCGCTGATCTCAGTTGTGAATTTATTGATGTGACCCTCAGGCGTGAAAGGTTAAAGACCCCTAGTTTAAAAGGATTGTGAAAAGGATCCATGGCGAACTTTTTTTATTGCAGATATCGTTTCCTCATGGCCCATATAATTTCGGACCGAACTACCAGTATTCAGGTACTTTACCGCTCGGCCGCTGCTGGGCCTAGTTATTAAGCTTGGTAAGATGTAATTCTACTTTCATTAATTTGTCTACAATCGGCTGGTGCAGTGCATTACGTTCTTGGAATTCAAATCATTTAAGCAGAATTGCGTTATCGTTTGTGTGTTAATTTTCTCCTCATTTTTCTCGCTCATTTTCTGTCAGATAATATATTTTTATATATTTTATTTAAGAAACATTTTATGTTTTCGTACAATTAGATTCAAGCAGCCACCAGGGCCGGATGGGGAGCATTCAGTGATCCTATTCCTGGAAGAACTCTTGACGGAGGTAATTAATTCAGAGCATTTAATCACGAAATGACACAATGACATCAGTTTTTATCAACATATCATATCTGTAAAGTTGCTTGCTGTTGCATTACTTAAAATTAAATCTAGTCTTACATAAATTTCATACATAGTGGCACATCATTTATATTTGGTCAGTGGAGCCAAAATACAGAATGTAAAAATGAATTTTAAATTGAAAAAGGGAAATATTATCAGAAATAATTTTTCCATATTAAGACCTAAAATTTACCTGATTTTACTTTTTATTTATTATTAATACCTTTTTTTAAAAAAAATAAATTGTACAGTTATTAGGATTTTTTTTATATCTACGGAAAGGAGAGAGAAAATACCTTATATATTCTCCCTTTTAAACAGCGACTGGAAATTAAGGCATGTTAGTGCCAAATCCTGGTGGTGACGAACTATCATCCATCACTTTAAAGAATCAATAGGGTTTTTTTAACCACCCAGCCGATGTAGTGGTTAGGAGAGCCTAATTGGGATACCATGTGCCTCGCTTTCGAATACCGAAGAAGGCATGGATGTAAAATTCAGTGTCCCTTCATAGGAGGTAGCGGTGGACGCCTGTCAGCTTCCTCCACAATAAAATGGTCACCACTTCCGGCCTTAGGAGTGGCCACTCTCACTACAGGTAATTACCCACCATTGAGGGGGGAGAAAGGTGTGGTGAAAAATGTGCAGTGCCCTCCCCGTTACTCGAACTCTGGATCTCTCGAATACTCATCGAGTGTTCTTCCAGTCATGCGGAAAGGAGAGAGTAAATACCTTATATGCTCCAGTGAGGTATCTGTAGAAAGAACAGATTATCGAGGATCTAAACGGAAAGCAATAAGAAAAATGGATCTAAATATAATAGGGGGACCGGAAAGTAATGTCGTTTCTGCGCATGTCGAGAACAACATGCTAAGGGCAGAAGTGGAAGCAAATCCATGCCAGACACTCTTAACCAACCTTGGTCGACCATCCAAGAATATTTAAAGCAGAATGGAAAAATAAGCACAGCAGGTGTTCGAGTCCCCTATAATCTGTCCGAAAAGAACAAAGCCAACCTATCTATCACATGCAACGTATTGCTTCAACGGCACCACACAGAACCGTTTTTTGATCCTTTGATGACTGGAGACAAAAAAATAAGTCCTATATGATAATCCAAAACATGAAAGGCAGTTTTAATAGGGGTTGCAAAGGGTTTACATCCCGAAAAGTCTCTTCTGGGTGTTCGGTGGAGTATTCGCGGAATTGTTCATTTCGAATGGCTGAAACCTGGACAAACTGTTAATGCAGACCTTTATTGTGAACCACTGGATGGAGTAAACCAATCTTTAATCGAAAAATATCAATTGTCAACAGAAAAGGCGTCATTCTGCAACAGGACAATGCAAGACCGCACTGTACAAGACATACACTGGAAAAAATGTATGAATTGGGGTGGGAGGTACTGCCGTACTCACCCACCATACTCGGCCGATATCGCAGCATTGGATTTCCATTTATTTATTCGGATCTCTAGAACATTTTCTTAGCGACAAAAAATTTGAAAATTTGGATGATGTCCAAAATGTCCTCTCGAGATATTTTACTGAAAACCCAGTTGATTTTTATCGGTCCGGGAGTGAAAATCTGCACATTAGATGGCAAAAGGTTGTTGATAACAAGGGTGATTATATTATTGACTAAAAATAAAAACTTGTTTAAAATGTATTCGTTTGAATTTAATGTAATGAAGCGACATTACTTTCCGGTCCCCCTATTATATAAAGAATGGACTTCAGACTTAATATGTCTGTTATTGATTAATAAACTAAGCTATTTAAAAGAGACAGAATAACTTATGAGTATTATTTTTTTTTACTTTTTTACTTTTTACCTTTTACTTTTCATTTTCAGAAATACAGATGATATATAGAAGAAATATGCAGAAGATATACTGCAGCGTTCCCATATTTATTCATCTAGAATTCTATAAAGCGTTTCGCTATTCCACCTGGGTCATTTCTATTGATAATCCTTACTGATAACCCATATTAAACTTTTAAAAGGGTTCTCTTGGGCGATCGGATTTATTTTATATATTATTTTCAGTTGAAAAATTTCTGTTATTTGAAAATTAACTTATTATTATATAAAGTACACTTTGAATATAGAATATCGTAGAAATATGTTATATTAATATAGAAGAATGTATAAATCGAGATACTTATAAATGATGATGATAATAGGGGGGACTGGTAAGCAATGTCGCTTTCCTACATTAAATTCAAACGAATACATTTTTAACAAGTTTTTATTTTTAATGAATAATATAATCACCCTCGTTATCAGCAACCTTTTGCAATCTAGTATGCAGATTTCAATCTCAGACCGATAAAAATCGATTGGTTTTTGAGTCAAATATCTCGAGATGGCATTTTGGACACCATCGAAATTTTCAAATTTTTTGTCACTAAGAAAATGTTGTAGGGATCGGAATAAATGGAAATCCGAGGGTGCGATATCGGGTGAATATGGTGGGTGAGGCAATACCTCCCACCCCTATTCATTATACACTGACTACCAATAAGTATTTTGACACCTATGCAAATGACGATATCTGCGGTCCCAAGGTACACCACGGACTCCGCCGGTATATATCGTGAAGGAAACCATCGGCTTTAGTCGCATGCAAGATGCTCGCAGTCGGAGCTCTCTGATTTCGAGAAGGTATAATTATCGGTTATCCCAAATGTGGCCGATCCTTAAGGACATATCTAGCGATCTGAAGTACCCAATATCGACAGTCGCTATGTTATTAAGAAGTGGAAGGTGAGGGGTGATTGTCGGAATGTGCCCCGACTCGCAGACCAAAAACTGGGATAGAGACCGACGAGTGCTTTCAGAGAAATTCGGAGAACCGCCCAACCGATGGCCCTCATCCGCGAGGAGTTTTCAGTAGGCATCCGGGAGTATTGTTTCAATGAATACCATCCGTAAAGAAGCACATCTGCTTGGTTTTCATGGTCGTTCTGCTGCCCATAAGCCTTTGATCACAAAGTCCAACCGCGCTGCTCGGTTTATGTGGTGCAAAGCACATCGAAATTGGACCGTAGATCAGTGGAAACGGGTTCTTTGGAGTGACGAATCAAGGTTCACCCTTTAACGTTCGGATGGCAGGGTCTGGATCTGGCGTCTACCTGGAGAACGCCTCCTGCCAGAATGCATTGTGCCAACAGTCAAGTTCGGCGCGGGTGGAATTATGGTCTGGGGGTGTTTCTCCTGGTATGGGCTTGGACCCTTGGTCCCCATTCATGGTAAGCTCAACTCCGATGCCTACTGCACTATTTTGGATGACAATGTGCTTCCTACGTTTTGGCAGTTTTACGGGTTGGACCCCTGTTACTTTCAGGACGACATTGCCAGTTGTCACGTTTCGACGTTAACCAAGGCTTGGTATGGTGCCAATGGAGTTCATCGAATGGACTGGCCTGCCCAGAGTCCAGACCTGAACCCTATCGAGATCGTCTGGGACGAGTTGCATTGCCAAATTCACGGGTGCACTACCCGTGCAAAATCGGTGAAGGAACTTCTATGTCTTCTCCAAGCCGAGTGAAAAAATACCACTAGCTGTCATACAAAGACGTGTGGAAAGTATGCCCCGTAGGGTCCACGCTGTAATTACCTCTCGTGGAGGATCTACCAACTATTAATTTTGAATAAGGTTAGTTTTTCTTTTCTATCACAGGTGTCCAAATACTTATTCGTAGTCAGTGTATTTTTCCAGTGTTCGTCTTGCTTGCACAGTGCGGTCTTGCATTGTCGTGTTGCAGAATGACGCTTTTTCTGTTGACAATTGATATTTTTCCATTAAAGATTGGTTCACTCCATCCAATTGTTCACAATGAAGGTCTGCATTAACAGCTTGTCCAGGTTTCAGCCATTCAAAATAGACAATTCCGCGAAAACTCCACTAAATACCCAGATGCGCCTTTTCGGTTTGTAAACCCTTTGCAAAGCCCTATTAATACTGCCCTTTTTGAGTTTTTGGATTATCATATAGGACTTATGTTTTTGTCTCTACTCATCAAACGATCAAAGACGGTTCTGAATGGTGTCGTTGAAGCAATTCGTTGCATGTGATGGATAGGTTGGTTTTGTTCTGTTCAGGCTAATTATGGGGGGACTCAAACACCTGATTTTCTTATTTTTCCATTCTGCTTTAAATGTTCTTGGATGGTCGACCAAGCTTGGTTAAGAGTTTTTGACATGGAATTGCTTCCACTTCTTCCTTTAGCATGTTGTTGTCGACATGCGCAGAAACGACATTACGTTCAGGTCCCCGTATTATATGCCAGAAAGGAATTTTTTCCCAATGACGGGCTTTAGCGATTATAAGCGTTGGCCACTATTAAGGCTGGAAACGGGTGGTCACTTTGTTATGGAGGCACCTAACAGATGGGCCACCGTTGCTTCATATAAAGGAATAGAGAGTTTACATCCATATCTTCTCCGGGATTCCAAACCGGGCCCATCGGTACGACAGTCAAAGTTACTAACCATTTTCACGTTTGGGGCTGGGCGGCCTGCTAGAAAAAGTTTTTTTATTTAAAATTAGTAACATAAATTACCTTTATCTTTTTTATGAACTGCTTCCTGAAAAGACGGTCCTGCTTTATTATTAACGTAACTTGACAAAAAAAAAACGAATTTGCTCAGTTTACGGATAAAAATTATCGGAAAGCATTTTGAATTGAATTAAGATTAATAAAAAAAATCGTTGTATAGGAATGAGAAATATATAAAGAAACAAAGTTTAAAAGAATAATATTTATTCAGTGGTTAATAATAACAGAATATTGTTATTTCAGTAAAAGAATTTCAGAATAATGTTTATTTTAGTGCCTGGTGAACCATCGGAAATTGATGTTCTAGAAAATGGGCAAAGGGCTATCAACATTACCTGGCAACCTCCTATTCTGAAAAACGGAGCCATAACTGGTTATAAGGTAAGCCTAGCATTTAAAACTTCATTAATGTGTCCTTCCACCTTATGTTGTTTTCATTTAATTAATATTATACATATATTCGGAAAAGGTGACTATAAATTTTAATTACCCAGGATTAGTTCTAGACAATTGTCAATTTTCGATCTCAAGTTGTAGAGACAATACGTTATTTTGAAGCAGGAGACGTCATATCCTGGGCAGGACTTGAACCTTGACCTCTCGAATATGCGCCGAGTGTGCTAACTGTTATACCACAAACGCATGCAGAAAAGAGGGAGGAGCTTGTTAAGTATGTCCTGTTACTATGCAATGTCTATATTTTAAACTTTGCCATGTCTCATTGCTATGCTATGTCATGCTTATGGTGAGTTATACTATGTCGCCATGCAATGTCCCCCTATCATGTAGGTAATGTTACGATGGGTATTTTACATTCTAAACATGTTATGTTATGCTCTGCTATGCTCTGGATGGATGCGGGCCCCGGACTAAACCCGATTATTCTTTGAAAGCCGTCCCGGAGTCTGGCCCTGCTGTCACGTATCATGACCATAAGACCAACTTGTTTCGTTAGGTGGTTCGAGCTGCGCCCACTTCTGATACCTGATATACTCCCCCTTTTCACCAATTAACTGTGGCGCCCTCGTTTGATTGCCTCTTTGATTTGTGCAAAGGTGTCTGCTAATTCAAACTGAATTACCCAGGGCAGGCGGCGAGGGCGCCCCTTTGCTTATTGCCCCACAGGGTTTCCCCCTTCTACTTGCTTAATTGCTTAAAGTAGACAGCCATGAAGGAAACCGCTGGCGGTACATTTCTTAAGAGCATTTCTTAAGTTATGCATTAGAACTCCAGTTATCTTAATCAATTAGGACCGGACCCCATTCGGATAATAAAAAATTCAGATAATTGAATTTTTCCGAAGGAAGGTTCTACGTACACTTTAATTAATTATTGTATACGCGAAATGGAAGAAAAAAACTATTTTTAAAGAAAAACGGGTTTTTAATTAATTGAAATGAAAAGCAACACCTTTTACGTACAGGTTATATGGAGTACTGTACAACGCTTGCAAATGCTGAAAGTAAAACTTTATCACCGATATGCTTTTAAAAGCAGCATAAAAGAAAACATTTTTTTTCCTTTTGTCTCATTGAAGATATTAATTGTTACTGTCTTCGGCTTTCGTTCGCAGGTTATTTACCGTCCCCTTTCAACTCTGGATCCTGTATTCAATGCAACGCCCTTCATATCTTTGGAAAAAGAAGTTGGAGGAGATGTAACAGATATCTCTCTTCAGGATCTACATCCCAGCACGGAATATAACATAACTGTTCAAGCCAAGACATCTGCAGGTTATGGTCGACCTGCAGAAATAAAGACTTGGACTGTGATTTTAGGTAAAACTAAATCTCATAACACTGATGACATATTATTACTAGACTTCTTTCAAATATTTTTTGGAGAATAATAATTCAGGAGCTTCGTTAATAATAACAAATTTGCATAATTGTAAGAAGGAACTATAGTTACAATTAGGTTTACATTTTTTTTTATTTTATTTAATTCTAACATAAAATTTCTCAATACTGTTATTTTTTTTTTAGTCCAAAGGGATTTGAATCCCGAAGGGACTATTAGTTTCGTTTTGGCATTTTTGCGTCGGACTCATAAATGTCGGTTTCACTTTTCAAACTGTTGCCACAAAATGTTAGAGTCCTGCATTATATTTGAAGAAATTAATAATGAAAATCTGCATAAATGTATGTATATTTCTCGTATTGTGATAAAACAACGGTACATAGAGTCATCGAATTTGAATAACGTAATCCTCCAACGAATATGAGCATGTGGAAGACCAATTTGAAATTTGAAATTTGTTTTATGATCGATTTCCTATTTTTTAAAACTTTGACGAATTTTTGATTAACAAACTCAAGGATTTCAAAGCGAGCAATGGCAACGTTGTGCAGAAAAAACATTTTTATCTCCAGCGCGTGAGTCTCTGTATCGGAAATTCTAAAGATAGGCTTCCTTTTAAAACTATTTGCGATATTGCTGTTGCACTGGATCTTATGGTTTAAGTGCGAGGAACATGATGTTTTTATTAAATAAAGAAAGGTAACACACAAAATGTTAAAAACGCCCCTTTGGACGTAATTTAAAATCTGAAACATTTCATTTTTTTTTTTTTTTTTTACTTATTACGTGCGCTACATGGAAAGGAAGGGATACCCCATGGAGGTCTTTTTAAGGAAAACTGGCTCGCATCCACTTTGCACATGGGGAAAACCACGAAAACACCCATTCTGCCAGAACGTTTTGCCTGGCAGTGGCGTAGTGAGGGGGGTTCAAGGGGGTGTATGATGATCCAGGCGCCACTCGCAGAGGGGCTCCAAATGGTCTCCAAACAAGATTTTCATCATATCACTGTGTTTTTTTCAGTGTGTGAGGGGAACCAAAAAGGCACTTTGCCTCGGGCGCCAGTTATGATCGCTACTCCACTGTTGCCTGGACTCGAACCCCGGACCGAACTACCAGTGATCAGCGGTTTTTACCGCTCGGCCGCTGATCGGTGGGCTCAATATTGGAATTCCACTCGAAATTTATTAGGAATTCTTGAAAGTTGTTCTCTGTTGTGGGCGTCTATGACATCGTCCTTTACTTAACTATTAACATCATTATCGCCCACTTAGTAGATAATATTATCTTTAATTCCGCCCATAATAGTGCTCATCAAAAGTGGTAGCTGGTCGATTTAAAACTAGCACCCATTTTTACTTCCTTGTACGAAGTAAAGGAAGAATTGTAATCACGAAAAATTCCGGGTACTATATTTCAAGGAAGATATCCATTTTGACAGCTATCGTATGGAATTTAACGATGTTTTTGCGCGGCATCTGTACGTAAGCACAGAATAAAGGACTCTTTTATCCCAAAAGAATTATAAAACTAATTTAAAATGGATTCAAGATAAATTTGGCGGCTGGGCATTTCGCAGTAATGATGAAAAGTCCCTATACATCCCTTTTTTTTCATTATAGGTGACCACGTTTCCCCATCTGTGAGAGCAGTGGAAGTTGAAGCTACGAACGATACTATACCTATACTTTTCTCGACGACAGGAAGTACTTCCGTCTAGTAAGTACACATTTCAAGCAGGTGCCTGTAAATAAGAACTTAGTATTTCCGATTCTCGTAAATACATACTGCATTTAAATATAAAAATGTATTGGAAATTTATTTTATAATAGTGCATATTTTTACTACTAATTTCGGTTAGTAAGGCTTAATTATAACGCTAGTTTAAGTGATGTTGCAGTACCAGATACTTAATAATGCAATATTTTAGAACCCAAAATAATTTTGTTAACTAGGTTATTTCAGAAATCTAAAATATCCTTAAAATGATGAATTAAACAAAGTTCGTGCAATAAACTCTTTAAAAGGGCAATTTATGGAATCTGTGTCCAAAATATATTAAGCTTGTTTTCTGAAGCTACAGAAATATTACTAACGCAAACCACTGGCGTAAAACAAAACTGTCGATGGAAAATACATAAAAGGTGGGAAAAGTGCGTGATATATCCGTAGTGAAAGAAGATGTTATCATGGTTATTTATAACATAATTCCTTTTTTTATTATTGATTTATTTTATATAACCAAATTAATTTATTCTCTAGATTAAATTGTTTAAACAGGTGAATTGTTAATAGCAGTTTTTGTTAATTATAATATTTTTTGTTCTTCCTGCGTCTTTAAATGTCCCTGAGCTAAGTGGAATTTTATTTAATAGTGAAAGTTGTCACTGGTATTACCCAATTAATCAGGACTTTATTTAAACTGATATGTTATTATAACACTGATATAACAGTTGGTAGTTTGGGAAAATATTTTCCCTTCTAATAAAGCGTCTAGAAAACACGCATTTCGTTTTCTTATGAAAGATAAAAAGTAAAATTGCCAGCTTATCTACTCTTGGATGTAAACAAGGAGCTTTAAAATAGTATAGGTGCATATCTACAAAGTGGTTATAATTAGTAGAGTTATTAAGTTTAAAAAACAAGGGGGGAACGTGAAAAACGTGCCATGCCCTAAAATAACCTAGAAAAATGGCCGTAAGCCGTTAAAATCTGATTTAAAGCTCTGCTTGTCCTTTTTTAATTGTAACAAATGTCATACAGTTATTATGTTTAATATTTCCCATTTTTCTTTCCATAATTCATAGGTACAATTATTCATAAGATTCTTTGGCCCTGCAGATCAATGATTTTATTGCCTCTTTGACCATTGGTCCGCCATCTCATTTCCAGTAAAACCAGCATGTGCTTTCAGTTCAGATAAAGTATATCCCCCTCTAGGAGTTCAAAATAAAATTAATTTATATCTAATATCAATTCTTTTGCGTGGTACGGGCAGGGGAGTATATGTAAAGTTGATAAACTGTTGGTTTATATATTTGTAGAGACATTAGGTTCGTTTTTCAAGCAGGAGAGATAAAAACTGAGCAATAGTCTCGCCGGGACTCGAGCCTCGGACCTCTGGCATAAGCGCCGAGTGTGCTGACCACTGCACCACGAAGGCATGCTGTAAAGTCGGGAGAAATACGTTTTATATACTCCCCTTTTAAAGGGCGACTGGGGAATTGGGGACCCAATCGCTAAATCCTGGTGGTGAAGAATCATCATCAATCACCTTTTTTAGTTCGAGCGCTGCTATGGGTTTATTAGGTATTTTTGAAGCAGAAGAAGTGAGAAATGAGCAATGCCTTCGCCGAGACTCGAACCTCAGATCTGTCCAATACGCCCCGAGTGGCTCGAAGGCATGCTAAGAAGGCCGGGAGAAGTACCTTATATACTGATTGTACTCCCGACTTTTAAGAATCATTTTTATCCATTTTAAAGCAAAATAAGTAACAGTGGACATCGTTTGAAATACCGAATTATATTTATTTAACTTGCGTTTCTCTCTCAGTTTCATAACAGAAAAAGCCAAAGGCGATATCGAATAATCAATTATTCTAATTTTTGTTATCTTTTTTGAACTCCTCAATTTCCCCTCCCATTTCTTCGCCAGGTAGCAAACTAAGTGAAGAAGTGCATTTAAAGGGGCGAAAAGAGAAAGTTAGTCAGAACGTAATTTCACTAGCATAGCGCACGTTGCCACTTCCTGTCGTTAGTCTGAGTTGCTGATACGTTTTCCGGTCGTTTATTTAAAGTCTATCGACGGTGTAGGTTGCTGAGTCAACCTGTTAGTTTTAAGTACTCTAGCACTACCTTTTTATCATTTAAGATATTGTTAATTTGGGCCCACGGTAAGTAGTCGGTGTTATTGTGAGCACCATTTACGTGGACTTTTGTTAAAGAATTTAATCAAATAAAAAGGGCAATTTAAACCCTTTCCTTTTGTGCTATTTCTTTACGTCTGTACGAGAAGTCGCTTGGCTTAAGCCCATATCAGACACGCATTTGCTTCGCACGAACAACTGTTTCGGACAATTTTTCTGCCTGATTTACTATTGAAAAAAAGATGCGCGATTTTTTTTTCCTTCATTTCGAAAAAAAATTGCAAGTTGTTCGTTTTCAACCAATCAGCTGTCAGCTTCGAATGCTATCAGCTTGTTTGTAATAGAGAACCAGTTTTCCCTGTGTTAATCCCAAAGCGATCTGGGGTGACTGTCTGTTGTGACAAAGCAGAAAATTTGTTCCAAACAGTCGTTCTTCCGAAACAAACGAATGTGTGATAGCGGCCTTAGTAAGATCGTAACTTTCTAGCTAAAATATCTAGCTAGAAGAGAAAGATACTACAGGTTATTCTACCTGCACTCAATAAACGTTTGTAGTTATAAATTGGATATTGTTCTGAGAAAAGGATCACAACGGCCTGTATGCATGGCCAAGTATGCATGACAGAGTATGCATGGCAGAGAGTGATCACACCGGCCAGTTCCTACGTGGAGGCCGTTCTCAAACATTAGTAGCCAGTGACTTCAGATCTCTATACAGTATCCAGTTTCATACTATGATGTACAGGCTCCGCCGAGTGGCAATTCCAGGCATCTATGTTGTACAGAATTGTTGGAATGAAGACAGTTTCATATGCAAAACCAAATGTAGCACATCTAATCAGCAACACGTTTCTCGAAACTTTCCTCCTCTGGTTTGTCCAAATTCTCTCAGTCTTGCTATGAATTTTCTTAATATGTGGGATAAAATTGGAATGGCTGTCAATTAATAAGAGCTAAATATTTTATTTCTTTCTCCAAGTTTAATCTTTGGCCCTTTCGTTTTAACTGAGGTTTCATTGCGGAAAAAAAAAAAGGAAAAAAACTGCATTAGTTTTGTTTATATTAAGTTTTGAATCCCAGTCCTTCGAAGCTTCTGTTAACCCTTTGCGGCACAGTGTGTCCGGTCTGGACACACCTAAAAATTTCCTTCTGTACGCACAGAAAATTTGAATGAAAAAGGATTTAATAGGTTACTGTGGTTACTCTGAACCTTCTTTATTATAGTAGATGGCAGCTCAACACAAACCAGTCCATATATTAGCCATGTTTAGTTTTTTAAGACCTCATTTTTAAAGAAATCTTCCAGATTTTTTTTAGGTATAAAAGAAATTGTTTGAAAAGAAATTTGTGTTTTTGTTTGCTGTTAAAAGTTCTATGCTTCCTATTCTATATTAGTTTTAAATTTTAACTGAATCTTGCCTAAACTCAAAAGGTGAACCTAGGTTGCCCAGACGGGCTCACCGATCATCTAGAAACTGAGAGTCTGTATTCTTGTTTTCCGCGGCAATCGGTCAGATCATCGACAAAAATGCTCGTTTCGCACTCTTTTCGAAGCCCTATCGTGTGCTCACAGATAAACGATGATGCTATCTTCACAAATTTACTGGTTTGTCTAATTAGGCAGCCAAGTAAAATTTTGTTACAGTTCGCAACAGTTCCGTCGCCAAATCTCTTGGCGAATTTTCCCTCTTCTTTCTAGCGGAGTAGAAGACAAACTGGTTTACATTACGTCTATGGAGCCTTTCCTTCTTTACATAGGCGTTCTTTGGTTAAGCCCAGTGTCTTCCCTTCCTTTACGAAGTACAGCATACCCTTTAAACTACATGAATAAGGTACAGGACATTTATCTCATTAAATAGTTTTGATCTTCTGGAAATATTTCTGCGAAGAAACCTCTAATTCCAAACACGGCCAAAACGGCGATAATAAAACTAAATTGATCATGAATGTATTTTTCGCGTGCAACAACTCTCCATCTGGAGGCCATGTTCTTATTTTGTTGCATTCAGTCCTGTTTATAACTTCTTTATACTATTAACACTGGGAATTTTATTTAGAATTCAGTTTCTGTATTAATTTCCAGTAATGAATAACTAAGTGAAATTATTTTATTTAAATTAGCTTATTCTAAAACAAATATTCTTTGTATAAAGAACTGTAAGAAAAAACTAATGTGTGAACCTTTTGAAAATGTTTGTTTTGTATTTCTCTTTTTTTAAAGTAAATATCAAGTCATCGTAGAAGATGCTCGAAACTCAGAACCTATCGATGAAGACTTACTGAGTGATTTCGACACAGCAGTGGTGAAGCAAAAGCTTCCATATTACATCGCGGCTGAGTTGGATCCACAGAATGTGTCCAGCACCGGAGAGCATTCCTTCGTTGTTGGGGACAGGAAAGTATGGGGAGGCTACAAAAATGTCCACTTGAATCCCGGACATGAGTACAAAATTAGAATTCGGACACTGGTGGTTAAAGACCAGGTAAGATAACAGTGGCTTTCATGTGTTTATCATAAAACCAATATTAGGTAATTTAATTCACGTGGAAACTTCAAAATGTCTTATGGTACCCAAAGATTGGCGTACATTTGCGAAGACACCAGCCATTTTCCAAATATCGCCAACAACGACAGCGATTCTGGCGACTAGATCAATATTGGTTTCAATGGGACACTCGTAGATTAGGCTTTTTATATAGCCCCACAGGAGAAGTCCAAATACGAGAGATTCGTAATCTTGGTGGCCAATCTATGGGACCACCTCGATCAATACATCTCCCTGGAAATTTGGTGGTTCGTATTATAATATATACTCCTTCAAGTTACAGCCGTACACTGAATTAACTAAGCTAGTATAGGGTCCGGCAGCGTTCTTAGCGTAATTTTACTTGCGTAATACAGTGACGTACTGCATGAATGCGCGCCAGCTCGGGCCGCAATCGTGTACTGATGAGCTGCCATTTCGAGTGTGACAGTGATGTGGATCGGTGGAGTGCACAGCATCGTGCCTTTGCTGTTGAAAGTTATTTCAAGAATGTTATTGCTACCCAGCGTCTATTTCGGCAACATTGCAACTTGGGAAGTCATGGGAAAGTTCCAGGTGGATGGACCATTGCGACAGACATTTCCAGGTAGAGTAATTTTCCGTTTTGGTGAAATTTCTTGGCCGCCTCGCTCACCTGATCTTTCATGGGCAGACTTTGGAGGCACCTGAAGTAAGAAGATTTCCGAACACGTTTTGTGCCACCATTCCTGAGTTGAAGGATCGCATACGAACTGCCGTCGGCAATGTCCCAAGGAATACGTTGCACCAAGTTATGGCAAGCTTTCAACGCCGCCTAGATGAATATGTTGTGCAGAGGGGGCATCATTTGAAAAAAGTAATCCACGCAACGGACAATGACTTACACATTAGTAAATGGCATACCTTACACTAACTCAGTAACTGTCTCGTCCAAATGATATGGAGCAGGTTGCTGTAGCCTTCCGATTGGGTTCACATTCCAGAGAAGAAATAGGTGTTTATAACCTAACAGGGTGAATCTGAACAAGAGGGCAAAACTTCAGGGGGCGATAGAAGGTTCGAGCAATATTAGTCACAGAATGTATGGTCGGAACTGAAATGGCGAGCCCCTAGGTGGTATTGTAAATAAAGGGTATAAAAAGGTTTCTTCTCACCCAACGGCATTTTCTACCATAGATTGCCGAGAAAGGCTTGCTGGTTATACTTTACAGCCATTAGGTTGTTTGGAGGCAGGAGACATGAACGCCGAGCATGCTGACCATTGCACCACGAAGGCATGCTAAGGAAGGTGGGAGAAATACCATATAATACGAACCACTAAATTTCCTGGGAGATGTATTGATTGAGGTGGTCCCATAGGTTCGCCACCAAGATTTACGAATCTCTCGTATTTGGACTTTTTCCTGTGGGGCCATATAAAAAGCCTAATCTACGAGTGCCCTATTGAAATCAATATGGATCTAGTCGCCAGAATCGCTGTTGTTGTTGGCGATATTTGGAAAATGGCTGGTGTCTTCGCAAACGTGCGTCAATTCCTATCCCGCAGGTGTGAAGCCTGGTTTACAGCTGGGGAAAGGTCTTTTGAGTAATTTCTATGAGCACGTTCTGTCAATTAAATTTTTTTCTGTAATTAAATTTCTGTCAATTAAATCTTCTCTCATTCTTGTGTTAATTCCTTAAATGTGACAGTAAAAAACCTACCCTGTAACTGCCCACCACTTGCTTTCCGACCATATATCCTATGATGAATATATAGACCATATATCCTATGATGAATATTGCTCGTATTGCTTCTATTATACCCTAAGGTTTTGCCCTATTGTTCAGACGCACTTTGTATAATGTCTTTGTTGGCATTTGAAATGCTATCGTTCCGAAAGTCCTGTAAATCCCTTTTGGATCCGACCAAGACTGGAAGGGAGCTTAACAAATTTGTATCGCCAACTATAAAGTAACAAAAGCCTAAGCCAACGACAGTCGCATTGTAGAGACATTACGTATCTTTTTTTGGAAGCAGGCAAGATGAAGCATTAGCAAACGCCTTCGCCGGGAATCGAACCACGGACCTCTGGAATACTGGCCCAGAACCACTACACCACGAAGGCACGCTAGGAAAGTGGAAGAAATACCTTATATACTCCCGTTTTTTAAAAGGCGACTGGGTTTTTAGGGGATCCAATCGCCAAATCTTGGGTGTGGAGAATCCTCATGCAACACCCTTTTAGTTCGGGCTCCACTCTGTAGAGACATTAGTTCCACCCCCCCCGGTGGTCGACGTAGAGAATTCTGCGAAGCTACTGGCTAGGATCTGTACTTAGACAGTCTCGGCCACTGGGGTATAAAACTTATGAACTTGGAGGTTCTGAAGACCTTGGGAAAGGTCACTTATTGGCCGGCCTCGGGGTCTGGCATGTTCTGAGCGGTGTGGATCCGTAGCCGGGGGGTGATCCTCCCGGTTTTGCTGGGTAACGGCCCACTGCGATGGGCTCGCCCCTGCGACTGGCAGGTAGCAATTGACGACCAGTGGCAGACCAGTTGACAAATTGACGACCAGTCGACAAACGGCGACTGGGGTTTTTTAGGGGACCCAATCGCCAAATTCCTTGTGTGGAGAATCCTCATCCAACACCCTTTTAATTCGGGCGCCACTGTAGAGACATTAGGTTAATAGGAAGCAGCAAGATGCAAAATAGCAAACGCATTTGGCCGGGAATCACCACAGAATTCTTGAATACAGGCCTAGCGTGCAGAACCACTACACCACGAAGGCACGCTAGGAAAGTAGGAGAAATACCTTATAACATCAATTGCCGTTTGGCAATGGTAAAATTCGTAAACTTGACTTTATGTCATAGTCAGACAAATAAAATAAGCTACAACAACCAATTCTCGATTAGGTAGATGGTATGCTTCTTCCTGTTTCGCGAATCATTACTGTTAAATTAGGTATGACGCATTATCTCCCGGAAGGCAACCAATTCTAAACAGGAAATAGTTTCGCGAACCATTCTTGAGTTATTAGAATACTGCTGATGGAGTATTGATTATGTTGCGGAAGGAAAGGTCTTAGAGAATAAAAAACATTCTTCTCCTGTTTTGCGAATCGTTATAGTGTAATTCGAATAATATGAATCACTGTGTCGGGGAAATTAAGTATTACGAGACAGAAAATAATTTTGCAGAAAAAAGATCTACCAAGAATAAGATTATACTACTGTGATTAAGTGTCACAGATGATTCATTTAAAATATACAAGTGCAAGTAACCGCTTGCATATTTTTCATATGTTATAGCGACTTTCATCCACATCTTGCAAAAATCGTTTGATTCAATTCGTTTTATTTTGCAAAAAAATTCACTTTTGAAAAAACCTTAATTGGCGAATGTAACTAAGCAAAGAACTTACATCGTATTTTGTTTAATATTGAAAATAAAAATTTTAAAATGTTGCAAAAAAACTTTCGATAACAATATTTAAAAAAAAAAAATAAATAAGAGGTTGTGTGTGGCTTGAGGTTATTCCAAAAAGGTAGAAACTGCACGAAAGACGAAACTGCAGTGAGTTGTTTTTAACGGAGCTTTCGAAGAAGTGTCATGTTTACTTATTCTTTTCTCCAACTCACTTCATACGCGTACCTTCCACCCTGTATAATGGCCGCTGACTGCTGTGCCGAAGAACCCGACTTCGAATCCCGGAGAAGGCATGAATTTTTTTTTTTTAATGTATAGTGTCCGAGCGGCATGGGGGCGCTTTGAATCTCCGGCGAGCCGAAAGTCCTCTCGAGAGGTTGGTGTTAGGGGAAGACTCTCGGATTCTGCCATTCCCCGGGGTACTCACCATCAAAATTGGGGGCGGAACTGAGCTCATTCGCATTGTCACCTGTAAGGTGCTCAAGGCTGTTGCCAACGACAGGCGTAACTTGCGCTCCTTACCACAAGGATTCTCGTGGCCTTGGGCTGACTACAGGTCAGACGAGTGAGAATTACCAAAAACGAAAACTTCATACACGTTCCAAAGACTTAAGTCCGAAGAGCAGCCTAGACGGTATAATGGTTAGGGGAGGTAAACCGCTGAGTTGGCTTCCGACCCAGGTATAGATATATCCATGCAGAATTGTTTACCAACTCGGCGGGAGTCCACCACTAGCTACCAGGCCGCAGCCCTGGGCAACCCCGGCTGAGCAGAGGACATTTATAAAAGGCAAAAAAGAGATATACATATGCATACAAGACACTTGAAGAAGAGTACAACGATGTACAAAGAAATATATACATGTGCATACAAGGCACTTGAAGAAGAGTACAACAATGTACAAAGAAATATATACATGTGCATACAAGGCACTTGAAGAAGAGTACAACAATGTAAAAAGAAATATATACATGTGCATACAAGGCACTTGAAGAAGAGTAAAATCAAAATACATGTATATACATATAAATACAAACTCAAATACAGATATATACACACTTACATACATAGATATTCCGAAACAAATAAAAGTATACATACTCTCACTCATATTGATATATACAACCATACATATATGTTATCATGATAGTTAAAGTTTACAAGAAGCATGCCATTGAGGTATGCGTGATCCTTAGTATGAATTAGGTACCATTAATAAAAGATATAAACATGTACATTACAGCATTCAGATACAGTACGAACTTTATGGATGAGAACCTGGCATAGCATAAATACAAAATTACATATTGAACATACATATGGCATACTCTGTTGCTGACATATTGAATTAGCTTATATAGATTTTTATGACTACTATCTTCCAGCGTCAGAAGATTAATTGCTAGTACAGTAGTCGATTATTGTTTTCAGTTTACAATCAAGTCTTAAAGAGGGAAAAAAATCATATATTAGGAAAAAAATTGCTAGTCTAATTTTATATATTTTGTTCACGGTTTATGCAAATAATTATACAGAATACAATCGTTCCAAACTAATACGAACCATTGTATAGTAAACTATATTTCTTATACCCCAAACTATGTCCAAAATAAAATTTCTAATTCTGGTTTCTGTGTTTTATAATGCCTGTCTCAAAAATAATATCTAAAGGGGATAATGAGATTTTAAGTAACCATTCATGCATTTTTATGAACGGTATTTTGCGTCTTTTCACTGAATCGATTCACATTTCAAACTATTGCCACCAAATATTATTGCCACGTACTATATTTTAAAAAACTAATCTCCATAAATGTTTCTCGCATTGTGTAAAAACAACGGTACCTACAGCCATCCAGTTTTGAAAAACTAGTTTTCCAACCGAACATGGGCACTCGGAAGTTCACATTTTTAATTTCGAATTTGTTTTATTATCTGTTTTATATTTTGTAAAGCATTTATGAGTTTTTGATTAAGAAACTCGACGATTTCAAAGCCAGCCATGGCAACACTGTAAGGAAAAAAATAACATTTTTATCTCCAGCGCGTGAGGCTGTGTATAAAGATTTTAATTATTATAAATTTTATGCGTTTTGTAAATTACTTTGTGATACTGCTGTTGAATAATTTAAGTGCGAAGAACATCATATTTAGTAAATGAAGGTAACTCACAAAACGTTAAGAAAAACGTCTGAAAGCCTTTAGATTTTATTTTATTTATTTACCGTATATACCCGCGTATAAATCGAGATATTTTAGACAAAAAAAAAAAAAAAAAAAAAAAAAAAAAACAACTTCAAAGTGGGGGGGGGGGGTCGACTTATACGCGAGGCCATAAAAAATTAAAAGAATACGGGAAGTTCAAAAAATTTCTTTATATAATGCAGTTGTTTTCTTCCCGCACTTCAAATTGGATGACTTATCAAACAAGTCACTTACTTGAAGTAATTTCATTGACTTAAATTATGTGACGAACTAATCACAGAGTTTCATACTTTAACTAGAGCAAGTTTCGAATTAAACCAAAGACATTTTCGGCCCCCGAACAACCAATCAATATCGAGCAATAAAAAATGTTTCGCCAACACGCCAAGAAAAGAGAAATGCAGATAGTTTTTACGTACATATAAGTCTTTATAATAGTTATTGTTCATTCATGAAATACTTTTGTTAACAGGCGTACACGTCAAAATTTAAAAAAATTGCTCAGTGGGTTAAAGATGCCTGGAACGAAATACCCTCTGAAATGGTTATAAAATCATTTAAAAAATGTTGTATTAGCAACGAACTAGACGGCACGGAAGATGATACTGTTTTTGAAAGTGAAAATGACGACGAAGGCTGTAGTAGTGATTGTAACAATACAGAGTTCGAGACTGAAAATATGTATAATGACGAGCCAATGACGGCAGAAGAGTTCTATGAAATGTTTGGCGAATCTGACCATGAATCGGACGTTGAAGGATTTCGGAAGTGGGGGGTCGACTTATACGCGGGTTTCTTATTTTCTACGAATTTTTTATGTGGAAGTGGGGGGGGGGGGGGGGGGTCGACTTATACGCGGTACCGACTTATACGCGGGTATATACGGTATTTATGTTGGTCTAATAATTTTCTCTCCTTTTTTCTTTTTTTAATTTTGTTGAAACTGTTTCTAAATGTAATATATATTTTAATAATTAATATATTTCAATTTATTTCACACTACGTTAAACAGGAAGTACAGAAACAAACACTGGAGTTCTGAAAATTATTTTTTATTTTTATTTTTAATTTATTTAATAGCAAAGCTCAATTGATAACAAAAGGTCTTATTTTTCCTTTATTTACTGAATAATAAACTTTCTCTCATGAATGTATGTTGAAGTTTTCTAATTTCCAATTTTATTTCTCTGTCTACAGGAGCTGAAATCAGTTTTATCAGAGCCCAAAGAAGAAACTGCTGGTAGGGAAACAAATTCGCATATAAATTTTTTATTATTAGAATTTTAATGATCAAAAGATGTACTTGAAATTTCGTTACCTATATGCTCTTTCAGAAAGTTAATTTTTTGTAACGGAAATTTTATATGAGCATTTGCAGTAACTGAATAGAAGATGTATTGGTAGAGGTACAGATACATCTGCTATTTACTTTTCATGGTATTTGTAATTTTAAAGCATACCTCTTTTTTTTTTTTTTTTTTTTTTTTTACTTTTTTGTACGAAGTAAAAAGCGAGTATTATAATCGAGAAAAGTTTCAGGCAGCATATTTCAACGAAAATATCAATTTTGACCGCTATCGAATGCAATTTAACAATGTTTTTGCCTAACATTTGTACGTAAGGACAGAAAAAAAGCCTCTTTTCCACCAAAAACGTTATAAAACTGCTTTAAAATGAATTCTGAAGAGAATTTTTCGTGGTGTCTGTACGTAGGTATGTATATATGTATCTCGCATAACTCAAAAACGAGTAGCTTCCAAACGTTGAAATTTTGTATATAGGACTGCTATAACATGTAGATGTGCACCTCGTATTTTGGTTGTAATCGGCCGCACCAAACGTATATAAATATATTTATATATATATACACTCTCTGTTATCCGGCTCAGTGATTCAGTTTCTTTTCTCTTATATGTTTGTAAATTGTGCACTTTTTGCTTTAAAAATGATTGAATTAATATTATTCTTATCTTCCGGTTAAGGTTCTTATACCTTTAGGAAATCTGCAAGCAATATTTATAGAATTATCAAGAATTTAAAAGCTGTTTAAGTGCGGTTAAGCCTAATTTTTAAATAACATGGCGGAAATATTTGTTTACATTTGAAACAGCAGAATAGTAGATTTGTTGTCAATCTAGAGAGACTAAACTTTCAAACAACAAAGATAACGCCTTCATTTGTTATTGCGAATTAATTTGTTCATTGTTATTGCTTAATCCTTTCTGGGATTTTTTCGATGAAATAAGTATTTAAGATTTGTACTTCATAATTTTTAATATACATATTTTGAGCCTTTTCGCGAAGTGAGAATTGAATTAATTGAATGAGAAATACTGAACCGTCTGTGAAAAACTTTCTTTTTAGTTTAGCTTACTTAATTTCTTTTATACATCGTTCTAGATTTATTATAGTATTTGAACAGAACATTTGGAAACGATTAGATAATTCTTCAAATGATATAAATTTTGTGCATCGGAGTTATAATAGGAACTAAATATAACAGGGCCAGAGTGTCGCTATGGTAAACGAATATAGTGAATTTTAAAGAGGGCATTTATTCTATTGTGGTTTATACGCTATCGACGAAATAGATTTAATTCAATCCAATAAATTTAAATGAAATGAAAAAAAAATGCGTATAATTTAATATTCCGTATTCCGTCATGATTCCTAGTGGGTTGAATGCATACAGAACCGATGATAGTTAGATAAAATTTAATTTCTTAAAAGAAACAGTTTACCGTTCTAGAACTTTCCGGAAAAGTAATCGTACAGTCTTCTCAATATCACAGAGCACAATGAGTAGTTACGCTTCAAACTACGAAGAGCGTTTAACACAAACCTCATATTAAGAGCGAAGCTCGCACGGAGATCTAACTCTAAACTCAGTACTGACGTTCTCTTCGACTTTACATGGTTTTTCCCTGACAGCCGAGAAATTTTCAGTACTTTCCTTTTGTCGAAACGACATACAAGATTACAGTTACATGAAATGGTTTGATACGGTTACAGTTGAATAAAGGGATCAATTGCAGTACATAGGGACCAATTAAATATATGCAGCAAATATAAGCATCAATTAAATGTAGGGATTTAATTACATTTATACAGGGACCGGACAAAGTATGGCCAAATGGTCGCCAAGTTTATCGACGTTTTGCAATTTATCGCCAGATTTGGCGACAAAAATTTATTACCGAAATCTGGCGATACAATTTAACGAGATGTTAAATAGACTTGCTTACCCTCAATGTTAAATAGACTTGCCCTTGAGATCTTATTTTTCCGATACAGCTTCGCCTTTTTCGAGGCCCTTCATATTACATTACGCAAGAGATACTATAATTTTACACATAACATGACTAAAATTAATTATATATATATATATGTATATATAAATCAAAAATCTGAACGAAAAAGAAAATGCCGTATTTTAAATATTTGAAGGTTATTCCTATTTTCCCGTGTTACAACATAAACTGGTAAAATGCAAATTAAAGAAACTTACAGAATGGTAATCAATGTTCACTTCAAAGTGAAGTAAAGTATAAAAAAAACTGGAAATTTGTACGTATTAAAACCAAAACAATAAAAAAATAAAAAAAAAATTAATCTCCCTAGTTTAGTGCTTCAAACAGAACTTGTCAATAGAAAAGTGTTTGGAGCCCTAAAACTTGTCAAAGGAAAAGTGTTTTGAAGCCCTAAAAATTACATATATACATATATATATACAAATTTATTATACATATTATACAATAATAAAATTATTATACATACATATATATATATATATATGTATATAAATTTCGAAACAATTTTTTTAAGATAAATCCTTCTTCAGGGACGAGATGTGATCTAAAAGTCTCAGATTGCCATTTTCTTGGTCTGTTTATTGCATTGTTTATAATATTGCCAAAATATAAAATAATTTATTTCCTTTCTTTTAAATACTTTTTACACTATTATGACTAGAACTTAAATGTACTAATTAATTCATCTAATTAATTAACAGCATCGACATTCGTTCAAGTGGTGCACCGGAAGAAACCTAAAATTTTCGGCATGGAACCTATCGTATTCATACTGATACTCATTGCTCTACTCGTGCTGATCACTGCTATCACCTTTCTCACCATTTTAGCCATTTACAGTAAAAGGTATGGTGCTTTTGTTTTCCACTTAAGTACGCTAAGTCTGAATGAATTATTTTAGTATAATGAATGCAAGAAAAGTAATGAAAAGAGAGGAAACGTAATGGATGCGAAAGAAAAACATAAGAATTATGATGTTACACAAGGCTCGCTTGATAATAACATATTTTTTCAAGACAACGTGTTTAATTCAGCTTTTAATAAGATATGAATGAATGTTATTATGCTATTTTCATTTACTATGCAATGAAGTATAAACTAAATAAGGAATACATCATAAGTAACAAGTTTCTGCACCTTTGACCTTCAAAACATTATTTCAAGAGGGCAGCTTGCGTTCTACGGGTTCGTGGATTTGGATTGATTGACGACAACGTTTGATGAACAATCAAAACACATTACGGAGTAGTTCCAAAGACGAATTACATTCGTCGAAAAACTACGACAAATACGCTGAAACAATCAGCAGCACAGCCTTCAGGCTATCAGGCTATAACTGTGAAGACAGCTTCAGGACAGAGCACTAAAATACAGCTCCCGACTCGGTCAATCGCTCTCGGAGCTGAAGACGCTACTAGTAAACTCAGCTGACTATGAATCTATACTCAAAATAACTGATATACTCTTCACAATGAAGCTCACGATGCATTACTACTCCGCGTACAGACAAGGTTTATATTTGCTTTTGACCTGCCTTCGAGAAAGTTCTGGGGCAAAGCGGTAAGAATTCGTTCTAGAAGGTTCTTGCTTCATCTATGGCATATAACCAATTTTGTCGCCAAGTGGGCGATTTCACGCCAAAGCTGGCAATCTTGCTTGACATTTTCTGGTAACCCTTAACTCACTTTGCGGGGAACTTGCTATTTATGCTAATTTCATTTGCTTTGCATTGTAGCACAAATTGAATAAGGAATACCTGATAAATAACGAGTTCCTGCTCCTTTGACCGTCATAACAGCATTTCAAGTGGGCAGCAAGTCCAATGCTAGTAGCTGACCAAGATGTGTAGCAGGAATAATTATCCTACTGGCACAATTCGTTTCAATCTTGATGGAAGAAAAATAATAGGAAGGAATATAAGTCATCGCCCAACAGGTATACTTATAATGCATTGCAGATGCTTGGTACAAGCGTAAAAGATCCCGAGCATTACCAAAAGTAAACAACCCAGACTAATAGCTGAGCCTTACCTTATCATGGACATTTCCAGCCTGGCTCGCTGGATCTCTAGTTTCATGAGGCTGGTTTCATATTCTTAATTTACCTTTAGCGTGATTGGTTTTGTTCTGTTTCGCTTATTTGATTACGGGAAAGCATGCGAGGGATATCTGTCTAAGAGGAGGGATGCCTTCGTCGAGAGACATTGGTTGTGTTTTCATGTTGCACATTGGAAAATACATTGGTTATTATAAATTAAGGAAAAATCACAAAAATAGCGATAACTCCCTCAGAAATAAGCCAAACCGTTTAAAATTTGAATATGTTGCCAAGTAAGAATAGCTGAGTAAAACTACGATATGCAAATTAGTGGCGCTGCTTTCGGAATACGTCATCTGCGAGGAGCATTGGAGAGCAAGCCTACATATTTCACTGTGACAGTGACATCAGAAATTTGAGATAGCCAATTCGTAACAATGACCTCCAGGCATCATTTGCCTGCAGAACTGCGATGGAGAGCCATTGGGAGACAAGATGCAGGACAAAGTCAAACAGAAGTGGCCAGATGGCTAAATGTGAGTCCTTCTGTGTTCATAGACTTTGGAGACAATTTCAAACCACAGATTCGGCATCTAGGAGGTTCAGCCAAGGACGGCCAACTGCTACGACGAGCGCCGATGACCGATATTTGACATTATGTGCACGCAGGAATAGAACCACTACTCCGACTCTATAGCTTAGATCCTTCCTTGCTGCAGCCACCGGAAGGTTCGTGTCAACGTCAACTGTGCGTAGAAGGCTTCACGAAGATGATCTGTATGCAAGGCGACCAGCCGTTTGTGTGCCGCGCACGTCACTCCATAGGAGGGACCGTTTTCAGTGGACATGACAACATGTCCACTGGACGCCTGATGAATGGAGGGCGGTTTTCTTTACGGATGAGTCCAGGTTTAGTGTAGAAAGCGATAGTAGACGTTATTTGATATGGAGAGAACCTAGAATCCGTTATCAACCGTCAAACATCCGTGAAAGAGATGCATACGGAAGGGACAGTGTCTGTATTTGGGGTGGCATCTCTTTGGGTGGACGCACAGACCTCCATGTCTTTCCAAGGGGAACCGTGACTACTCAGATTTATAGAGATGACATCCTTGATGTTTATGTGTGCCCATATGCCGGGGCAATAGGTGATGCTTTCCTGTTACAGGACGCCAACGCAAGACCACACAGGGCTCGCATAGTAGATGATTATCTTCAACAGGAAACATTTTCTGAGCAATATTGAATATAATTACCAAATAAAAATTATTTAATGAGTTAATGTTTGTTCGTTCTTGATTTAAGATACTTCTTTATGATATATTGATATATCATTTACCTGTCTGATTATACTATTTGGTTTTCTTTTGTTCTTTTCGTTCTGTACATTCAGGCAACGAAAGAAGTCAACTAATTCTTTCTCCACTCGAGATTCCGGACTTTCAGGATCCATGACTTGGTCAGTCATGTATAAAGTACCAGATAACGAAGTGATAGAATCACCTCTAGTCACCAGTGGCTTTAGAACTTTGCCTCTCATTGAAAAAAGTAAGTTTTTAAAGGGTAAACTATTTAAATATACTACTTAAAATAAAAAAAATTGGGAAGAAATCCAGTAAGTATGTGAGTTCTTCTCGTAGCGCAGAGACTTGTAAGCCCAGAGCTACGAAATGAAATAACACACGTTGTGCTTACAATAAAGGTGCGCATCTGGAAGAAATTTTTTCAAAAATTTCTTTTGAGAAATGTTTTAATCTTGAAATGATTATCGCATGTACCTTTGCTTTATGAACGAAAAAATAATCCCAGAATTTCACTGCTTACATCAACAGTCAAAATGGAAACAAATTTTTTTAATGAAGTTTGTTCTAAATCTCTAACATAATTTATTTACTTTTGGCATTTCTCCGAAAATAGCTCAAATTTGTTGTTATTGTTACTGATCCTAACTCGTTAGCCATTAGGCTAGAGAAGATCCACGAGTACATGAACCGTCATTAAATCCAAAACGAAGGCAGGTCTTTTCAATAGGTCCTCAAGTCCTAAACGGGCGAGAAAAAGTTCAGGCGTGAAATGGTCATTATTACATTTCCTACTGATCTTATATTCCCGGTCAAATTTAAGGCATTTCAGGTGTCCATTTACGAGCATCGTCAAAGTAGTCTGCTGATCACGATTAAATCCACCTACAGCCCTCCCCGGGCTACATCCCAAAATACCAGTCATAGTACCTGGCAGGAGAATGTCAGAAAGAGGCAACAGTAGATTTTACTCTCAAGCAGATCTCCAAAAAGATCAGGTTCTTACCTGTTTTCTAAATCTTAAAACTTGGGATTCCGTTTAAAACTGTTTTACCAGTCATTGCCACCGAGAACATCAAAAAAAAAAAAAAAGAATAATTATATTAAAGATTTTCATATTTTCCAGTGTTTTCAGATACTGAGTTAGTACTTTGGTATGTTAAAAACTCATTTAACTTTGTGAATAAATAGACCGAAAGAACAAAAGGTACACTTCAGGACCGTATTCAGAAATGTATATATGTATGTATACATGCATCTATATATGAATGAATATATACATGTGGGGAAAGGCAACGACCATAGTTGATAACACACATTTATTACTATTTACAAATATAGATTACATTAGGGTTACAATTAATGAAAATGGTATACGAGCGATCGAGCGACGTCTGCTCCGCTCGCCAGCTAATCCTCGTCTTCTCCCGAAGGCGGGAAACACATGCTGACGCAATGCATACGTCACACAGTAGGAGATTAGGGAATATCATGACATAACGTTTCCCACATTCGGCCATCATGACCGGACAGGCGACCTCGCCTGAAGCAACATAGTATATCATCATCAAATTAAAAAAAAATTATTATAATATAGTAACATAGGTATGGAAAAAATAATCTGTAGATACAAAGCTGAGGATACTTACACAAATGGAGCAAAAAAAATAGATTAAACACACCACAGCAGTTAGTTAACTAAAAATAAAAAGAACATTAGTATGACAAAATGAATTAAAAAGTTGATATGAGGAAAAAAATTATTAGAAAGTTCTCAGGTGTCATCTGTCCAAACACAGGAGGACCTATAATGCTGACAGTTTAATAAAAATTAAGTGATACGTTCAATATTGTTGGACCAGGGTTTCATGTATTCAGCACAAGTAGATGTTTTGGATGGTCCGTCGAAAAAATGCACACTTTTCCACATCATATGTGTCATTTTGTTTGAGCCTGGTGACTTTATAAGGTCCGAGAAATTTCTGTTTGAGTTTTAGACCAGGGCCAAACTGAGTTCGTTTGATAGCCACGAGGTCATGAAGTTGAAATTTTTGTGCCTGTTTTCGTCGCAAATTATAAGTACGGCGATTTTCGTCTTGCACTTTAGAGATTTGCTGTTTTGCGTCCTTACGGAGATCGTCACGTTGCTGAATGAATGCAGATTTGATCTCCTCGTCGATTAGAGCAGCGATGTTTATGTCGTTTTGCGATTTCATTTTAGTCCCAAAGAGAAGTTCAAAGGGAGTAGAATTGATGCTACGTTGAAAAGTTGAATTAATAATTTGTTGCACGGCGGGAACATGGCGGTACCATTGCTCAGGGTTGGTTATGGAGAGTTTAGAAAGGACAGCAATAATAATGGAGTTCAAACGCTCAACTTGACCGTTCGATCGTGGGAGGCCAGCCAGCTGTAATAAGAACGTGCTTTATTCTCTGTGTGTCACAATAGTTTGCAAATGCAGTGGATTTGAATGCAGGGCCTCGATCAGAGATAATCCGTGAAGGATTTCCGAAGACTGATCTTTGAGATTCCAGCCGACTGATAACTTCATCTGCGTCTGTAGACTTTGTCGGATAAAGCCACACGAATTTAGTAAACGAGTCTATAACTGCCAAAATATGTTTGTATTTCTTTGATGTGGTGGCAAGGGGACCTAAGTGGTCGATATGGTACGTGTGCAAGGGTGCGTCGTCTTTGTCAATGGGGTGCAGTAGTCCATCTTGTTTGCCACGCTTTCGATTATTGAGGATGCATGGGATGCAGTTATGGATACACCGCTCAATTTTTTCTTTCAGATTTGGGATAAAATATTCGTTGTTTAAAAGTTCTTGAGTGCGGATTACGGCGAAGTGGCCTCGTTCGTGAGCTGTTTTAATGACATTTGCCTGCATATCCTCAGGCACCACAAGTAAGTCAATGCCGTTGACGTTTTTGTACAGGAGATTGTTCTTAACGAGAAAGTTATCATACGAAGGCGTCGTTTGAAGGAGTGCTTTAATAGCCGTAATATGCTCGTCGGTTTCTTGTGCTTTGCGAAATTGGAGAAGGACACTGTCTTGGATAGTCATGCAACATGGACTGCGACTGAGGGCATCCACGTGAGCCATCTTTGAGCCGGTACGGTGCTCAATTTCATAGTCAAAATCTTGGAGATATAAAACCCATCGGGCTATTCTCGAATTGAGTTCCTTTTTATTTAAAGTTTGCACAAAAGCGTTGCAGTCAGTGATAATTTTAAAATGTGAACCAAGGACGTAAATACGGAACTTTTTTAAAGCTTCAACAATTGCAAGGACTTCGAGTTCATAACTGGTGTATTTACGCTCATTGTCCGATGTTTTCTTTGACATGTAGTAGACAGGGTGAAAGCTGTTATCGTTCATAGATTTTTGTAGTAGGACTGCCCCCAAGCCATCAATGGATGCGTCGGTATGAATTTCGATAGGACTCTTTTGATTAAAAATACTTAAAACTGGTTGTTGAGAAAGCAAATATTTTAATCTGTGAAATGCGGCTTTCTGATCAGCATGAAATTGAAAGGGGGTGTCCTTACGAAGGAGATCACTAAGGGGTTTTGCAATGCTAGAATATGAGGGGATGAATTTCCTAAAATATCCCGTGAGACCGAGAAAGCGTTGGACGTCTTTCGTACTCTTAGGTTCGGGGTAGTTAATTACAGATTTTGTTTTCGAAGGGGAAGGAAAAAGTTTACCGTCTTCAACGATATGTCCAAGAAATTCGATTTTTTTTGTGAAGAAATTGACATTTACGAAAATTAACTTCTAGACCATATTCACTAGCAACTTTGAGTACTTGATTGAGACGATGAATGGCCTCATTTTCATTTTTGGCGGGAATAACTACATCGTCCATGTAGGGTAAAACATAACCTTTGACAATTAAATCACGAAAAACATAATTTATAAAGCGCTGGAATGGAATACTGAAGGGCAATTTGAAAGACCAAATGGCATTCGAAGAAACTGGAATTGTCCATTGTGAGTTACAAAAGCTGTATATGGTTTACTTTCGTCCGCTACTGGCACATGAAAAAAGCCGTTACGTAGGTCAAGAGTACTAAAAATTTGCGGCGTCTTGAAGTTTATCCAAAATGTCATCAATAAGAGGAAGAGGAAAATGATCCTTAATTAAAAGTCGATTAAGTTTCCTATAATCGATGCAAACACGGGGTGTACCGTCTTTTTTTACGCACCACGAGAACTTGACTGGCATATGGAGATGAACAAGGTTCAATAATTTTAAGTTTCAACCATTCATTTATTTGTTTGTCAACAATTTCCCGTTCAACAAAAGGAAGGCGTCTAGGAGGGTGAAAAATCGGTTTATCATCGGATAGAGTGATATTAAGTTTAATATCTGTCGTCTTTGTTTTATTTGGGACATAAGAATTCAGCAAACGTTCTGCCGCAGCACGAGTTTCTTTGGAAACATTTGAACCAATATCAAAAGCTGGAACATCGTCATTTATTGCAAAAATGAAAGATTCAGGAGCAGTTTCAAAGCATTGCTCGGGAGGTTTTGAAAAATATATACCGTCTGGTGTAATAGTTAATTTAGCATTTTTAATTACGTCACATCCTACAATAAGAGAAAATTGCATAGAATGATTTGGAACAACTCTAATATTAGCCGGAAAGTCCTGATTATCAATGTTGATAATGGTTTGAAAATAGCCAATAATAGGAATTTTCGAGAATCCGAAACCAGTTAACACTCCAGAATTATTTGAAAGTGGTGGGGAACCAAGTTGAATCCATGTGTTTTCGTTCAGTAATGTGACCTCACTTCCAGTGTCAATTAATCCAGAAACTGTGCTATTGAGTATAACGACAGTTTTACACATATTACCGTGAGAGGTTTGTACTGTATTTACTTCGGCAGGTGGAGTGGAAGTCTCATTTGATGTAGTGGGGCGGCAATCCATAGATTTATGTCCAAAACGACAACAAGTTAGACACTTTGGGCCAAGAGAACGATTAGGACAGGACCGTGAGAGGTGTCCGACCTCATTGCAGTTAAAACAAGTTTGTGGTTTAGTTTTAGATGGACCAGTATTATTAAATTTCGTGTCGTGTTGTTGGTCTGAATTTTTTCGTCCAGTACCACGTCTGGGGCCATTATTCGTATTTTTAAAATTTGATGGATGAGAGATATTTGTATGTCTAGTCGTAACTACAGATTCATAAGTGCGTAGCTTTTCCTTGAATTCAGAATATGATTTTGCACCGTAGAGAATAATTTTATCGGATGGGGTACCTAGTATTCCTTGAATGGTATACTGAATGACAGAAGCCTCGTCGATAACACCGTCACCACGGTTCGCGCATTGCGATAAAATATTGCAAAGAGCTTTCATTCGAGCGCATTTTTCTTCTTTCTAGTTGTTTATGAATTTCAATAGAAGTAATTTTATCGGAGAACTCATTAAGTAATACTGTTTTAAACATGTCGTATGAATTGAGATTCCGTTGTGAAAACAAAAAAGTTTTAGCAGTACCCACAACAAGTCTTTTCGCAAAAACTAATTTTTGCTGGTCGGTAAGATTTGGGAATAATTGGAAATTATCCTCTATATCGTTGAAAAAAGCACGGACTGAATAGGAATCATTGCCTGAAAAGTTTCTGCAAGTGTTTGAAAGATCTCTCAAAATAAACCATAAATCATGACTCATCTCGCGAATCTCGGTGTTCGCCGTCATATAAACACCGGAGCGACTCGAATTCAAATTTATTACTTCCGCGTCAGAAGAAACAACGCGATTTGGGCTTGGCGCCGTGGAGGGAGGGGAAGGGGGAACAGAAGAACTTAGACCTACAGGCGTCGTGCACTGGTGTTTTGAAATTGAATGATCGTCATCGGATAAAAAACTAACATCTAGGGAATTGTGAAAAATCCGTCAGATTAGTGAGCGCATGAAAAATTTTTTCACATAAAACATCTTTATTAGTGGAAGCTTCCAAATGCAATAAATTCGCCACTGATATAAAATCTGATAAAGAAAAATCTTTTAATAGAAGTTCTTTATGTTTTGCCAAATCGAAACTGTCCGGGAACGCGGCAAAATTTCGCATTCTCTTTCGCGAAGAATGATCAAAATCGGAATATCCGAGCACGGTATTAAATAATTTAATAACTCGTGTTGTGCCATATTTAAGAGAATTCGCTATCAATGGGATATCACCTAATTTTAGGGCCATAGTTCTTTAAACAGTAAAATAGGACAATATGAATATGAAATAGGGTATATGTATGAATGAGAATTAAACAGTATAAAACACAGCTTAAAATCGTAATACTAATAAATTATGAACGAATTAGGGAAAAATGGGCCTACCTAACTTCGGGGCAGTCCTTATAATCCAATATATATCTTGGCCAATCCAATGTAATCCAAAATCGAATTTCGATTTAACGTCCAAAATCAGAAGAATGGACAAGTAGCATGTAACATCATTCACATATGTCGTCCAGCTTGAAGAATATTAAATCGTCATAAAGGCACGTCTTCATTCACATACGTCGTCTAGGCTTGAAGAAGAATATTAAATCGTCATAAAGGCACGTCTTGCCTTTGTTAGCTTTCTGAACGTCTTTAGTGATTGCTGGTGTCTAGGGTTCGATTATAACGCATGCACAAAAGGCACGGTCGAGCCCCCAAAATGTGGGGAAAGGCAACGACCATAGTTGATAACACACATTTATTACTATTTACAAATATAGATTACATTAGGATTACAATTAATGAAAATGGTATACGAGCGATCGAGCGACGTCTGCTCCGCTCGCCAGCTAATCCTCGTCTTCTCCCGAAGGCGGGAAACACATGCTGACGCAATGCATACGTCACACAGTAGGGATTAGGGAATATCATGACATAATTTCCCACATACACCATAGCCACGACATCGCAAAGAAAGGAAGTTCATCTCCGTTTATGGTCGTTGACAAATCACTGCGTTTTCTTTCGAACGCGATTGGAAGATTAGTTTATAACCTTTTTAATAAGGTATTTGACAAATCGACTTGTCGAAATGACATGCCAATTATTTTTCATATTTCGATTCTAGTACTCACATTATGCCAAAGTGCCAAATTTTGTAAAAAATCCCACGAGTAGTTTTTAAAAAATGAGCTGTCAAAGTTTTAGCTCCTCCATGCTAATTGAATTTAATATATTTTTGTGTTTTTCTTTTCTGACACCAGTTGTTACGTTAGTTTCTTCCTTCACGTTCGTACGGGGTTTGTAGATTTGGAGTGAATAACGAAGATACTTGATGAAGTATCCAAACACACTTTATTTAGCCAATATTAATCAGGAGAGCTCCAAGATCACGCTTTACAGTCGTCAAAGATCTACTATACACTCGTTGGAACCATCAGCGACACAGCCTTCAGGTTATCAGGCTATAAGGTGGAGACAGCTTCACTGCAAAGCACCAGAGTACAGCTCCCGACTCTGCTCGGTCGTTCTCGGAACTCCACGTACTCTCGAGACTCTCGAACTCAACTCGCGATGCACTCGTCGACACACAAGGCACAGCTCCCGACTCTTCGGCTCAGTCGTTCCCGGTGTTCAACACACTCTCTCGACGACGCACTAACCGCGCTACACTAAGAGATTCATTCTGTGCACTCGACGACCCACCCGGCACTCGCTGCCTGTCTGTCAACTCGATCGACTCCGCAGGGATTGACTCGCTAGATGAGACACCAACTCGATACTAACTCGCACTCTAGACGAGGAACACACATTCACTGACTGCGGACCATCAGGGTTTATATAGCTTTCGGCTTGTGTTCGAGAACATTCTGAGCAAAACCGGTAAAAATTCGTTCCAGAAGGTTCTCCATCCGTCCATGGTATATCGAAAATTTTGTCGCCAATTGGGCGATTTCTCGCCAATTGGGCGATTTCTCACCAAATGTGGCAGCCCTTCCTACCTTGCTATTTTATGGCAACCCTAAACTTGCTTTGCGGGGAAGCTACCTTACCGCGCCTTAACATTTCGCAACAATATATTTATGAATCTCTCTCTTTTTTTATTAAACTTATCTTATTCTTCCTTTCCCATTTTGAAATTTAAGTTTATTCCAAATAAAATTCGCCCTTTTTTTGTGATTTATTTTTTAAATTCGTATTTTTAAATAATTTTATAAATTTTTCGAAAAACATTTTGAATCATAACATATAAAAGTTTTACCATCATATCAAAGTAGATGTATTTCTAAGGATACGTGCAAAAATTTAGAGTTTTTCATTCAAAATTCCCTAAGATAACATATACGTGAATTTACATTTTGGCGCATTTTGAAATTTGGTGTATTTATAATAAGCGCTAATAACGAAATTGCGGTTTACGCACTTTGTTAAAATTATTTGAAAGAATGAAAGACGGACATTTTTTCCGCTCTTGCGTCAGTGAAAAAGTGAGTAGGTTACTATAAATTAAGAATTTCGTTAAGTGAATTAATTATTCTTGGGGCAAACTCAAAAAATGCTCTAAAATAAATTTTTGAAGTTCTCGGTAAATTTCGAACCAAATTTTACAAAATTTAATATCAAAGCATAAATTGAGTCGTAGAATGGAAATATGGAAAAAAATTGGCATGTCATTTCAGAAAAAATCCGACTTTGTTTCAAAACACCTATATTAGAACATTGCTGTATATAAATATAATATATATCCGAAGTCGCACTTTCGTGACATGAAAAACGCAATTTGAATTTCTTCAATCGGCCTAGTAGTTAGAACTGTCCTTTTTTTTCTGCAATGTACGTACGTACATACAGACGTGCATATACACATACATTTCTGAATAACAGAAGAGTACCGTGCAAAAAAATTAAACTAAAATTTGAAACATTTTTTCTACCAACTTGGTAGTAACACTTTTTACAGTTGAAGATATTCCGAGCAAATCATTCGGATATTTTCATCAATTTAGATCTCAAATATAAATAGTATATGTATAAGTACGAATATAGGTACCATTCGGTTTTGAGGGCCGTAAAAAATCACCAAACTATTGTCAATGCCAATGCTGCCAAAAATAATTGCTATAACTCTAATGCAAGAAAGGAAGTATAAGAGTAAATAAGTATTTAAGATTGATGTTTTAATTTAGATGAAAGGTTAATTTCATATCATACTTTTTTATTATTATAATTTATATAAAAATTACTAAACATAACGGAATGGATGCCTGCATCGCTATTTCGCTACCGAGTTATCGCTAAAGCATAATTTCATCTCGTTGGTTGTTCAAACATAATTTTTTATAATGAATGAAACTTTTTCTTTGAAAAAATTTCAGTAAAGTGCAGATTCGCCCACTTATTTGTTTACCGCTTTTTACAAGGGTAAAAACAATTGAATTTTTGTCAATTTTCGTTTACTTTTTAAGTGAAAATATCATAAAGTAAAAATCACGTGTACATAGATAAAGTTAAAGGTGTACTAAGTACCATTTTTAAGTAAAAATCATGTGTACATAGATAAAGGTGTGCTAAGTGCCATTTTTGTGCAGTTCTGGGATTTTTTTTTTATTGAAAATAGGTCGATGTGTACATGGATACGGAGTATGTGCAATTTTTAAAAACGCGTCAAGCAATGGGTGATTCTGCACTTTACCCAAAATTCTATTGCATACTTTTCGTCATGGGCAATTCCCAAATTTTAAATCCATAGGATATCAAAAATGAATTTAAAATCAAAAAAGGATTTAATAATTAAACTAGTATTTCAATGGCGTCTTAAGAAATATAGAATTATATAAACTTACGCAATCTGAAATCAGCGCGTACGCTAGATTTGGCGCGCTGTTAAATGGGCGCGTTTGCTAGATTTGGCGCTTTTGCGCATACATTTTCGCTGCAATTTTTTTACGATCATCAAAACGGAATAGTACCCAAATATAAATAGTAAATAGTACATATGAAAAGAATACATTTATGGCAATGTTTAACTCTGCTTTCACTGCACACACATTCGTCTTTTCTGATATAAGTTTCTGCCTACGGTTTGATGGTTGAGTGCAAAATTTTTAAAATGCCTTTTGATGTCTTTTTCAGATGCTTCGCTCAAACGAAGTAAGAGTGACAGCAAAATTGCTCGTGGCATGCGCATAGAAACCCTTGAGGACTTTTTAATCAATGTCAGAGGTACGAATCAGCTAGTAGAAGAATTCAAGGTCAGTATTAGTTTTGAATGAATCAATTCAAATTCATTTAAAAAGATATGATTATTTACAACGATAATGCCTGTGATTTATTGAATCTGTTTCTTCAAAATATTAAGCTAAGAATATACTCTTGGAAGCTAACTTTTAGAACTATATGTCAATCAAATGACATGTCAATCAAATCAAACTATATGTCAAACTATATGTCAATCAAATCAAACTATATGTCAAAGACTGAATGTTTTATAAAAACATTCAGTCTTTAGATTGATATTTTCTTCTAGTGTTTTTCCCTTTGAAGCATCGAGATTTGTTTTAACGTTCATTGTTTTAATTTTCTCATTAAAATATTTTATTTTACGATCATTTAATTACTTAGTTTCTTAACTTACAAAATGCATTTAAGTATTTAAATTGGGAAATAAACAATCAACTTCTCAATTTCAGATATCAGCTCACTCACAATGCTATAAGACTATAAAACCTTTTTCAAAGGAATGTGCTTCGCTCGGTCTTTCTTTGCTTCTATTGCTTCTTTCGCATCCATACTGGAGATTATGTCGATTTTAATGAGAAAATCATGTCCTTCTTACAAATTATTAAATTGGAAATTTTCTCAGCTAATTACTTACTAGCAGTATTCCTATCCGCATTATTTTTTTTAAATATTTTTTTTAATCTTTGCACATAACATAATCTTTGCACTGAATGGTCGTCTTTTGTAAATTATTTTTTTGGTGACATTGACAAGACTTTGGATGAGACTCCGATCTCCGCCAAATATACTCCGGTAGACTCTATCAGTAGACGCCGCTTTAGTGCAGTTCGTGCTACGGGCAATTTTCCAGCAGTAACGCAAGAAAAAAACAAAGTTTAGAACTAAAATGTGATAAATTTAGACTCATAAAACTTCAGTAAATACACAAAATTACAAATGATACGAAACACACTCAAATTGGTCACAAAATTGCATTGCCTCATCATCGCTTTCAAATCTAGAAAAAGGAGCTGGCTGCATGGGTATTTTTCGTGTTTTACAATATATTTAACGTGAATGTGAATCAATTCCCCTAAATGTCTTCCACGAAGGCATCTCTTGCTTTAGACACTTAGCCCACTAACGGCAGAGTTGCTGAACAGTTGTATTTCGACCCGAGTGCCGATTTCGGCGAACAGGCTGCTTGCATGGGAGTTTCTATTGTGGATCTTTAACGTGGATATGGGCGAGTTTCTCTTAAAAAATGCTTCTTGAAGACTTTCCTTCCCATAAACAAATTGCCCTCGACTTGCTTTCCCTTAAAAGATAAACTTATCCGTTTCTTAACCTAATTGTTAACTATTTCTTGTACCCTTTGACCTATTCAAATAATCTAAACCTATCATAAATTAAAAAAACAAAACAAAAAATAGCTACCAGCGGCCGAGCGGTAAAGTCGCTGAACACTGGTAGTTCGGTCCGAGGTTCGAATCCCGCGAACGGGCTGGCTGCATGGGCGTTTTCGTGGTTTTCCCCATGTGTAAAGTGTATACGAGCCAGTTTCCCTTAGAAAGTCCTCCACGAAGGCATCCCTCCCCTTAGGCAGATAGCCCTAGTGTGCTTTGCTTTAATTAAATAAACCAAACCAACCAAAACAAATAATAACTGCTAACACATAAATATTAAATATCTAGTATTAAATCAAGAAAAGTAAACGCTTCAATTATTTGCATAAATTTACAATAATTTTATGGTATGTTTGAATCAAAAATATTTTGGTTTGATTTGCTTAATTTGTTTAAGTCAAAGCACTCGAAAGATATCTAACTAAAGGGGGATGACTTCGTGGAGGGATTTTCTAAGGGAGCTGGTTCGTATTTCAGTTTTATATTTTCTACAGGATAAAAGGGAATGACTAATATTGTAACCTATAATGTTTTTATAAAGATATTATTTTAATTATTGTTACGGTTAGTTATCTAAAATGATAATGTTTTGTAGACTGCTGCAGATGTATGTAAATATTTGTGTTTGTTTGATCGTGTTCTGGCTTTCGCTTATATTCATAATAATGCATATTGTATTTATTTATTTATTTATTCGTTGCATTTTATGCAATAATTTTAACAGGTATTTTTGTTTAAACGAACTTGCTTCCATTTGTTATTGTTTGTAAGTATTTATTTTGTGTATAATGTTGCAGATCTTATAATTCTATAATCGATACCTGGTTGAATCGCAAAAATAGTCAAAGAAATTTTTCTGACGTGCTTTGGCGAAACCTTTTGCAGCCAAGTTGGCGATATTTTCCAAATTTTCCGAAGACGTATTTTTTAAATTCTAGAGCTCGGTTTTCTGGAAACTTCCAAAAATATGGAACAGCGTTACAGATGCGGCTGGTTGCTATGAAGTCAGTCAGTTCAGTTAACCGAATACCTGACATCTGCTTCTTGTTTATTGACTGACTTTTCTCTATGAATGACTGAGTAGTAATTAGTAATCTGAGTCATTCGTGACGTGTTAAGGAAAATTTGCATTTCTCCACTATTCTCCTATTTTGAGGGATTTATATAACTGCTTATTTTGCAGGAATTCCTATTTATTTCAATAATACGAAAATATCTTGATGTTTCGCGTAGCTATTAAGGAGATTTCCAGTAATCCATAGCGTTTAATATAGTTTGTGTCACTTTTTAGCGATTGGTGGAAGGTCAAACATCTCCATGGACTGCCGCGAGGAAGAACTGCAATCTGAAAAAGAATCGATATGGAAATATCTTACCATGTAAGTAACACATTCTAATTAACACTCTGTAGTTCGATAAAATATATTTAATTAAGTAAGCTTCAAGGTATATACCAGGGATGGACAAACGTTTTCGATCGCGGGCCAAAAATCGGAAACAAAAAGTTTGGCGGGCCAAGGTAAATTTTTCTAAAATTTTAAAAACAGTATACAAGTATTAAAATTTAAATATGTTAACGAGATGCATGAAATTGCGAATTCGGTTAAAGTTGACTTTAGGGTTCACCTTGTGTTATCGCGAAATTGTTGTTTCATTTATCGCCAAGTTGTTGTCTCATTTATGACAACCTGAGTAGTTGAATGCTAGGGAAACCCTATTATGACGTAATTGGTTGAAGTTGGCTGGTATAATTACATGCGATAAAATAATAACAACAACAAAGAAAAAATAAAAAAAAAAAAAAAAAAAATCTGAAAGCCTTCAGATTTTACATTACGCCTAAAGGGACTCTTTTTAACCATTTGTGTGTTACCTTTATTTATTAAATGTTCTTTACACTTAAACCATAAAATTCAGTTGAACAGCTATATCACAAAATAATTCAAAAAACAGCATATCATTAGAATTTTCGATACACAGTCTCGTGCTGGAGAGAAAAATGTCCCCCCCCCGTACAGTGTTGCCATCCTTCTCTTTGAAATTATTGAGTTTGTTAATCAAAAATTCTTTGTCTAACAAAATATGAAAGAGATAATAAAACAAATTCCAAATTAGGGCTACCAGATGCTCATGTTCGGATTAAAGATTCTTAAAAATGTTCATAGAAAAAGACATGCGAGTAGTATTGTTACTGTATATTGTGTTGTTAATTTTACATTCGTGATTCACGAACTTGGCGAAATTATAGCTGAGATCTTGGCGCAAATCTAAAATTGCCAATTGTGATTGGTGGCTGCTATAAAAAAGAAGTACCCAACTTACATACTATTTGTGTTTGTCTACCATTTAACTATATTTCTCATATTTATTTAGTAAATTGTACTAGTTTCAGTTACTTAAAATAATTTGATTTTGAGATTATTTTAACTTTTGAGTGATCGGTTCTGTATCTGTCTACCATTTAACTATATTTTTTCATATTTATTTAGTAAATTGTACTATTTTCAATTTCTTAATATAAGTTGATTGTGAGATTATTTTAATTTTTAAGTGATCGGTTCTTTATCTGTCTACCATTTAACTATAATTTTCATATTTATTTAGTAAATTGTACTATTTTCAATTTCCTAAAATAATTTGATTTTGAGATTATTTTAATTTTTGAGTGATCGTTTCTTTATCTGCTCAAGTGTTTGCAGATATTAACATCTGTTTCTGAAAAATTTAGGTTGGAACCAACTACATGCAAGTGCCTTAAACTTAAATTTATCTTTATAACGCACTTTGGAAATAAGCTGTGCTTTAATTCATTTAATGATATTTTTGCATTTCATGCAGTTTTCTGAAGAAAATATATTCTTTCAGATGATCGTTCCCGAGTAGTTCTACACACAGATTCGAACAAGAGTGATTCAGATTACATAAACGCCAGCTATATTGATGTGAGTGATAAACTAAATTCTCCTATTCTTAATATGAATGTGAAATTTCATTGTATTTTGTACGATGAGTAATATTATTTGATTGAAGTGTTTTCTTATGTAGAAATAATAATAATACTTTAACAATAAAACAAAAAAGAAGGTAGGAGATAAAAAATATGTAAGTATTAATTGTTTCACAAGAATATAGTAAAGTTAAATTAAATTTAAATAATTCTCTTACGCCATTGCTGCAAGGAATGAAATTTTGAATTTAACAAATATTCCTAATTCGTAATTTTTTTCATACTTTTAGATACCTGCACTTAATTTACGTATGCTCTTAGAATTTAAATGATATTGTAAATTAGTTCATAGCAATAATTAATCTTGGTGAATCTTTACATTATGGTAACTTGGCGATTTTTTGGCGACCAACCCTGCTACAGCAACCTGCTAGTTTTGTTTTGGACGCCATTTTGTTTTCACTAAGTTAAGGCATGTTTTTTTTTTTACTCATCATTTTTTCCAACAATCTGCTAGCCGAATTACGCTTATGCTAGAACTTTTATGGAACAAAAATGCTTAATCATGACGAAGATTAGGTGCGAAATTGGGAGAAAGTGCACAATCGCAAACTGCTTGCCGCGTTTTTAAGAATTGCACATACACGGTATCCATGTACACGTCGACCTAGTTTCACTTAAAAAAACATCCCAGAATTGCACAAAAATGGCATTGCGCACACTCTTGCCTTTATCTATGTACACATCGACCTATTTTCCCTTAAAAAGTCAAATAAAATTGACAAAAAGCCAATTCTTCTTATTCTTGTAAAAAGCGCCAAACAAATAAGTGGGCGATTTTGCACTTTAAGCAGCGAAATGGTTTCTAAGTGCTTATTAGCTAAAATCACGATCGGAATTTTCCGGAAAATGTCACATTATATGTCTCTTAATCTCTCATTTCTCTGGACAAAATAATCTGTGATTCAAACTGTGTACTTCTCAGATTATTGCTAAAGTCCTAGCTAGTAACCTTTATCGCCTTACCAAAATGTCACCAAACTATCTGTTACCATATTCTAAAGATTAGCTTTAATCTTTTATATTTGCAATTAAAATTTCATAATTAAATTTTAAATTTATATTAACTTCAAATTGAAAATATTTTTAAAATTCATAAAAAGTATTCAATGTGCTGTAAATGAATATTATGTGCTTAATTTTAGCAAACAAAACTGTTAGCGCAAATGCTAAAGTGATAATGCTGTGTTAAGTTTCTATTTTACTCGCTTATTACTTGGGATAAAGTTATGTATAGACCAGCGGCTCTTAACCTTTTGACTAAGGCGGTACCATCTAAACAAAAATTGAATAACTTTAGTACCACCATTACATTTTACAGTGATTATTTTTCGATTTCTTAATAAACTATTTAAAAAAATTTTTGTCATTTGCACAACTTATTGGCTATTAGAATATAAATATGCACACATAAAAATATTAGACTGAAAATTGGCTACCATTTTAATTATCAAATTTGAAGTTATGATACTTTAATTCTAAATTTTAGTGTGAAATTTGGGCCTGTTTAAGGGAGAACAATTTCTTTATGTCTGATCTTGTTTCACTTCGTTTTAACCGTAAATTAGGATCCACTTTTAATTTTCTTCTGTATTTATTTTTCGAATATAAAATGGAAGAAAATTCATGTTCACACAAATAGGTTCTGCAAAAAGGTAATAAAAATTTAATAGCTTTATTTCAATTGCCTTTAAATTCTTTTTTTTTTTTTTTTTTTTTTTTTTTTTTCTCGGTTCAGCCAAAAGCTAAGTGTTATTTCTTAAATCTTCAGTTAGAGCTCTTTCACAGGAAATTTCTATCAACTGTTCTTTTTTTCCTCAAGAGATGAATTTAATAGTTAAAATAAATACTATTAAATAACTATTAAATAGAATTTAATAGTTAAAAATACTCTTTCTTTACCTACTACCGGTTGAGAACCGCTGGTATAGACATTTATAGTATAAACACTTTCGAAAATTTTACTTCTTCTTTCTTGTTTCTTCTAGGGGTATAGAAGACCAAGAGAATGCATCGTTACTCAAGGTAATTTCCTTTTATGATCAGTCTAACACAAAGTCCCAATAAATCTGTTTTTAACATATTCTGTAAAATTGAACTTCTGACGAATTAAAATGCTTCTGGGTCTACAATGAATTAAAATTTTATGCTTACAAAACAATTTTTGGTACAACTCTGATATACGCCCTAATTTCACCAAATGTGGCGATATGTGTTCTGCGCTGGTTTTTGGCGCGATTGCGTGTTGTACAGCAACCCTGTTGACGTTGAAAAATCTTTCGCTTGAGCTCGTTGGTTGCTCGTTGGTTTGTCACAAAGAGGATTAAATTACAAAAACATTTGTGGCAACACAAACTTGCTGGTTACTAGTTTTCAAAGCAGTTATATTATGTAGTCAGCTGTAAAAAGTTGGAAGTAATTGCTTTTAAAATAAATAAAGTATCCCAATTCTTGCAACAGTCACATATTCGAAGATTATGAGGGGTTTAAGGTGTATGAGTTCCCTTAAATATAACACAGGGCGATAATGCTTTGTGGCAACAGTTTTAAAAGTGATTCGCCGTTTGCAGTGAATCGACGCAAAATCGCGAAACGAAACAATAGCCCTTCAGAAAAAAAAAACCCTTCGGACTAATATTATGAATCAAATAATTTAATCAGGACTATGATTTTCTGAATGCTGTTTTCCACTTCTATGTTTGGCCCAACTGTAGTAAATAGTTTAATCATTCCCTCTCTGTAATGATGATTTTTAATCATTCTACTGCGAAACTGCTTTATATTCCGTCACACGTGAAAAAAGATGTAGAATATATTCATGGTTCTGATGAAATCTAATGTAGTTTTTTAGAGATTAACGACTGAATTATTTTACTGTAGGACCACTCGAAAACACGATTACAGACTTCTGGCGCATGATTTGGCAAGAAAACTCACCCGTGATAGTCATGGTCACCGACCTTGTGGAAAACGGAAAGGTGAATACCATTTTTATTTGACAGTCTTCTCTTTTTGTTTGTAAACAGCTTGCAGTCAGCCTTTTTACTCATTTTTATGAAGTTTGTTTGCTCACCCGTTTGTAGACCTTCTTTTTGAATTCAAAAAGCAGCTTGATTGTTCTCTTTTGATATTTTAATTCTTTATACTTTTGACTTTAAGGTATGTTTGTTGTGTTATGTGCTCTAACTTAATATAGAGCTTCAATTCTTCGAATCAATAAGGACCGGACCCCATTCGGATAATCGAAAATTTGGATAATTGAATTTTTTCCTCGAAGAAAGGGTCTACGTACAATTAATAAATTATTGTATGTACTGTATGTTAAAAATAGGAGAAAAAACCATTTTTAAAGAAAAAGAGGTTTTAATTAATTAAAATGAAAAGACAGCACTTTTACTTACATCTTATGTAGCGCAATACTTAAAAGTGTTACAATTTCTTAAAAGTGCAGTACTCACGAGTGCTGAAAGTCATTGCTTGACAAAGTAATCAATGACTTTTTGGTCAAAGTGAACAATAATATCTCTGTCAAAGTAAGCTATTTGACGGATACTGTGACTGCACTTAAAATTTTTAACCATCCATTACTTGCTTTAAAGGATGAAAAACCAAGCTTGTGAGCTAAGATCTTTGCTTTTTTTATAATGAATCGGATCCGAAATTGGTTTCCCAAAGAACGTTGCTGCAAAAAAAATCTTGAAAAACGACATCTAATTTTTTATTTGTTGCTGCTTTCATTTATTTTCCTGAAATACTTCCATCTTCGTTTTCAAGCAGTGATGCGAAGTTGAAAAGGTTTGCTCCTTTTAATGTCTGAAATTGTTAATTTTTTTTTTCTTAAATTCTGAAAACGATTCGGATAGTCGGAGTTCAGATAATTGGAGTTGTACTGTTTTTAAATTAAATTTCCTGTCATTAAAATATAATTTTTCTTATAATAATTGCGATTTAATTTTTTACATTTTAACCATATGGAATGCGGAGACCAAGATAATGTTAATGTAAATTTCAGGTACAGCGGATTTCAATAAAACATTTGAAGAACGTTTTTTTTTTTTTTTTTTTTCATGGACTGTCTCATAGAAATCAAAATTACAGGCCGCAGATAGCGCTGAGCCTCTCAGAGGATCCAAACTTTCTGGGATCGCAATTGCTTTTTAGGTGCTCGAGCCGTATTTTTTTTAACTCTAATTCCAGCCCTTCATATTCCACAAAAATACCACGATATTTACACTAACAAAATAAACAAATGTAAACTGCAAAGGGAGCAAATTTAAAAAAAAAAATTATAAGAAAAAAAAAAATAAAATGGTACTTCTTTGTTATAGCGGCCACCGAGATTGAATCGCCAATAAACAGCGATATCTCGCCAAAATCTGGCTGCGTGTTTTTATACCTCGCCAGGTAATCGTATATTAGCACCGTGTCGCATTTTTGCCTCAGCCGCGTGTTCTTACTCTATTCATATTTGATGAGGTTTTCGAATTCGCATAGTTTATTTAAAAATATATTCATTGCTTTTTTGTGCAAATATAACGTTAACAATCTCTTATTTATCAAGTAATGAAATTGATGCCAAATCATTTTTTCAAGAAAGAGTTCTTTTACCTAGCAAACGAGTATGCGAAATGGCCACAATATGGAACTTTATGTTAACGAAGCAATCATTTGGAGGTGCAGGGTTAAAAATTGAAAACAAAAGTTGACTGAAACAATTACATGCGATGAAATAATAATAAAGATTCTTAAAAATATTCTTAGGAAATAACACGTGCGTATTAGTGTTGTTATTATAGTTGTTTATTCTTACATTCATGCTTTACTAGCTTGGCGAAATTATAGGTGAGATCTTGGCGCAAATCTAAAATCGCCGAATATGGTTGGGGGCCGCTATAACAAAGAAGTACCAATAAAATAAAGTAATAAAATAAGAACTCAAACAATCGAAATTGAAAATGACACTTCGAAAAGCAGAAATTGTTTCTTTAGTCCATAAAAGTTCAGAAAGAAATTCGTTGCCAAGATACGGACAAGTGCTTCAAAGCGGCCTGAAATATCTTGCTCTGCTGGACATGATGATGCCCTCGAAATGAACATGATTAATATCTTCAACGCTGCTACCGCAGGTAGGCACAAAGTACTTAAATCGTTCTCAAAATTGCCATATCCAGTCAAAAAAAGTCTGTTGAAAACTCAACAATTTTTATTGTGTGAAAAACTGCAAGAAAAACGTATTGCGACCCCAAATCCTCAGGAATTTGTATTTTATAATATGCCTGAACCCCTGTTATACAGTTTATCAGCAACATCCCCCCTTAATTTTTCCCCCGGCTCTTATTTCGAAGTCCACTGATTTAGTGTCTTTGAGACTGCAACGATATCGAACGATAAAATGTGAAAGTCATAATCATAACTGGGTTATATATGCTATACTCTTCGCTGTGTATTATTTTTCTTCAAATAAACTCTTGTTTATTGTCATAGACAGAATCAGTCTCGTCTGACAGGTAAAAGAATGTAACACGCTGAGCGCCACGCGTATGTTTTAGGCAATCCCGTTCAGGCCACGCGCTTCGCTTAAAAGCGCTGGTATTGTAGGGCCAGTGATTCGTATCGCGGTAGAAGATAGCAACAAGTTGTGAAAAAGAAGACATTCCGTCGAACAAAAAATGCAAGAATATCTAGAAAACGACAACATGAACTCCGAAGAAAACCGGGAAAAGCCTCTGAAGTACGAAAATATTGTAAATTATGTTATGATAAAAATGCAACAGAAGCTGGTAGAGTAATGGCCAGAAAAAAGATTAAAAGAGTGTTGTCACATTTTGTAATAAATGTAATGGAGAATCGTTTTTATATTTACCGTGTTTCAATGAAATCCAATGAATCAAAATCAAAATTAAGTAAATTTTAAATAAATTTTATGTAATTTCATAAAACAGTGTAAATTTTATAGTTGTATATCATGTTACACGCTGTCAGCCAGCGGCGGTCGACGCGGCCTAAACGAAAAGGTCTAGTGTCAGCCACAAATGGTTGACGCGAACTAAACGGAAAATTTAGTGTCAGCCAAGGATAGCTGAGGCGATCTAAACGGAAAATCTAGTGTCAGCCACAGATTTGACGCGGCCTAAAGGAAATGTGTCAGCCACAGATGGCTCACGCGGCCTAAACGGAAAATCTAGTGTCAGCCACAGATGGCTCACGCGGCCTAAACAGAAATTCTAGTGTCAGCCACAGATGGCTCCCGCGGCTCAAACGGAAAATCTAGTGTCAGCCACAAATGGCTCACGCGGCCTAAACAGAAATTCTAGTGTCAGCCACAGGTGGCTCACGCGGCCTAAACGGAAAATCTAGTGTCAGCCACAGATGGCTCACGTGGCGCTCAACGTGTTAAGTGATTCTATTTGTTTTAATACTCAATTAAATACACAGCGAAACTGAATCAAAACAGCAATTAAATCATATTATTTTTGATGCCGAAAGCCAGAACCGTTTCCTAGAATAATAGGTTTGAGTAAATAGCAAATTGTGTGAACTGAATAATTTAAATTGTTATAATATATATTGAAACTCTGAAAAATGTTAGATGCAGTGTCAGATGTGCCCCAGTCCACACCATGAGATTGTTTGAAAGCAAAATAAACAAAGAGGAAAACTGGGTTGTTTTAATTGATGAACTCTGAGCAAAACATTTAGATACAGAACCAAATTTGTCTTATCTTGACCACCCAAAGAATATAAAATATGTAGGTTTTGGTTTGCACTTGCGAATAGTTATCGCTCGACATTGCTTCTAGTCTCTTGTTTGCAGTCTCGAAGGCACTGAATCTACTGAAAGGAACTCACAGCCCCAAATGGCGCCTTTAATATTAGTTTGTACACCCCTTATTCGTTGCATACAGTACACAATATAATCATAATATAACTATAATTAAAATATATCAAATACTTGTGAACAAATATGTCAAATATGTGTACTTTGGTATTGTCGCAACCATCTTGGTATATATAAGTCGCCAAACTGTGGCAACGATGTGCTGAATATTTCTTCATAAAGCAGTACCAATAATTGTAATTATTGTATGGTTGTATTAGAAGTTCTAAAAGTAAACTGCAATAATTTTGGTCTTCAGCTGAATTTTGAAATATGCACATGTGCAACTTGCCTGCAAATGAAGACTTTGTGAAATTTGCAATGTTCAGATTCGCATTTGATGACGTTATATTTTGGAAAACAACCTTTTTCGTTCGAAGAGTACAGCAACGTGAAAAGGTACAACGAACACAAAGGTACAACGTACAACGTGAAAAGGAACAACGAAAAGGCATTCGAAGCGGTTATTGGTTTCGAGAATAGTCGTCTGTCATTTACTACAGCAGTTAGATTTATTGCTGGAATAAAGAATCAATGAGTGTTAACGAGTGGTTTCGCATTGCTTTGAATCTATTCTTAAAGCTATCGCTACAGAAATTCTATTGGAAGAAAAGAAGCGAAAATCTATTTTTAAGTACTTTTATTAACTGTTTTCTGGGATAAACATCGAACTAAAATTTAATTATGTCCCTGTTAACATGTATGATATGAAATAAATAATTTCTCCCTGTTTGAAAGTGGCTCACCATTATTTGAGCAGTAAAATCGCTGAATACAGGTAAATCCAACCTGGTTTGGATTCTAAGCAATGGGCTGGCTGCGTGGGCGTTTCGTAGCTTTTCCCATGTCTAACGTGTACATGAACCAGTTTCCCTTAGTAAGTCCTCCACGAAGGCATCCCTTCTTTTAGGCAAATAACCCTAGTGGTCTTTGCCACAGAAAATTAAAACCAAATTGGGTTAATCTTTGGATTATGGTAACTTGGCGAAAATTTGGCGACCAACCCTGCTACAGCAACCTGCTAGTTTTTGTTTGGACGCCATTTTGTTTTCACGAAGTAAAGGCATTTTTTTTTTAATTCAACATTTTTTTTTCAACAATCTGCTAGCCGAATTACGCTTATGCAATAATTAATTCCATAAAAGTTCATATAAGCGAATTACGCTTATATGAACTTTTATGGAACAAAAGTGTATGACGAAGATTAGGTGCGAAATTGCGAGAAAGTGAAGAATCGCAAACTGCTTGCCGCGTTTTTAAGAGTTGTACATACACGGTATCCATATACACGTTGATCTATTTTCACTTAAAAAACATCCCAGAATTGCACAAAAATGGCATTGCGCACACTCTTCACTTTATCCAAGTACACTGCTAAAGTCCTAGTAAGTAACCTTTATCGCCTTACCAAAATGTCGCCAAACTACCTGTTACCATATTCCAAAGTTTAGCCCCAAATTGATTAGAAAATATCATTCTTTTTCTTCTGCAAAAAATCAGCAAATTGCGCTAGAGTGGTTGCGGTAATACCGAGTACCCAAATAAAAAATAAATTTATCAAATAATTATATGCATAACTTGCTTAAAGATAACATTTAGACTAAGCATGCGAACAAAGTTTTGAAAGAAAATTTTTATTGTTTTGTATTCTTATTATTTTTTATTTTTCAAGCATAAACTAGATTTCAGAAACAAAATCACATATTCTAACTGCTCAAAAATTCGATTTTATTTACTGTTATGGCCGCGCTTGATGTACTGTTATGGCCGCGCTTGATGTTCTAGTTTTCCTATCCTTCGTATTTCTTGGCTTTGTTTTCTCTTGTTTCTGCGTGTTTCTTTTTTATATTGCATAATGAATTATTTGCTTTTAAAAATATTATTGATTTTTAATATAGATTGTATAATTTTATTGTATTTTTGCTTTATATTTACTTTATGATTTCTTCCTTTACTACATGATGAACAAACAAATAATTATCAATTTTATTCGTAATTCTTTTATAAGCAATGGTATCTTAATGAGATCGATTAACTTTCGATGAAAATTAAGCTAACGACCTCAGTTGACCCTTTAATCAGAGATGATACTTTTTAAAATTTCATCGACCTTCCAGGGATGAATATCGAATGTGATACGAATTCTTATTCCGGTGGAAGTTTAGAGCAGATGTTGGCAGGCAGCAAAATATATATATATATACAAACTTACAACTCCAGAAGAAGTCGGTCAAAGCGGAAATAGCATTAGTTATTTCGTCTCTGGGTTAAAATTTAAAAAAGAAAAAAAATCTGAAAGATTTCATATATTATATTACGTCCAAAGAGGCATTTTTTGAAAGTTTTGTGGGGCCCCACCAGCGGCCGAGCGGTAAAGTCGCTGAACACTGGTAGTTCGGTCCGAGGTTCGAATCCCGCGAACGGGCTGGGCTGCATGGGTGTTAATGTGGTTTTCCCCATGTGTAACGTGTATACCAGCCAGTTCCCTTAGAAAGTCTTCCACGAAGGCATCCCTTCCCTTAGGCAGATAGCCCTAGTGTGCTTTGCGATAATTAAATACACCATTGAACGTTTTGTGCGTTACCTTTGTTTGTTAAATATCATGTTCTCTGCACTTAAAACATAAAATTCAATTAAACTGCAATATCGCAAAATATTTAAAAGAGCATATCTTTAGAATTTACGGTATACAGTCTCGCACGCTGGAGATGAAAAAGTTTTTTTTTTTTTTTTTTTCCCTACAGTGTTGCCATTGTTCGCTTCGAAATCATTGACTTTCTTAATGAAAAACTCATAAATGCTTTAAACAGATACTAAAACAGATTCCAAATCTGGGCTCCCAGATGCGCATATTCGGGTGGAGACGTACGTTATTCAAAATTGGATGGCTCTTGGTACCGTTGTTTTATCACAATACGAGAAACATACATACATTCATGCAGATTCTTCACTACTTAATTTCTTTAAATATAACACAGTGCGATAATATTTGGTATTAACAATTTGAAAAGTGATTCTCCGTTTATTATGAATCAAAGCAAAATGCCAAAGCAAAGTTAATAGCCCTTCTGGGCAAACTGGCTTATTGAGCTATTTATTCCGTCTCTGGGTTAAAATATAAAAATAACGACGTAAGCGAGGAAACTTTCCTTCCTTTTGAAATAATAATAAAACAATTAACTTAAAACTTAAGATTTTCCTGCAGTAACTCAATATTTACACCATTATGCTTATTCGATGTAGGTATCTTTAATTCTTCAACATGCTTACATTATGATAAATTAATGAAAAAGGCAAGTGAAACATTAGTGTTTCTAGGCCTTTTTAATAGGATAATAATATTATTAGATCTATACCTGGGGTCTGTAACTTTTTAGTAATATCAGAAAAATATTTTAAACGTTAAAATAGAGAATATTCGCTTTATTATTTTAGAATATTAAAATAAATAATTATCAACAGAATAAAATTCTGAGTTTATTATAATCTCACTTTATGATGTAGAACACATTTGACATAAATCTGAGAGATATGAGTAAGATTTACGTACGTTTAAAGGAAAATATTAAAACCATGAAATTTAATTCTTTTTTTTGCAGAAAAAATGCGCCAAATACTGGCCGGATGATTCTATAATGTGCGACGACATGCAAATTCTAGTAATACATTCTGAGGAAAGCACAGATTTTGTCATTCGTACCATACTCATGAGAAAGATGGATGTAAGTTTCCCACTTTCCTTTGCCTTTTTTTATAAATATATTCTGTGCATATTTTTAGTCCTTTAATAAAATGCTACTATGATTTTCTTTGAAAGTAATATAGCACACTGCTCTAAGGTTTTGTGCATTTATGTTGTCTTAGATAAAAAGGTGCTCTTTCTAAACGTTATATTCATTTAATGAGATTCCGTTGAAATATTCATGTACGTTGCTCCAAAAAAAAAAAAAGGAACGTACAGTTCTATATCTTCCATTCATCTGGCGTCTTTCATGCCTCGAAAGCGCGACTTAGGATATGTATTAGATTTATATAGAGCGTTGCTTTAATATAGGTATTTTGACACAAAATCGGACCTTTTTTCTGAAATGACATGACAATGTTTTTCCATATTTCGATTCTACGACTCAAATTATGCCAAACTGCCAAGTTTTGTAAAAATCGCACGAGTAGTTTTTAAGAACTTAGCTCTCACAATTTTAGCTGCTCTGTGTTAATTGAATTTGGTTTATATTTATTAATATCTCTTTTTTTTTATTAAACTTTTTGGTACTATTCGATTTTGAGGGCCGTAAAAAATCGCCAAACTATTGTTGATGCCAGTGCTGCCAAAAATAATTGCGGAAACCCTAATGCAAGAAAGGAAATATAATAGTAAATAACTATTTTAAAATTTATGTTTTAATTTAGATGAATTTAGGTTAATTTCATATAATACTTTATTATTATAATTTGTATAAAAAAGGCTAAACATGACTGAATGGAAGCATAAGAGTCAATAAATATTTCAGATTATTATTATAATTTATATAAAAGTTCCTAAACATGACTGAATGGAGGACTTCGCTACCGAGTTATCGCTAACACATACTTTCATCTCGTTGGTTGTTCAAACACAGTTTTCTTTAAAAAAATTCTCGGTAAAGTGCAGAATCGCTCACTTATTTGTTTGCCGCTTTTTACAAGGGTAAAAACCATTGGATTTTTGTCAATTTTCTTTTACTTTGTAAGTGAAAGTACATAGATAAAATCAAGAGTGTTTTTTTTTTTTTTTTTTTTTTTTTTTTTCAATTCTTGGATTTTTTTTAAGTGAAAATAGATCGATGTGCACATGGATACCGAGTATGTGCTATTCTTAAAAACGCGTCCAGCAATGTGTGATTCTGCATTTTACCCAAAATTCTGTTGCACACTTTTCGTCATGGGCAATTCCCAAATTGTTAAATCCGTAGGATATCAAAATAAGATTTAAAAATTAAACTAGTATTTCAATGGCGTCTTAAGAAATGTAGAACTATATAAACTTACGCAATTTGAAATCAACGCGTACGCTAGATTTGGCGCGCTGTTAAATGGGCGCGTTTGCTAGATTTGGGGCTTTTGCGCATACATTTTCGCTACAATTTTTTTACGGTTCTCGGAATAGTACCTACTTTTTTATTCTTCCCTTCATATTTCGAAATTTAGGTTCATTCCAAATAAAATTCGCCCATTTTTTACGATTTATTTTTAAAATTTGTATTTTTAAATAATTTTTCGAAAATCTATTCGAATTATAACCTATAAAATTTTTACCATAATGTTAAAATAGATGTATTTCAAAGTATACCTACCAAAAATTAAGTATTTTGTGCAAAACTTCCTAAAGTATACGTGAATTTATATACCGGCCCGTTTTGAAATTTTGGCGTATTTATTATAAGCGCTAATAACGCCAAATGTGGTTTTACGCTCTTTGTTAAAATTATTTCAAAGTATGAAAGATGTTTTTTTTTTTTTTTTTTTTTTTTTTTTTTTTTTTTTTTTTCCGCTCCTGTACAATGAAAAAAAGGAAAGGATAACAAATTGCTATAAATTACGAAGTTCGCCGAGTGAATTACTCTTAGCATAAATTGAGGAAAATTGCTTGAATTTATCCGTAAATTTCGTACAAATTTCAATATTTAGGCATAATTTGAGTCGTAGAATCGAAATATGGAAACAAATGCGCACGTCATTTCAGAAAAAGTCCGATTTTCTGTCAAAATACCTATATTAGAACATCGCTGTATATAAATCTGATATGTATCCCAAGTCGTGCTTTCGAGCTATGAAAAACACAATTTGTATTTCATCAATGAACCTAGTAGAACGGAAGATGTAGAACTTTTTTTTCGCAGTGTACAGTTTTAAGAATTTCTGTTTATATATCGTTGCCTAATGATATATCGTATTTCCCGAAAACTAAAACTTTTATATTTTGAATAATTAAATTAACATCTACTATTATAGAATATGGATTAAATTCCTTTTGATTATATCTGAATGAGCATTTCCAAAGTCCTACATGCAGTTATTGCATGCGAGTCGCCATGAGCGATGTAGGGGTAAACGGAGGCTTAAATGCTTGTTTGAACTTCAAGCTGCAGGTTCAAATGCCGGGTGTATTTATATTCGCCTCCTTCTTGCGGGTGTTGTGCAGGGGGCCTTTCTGCTGCATTTTGGCCAACAGTCTCAGACTGTAACAGACCAAGCGTTTTGCCGTTCCCGACTTCGTATTAATTTACAATTGTCCTGCCGTTTTATTGATAAACATAACCGAAAATAATTTTATGAACCTCCATGAGTTATATAATCACGCTTTTGTTGCAATAGCATGTTTTCCTTTTTTATTACGAAAATAGTTTGGTATGTGATGAATGCTGCTGAAGAGATCTTTTGCACTTCATCGTTTCAAAGATGTTGTAGAAACTGTATTGCACCAGATGGCGCTGTGTGCGCTTGAATTGATCGGACTAGTGCAGAACCTTGATGATTGCGAAAGATGTAACAACAACGCGAAACATTAACCAAAGTTTATATGTGCCTCTCTTTGTTGTAAATGTATTTAATTGTGTCGTCAATAAAATATGGAGAAAATGATAAAAGGCAAGAATGCGTCTGACATGTAAGTGAGATTTCTTTATATTTTGATTTGAATTGAGTTTTAGCGACAAAGAATGTATATGCGTATTTACAGATGTCAAGAACGATTCTTTGCACGACTCCGCCTTCAGTCCTCTATGGCTGCTATCACACGTCGGTTTGTTTCGTAAGAACAACTGTTTGGAACAATTTTTCTGCTTTGTCACAACAGCCAATGACCACAGATCGCTTTGGGGTTAACAAACGGTAAACTGGTTCCCTATCACAAACAAGCTGATAGCATTCGAAGCTGGTAGCTGATTGGTTGAAAACGACCAACTTGCAATTATATTTAAAGGTAGCAAAAAGTGGTACGTCTTTCTGACAACTGCTTTCCTTATGCTGGACGTGGCAAAAGCCTTTGACCGCGTCTGGCATAAGGGACTTATGTACAAGCTTGCTTACTTGATCTCCCTAGGGAAACGATTTTGATTCTTCACTCCTTTCTAAGTGATCGATCCTTCTATGTCAGGCAGGGCGATGTTTATTCTGAAAACACATTTATTAAAGCCGGCGTCCCCCAGGGAAGCATCTTTGGGCCTATTCTCTATCTTATGTATGTTAAGGACTTCCCTATGATTGAAAATACAAACTGCATCACCGCCTGCTACGCGGACGACACCGCCATTCTTTCTAGTTCACTTAATCCACGACATGCCATGATCAGAATACAAAACCACACACACGAGATAGAGGAATGGTGTCGCAAATGGAGGACGTCCATTAATGCCACAAAATCTAAATTATTACTGATAGGACGGCATAGAAGAAAAAACACAGATGCAGATCTGACCCTCTTTAATGAAACGGTGCCCAAAGTCAGAGAGGCTACATACTTGGGAGTTAGTTTTAACGGCTCGCTTACATGGGGTCCTCACATTTCTATGACCATCGGGAAAGCCATAGGAGTCTCTAGGAGGCTACGAAACATTCTTGACGCCTCTTCACCATTGGATCTTGCTCGCAAGAAGCACATTTACACATCAATATTAAGACCATCCTTAGATATGCCTCCCCTTGTGATGCTTCTTTGGCGATATGAAGCAACTCCAATGATGGAACACAGCAATAACGTTTATTTAACACTCAAAAAATGGCGACATACAAAACAAGAAGAGAAAACATATTCTAACATTTAAAAATAAATTACATTCTTCGTGCGAGAGTCGCACGTGGCACTCGAGTCTGGTTTCAAATATTGCCATTAACAAATACCTTAATGTTCATCTATTTAAATTATTTAAACTACAAGATTTTAATAATATGTAAAGCTGTTACACCCTGCATGGTGCTCTGTTCCCCCTTCCGTATTAAATAAATTACAGGTTTTCCAAAACAACTACTTACGAAAAATCACAGGAGGACCCTGGTTCGTTCGCAATGAACAGCTACACAGAGACCTTAAACTCCAAAATCTGGCGTTATTCATCAATAAATTAAATAATAATTTTTTCAAGAAAGCCATCACCAACGCAGAGGTAAATTATTCTGACAATTTTAAGAACGAGCTCCTAGAAATTGACATCAATTTAAGGCTCTATACAACCCACATTTATCGGAATTCCCCATAAATACTCCTAACTTCTACCAGCGAATTTTTGAAGTTTCAAAGTATGACTTCTTCATTTACACTGGCCTGGGTCACATCTACACAATCTTCCTGCAGTCCCTTATCAAGGTATTCCTGCGAAGCACTGTAGGTTGTGTCTCCTCTAACCGGAGTTATTTGAGGTGCCTGTAATAGTGGGATATAAATCCTGCTGAAACAGGCATATCAAAAGTATCAAATTATCAAAGTACGTCTTTCTTTCAATAGTAAACCAGGCAGAAAAATTGTCCGAAACGGTTGTTTGTGTGAAACAAACGCCGTGTGATATGGCACGTTCCTTGCCGAGCGACATTTTCAAAAACGGTTCTACCAAGCCCACAAATTTTAATTAATTGCAAATTAAAAATCACGTATTTATGGGAAAGATATTGAATTTAGGTAATTTTTTATTGTTTTATTAATTATACGAGTTGTATCGAAGTCTAGTTTTGCGATAAAGTGTTTTATGAT